TCTCATATCATGAGAAGGCAGGATTCTTTGGAAAAGACAATAATTCTGGAAGAAAAATAGAAGGTGGCAGGAGAAGAGGGAAAACCACATATGAGATGGATTGACTTCATAAAAGAAGCCATAGGCATGAGTCCTCAAAGCTGAGCAAGGCTACTGAGGATAGGACATTGTGGATATCACATATTCATGTGGTAACCAGGATTTGGAGCCGACTCAGTGCCATATGGCATATGGCGGTGTGCGCGTGCAGACACAGGTACATACATCTCTGCCTTCTTTTGTTTATTGTTTGCATGGGAAATCTTTTTCCATTTGTTTACTTTCAACCCGCTCAAAGCTCGCTTCCCCACCCTCCTGTAGCTCTCTGCCACTTGTAGATCGATCATGACATTATGGTATCCCAGCTAATTTGTATATTCCTCTATTATTATATTAGACTAGAGGCCCAGTGCACGAAATTCGTGCACTGGGGGCGGTGGGGTTCCCTCAGCCCAGCCTGCTCCTCTCACAGTCTGGGAGCCCTCAGTGGATTTCCTACTGATGGGCACAGTCTGGCAGCAGAGGCTCGGAGCAGGCGTCCCGTGTGTGTGTATGTGTCTGTGTCTGCTGGGGCCTGCCCCCAGCCGCACCACGTAGGCTCGGAACAGTTGCCCCGTGTGTGTGTGTGTGTGTGTGTGTGTGTGTGTGTCTGCTGGGGGCCTGCCCCCAGCCACACCATGGAAGCTTGGAGCAGGCACCCCTCTGTGTTGATCTCTCAGGCTCCTGGCCTCCACTGCGTGTTGTTTTCTCCCTTGAGCTGTGGCCAGGGTGGGGTGCTGCCTGCAGGCTGCACTTTCCTGCTCCCGGATCGCCGAGGAGACCCAGGGGCAGGCCCTGCTGGGTGCTGCCTGCAGACCACGCTTTCCTGCTCGCGGATCACCACAGCGATCCGGGAGCAAGCCCTGCTGGGGGCTGCCTGCAAGCTGCGCTTTCCTGCTCCCGGATCGCCACCACAACCGGGGAGCGGGTCCTGCTGGGTGCTTCCTGTAGGCCGCACTTTCCTGCTCTCAGATCGCCATGGTGACCCAGGAGCAGGTCCTCCTGGGTGCTGCCTGCAGGCTGCGCTTTCCTGCTCGCGGATCGCCACGGGCGACCTGGGACCAGGCCCTGCTGGGTGCTGCCTGTTGGGGGCTGCCTGAGGGCCGCACTTTCCTGCTCTCGCATCGCCACAGCGACCCAGAAGCAGGCCCTCCTGGGTGCTGCCTGCGGGCGGCACTTTCCTGCTCTCGGATTGCCACGGCGACCCAGGAGCAGGCCCCTCTGGGTGCTGCCTGCGGGCAGCGCTTTCCTGCTCGCGGATCGCCACGGCAACCTGGGTGCAGGCCCTGCTGTGGGCTGCCTATGGGCAGTGCTTTTCTGCTCACGGATTGCCACTTGTAGATCGTCATGGCAACCCAGGAGCAGGCCCTCCTGGGAGGCCCAGATGGCGGTGGGCAGGTGGCGATCGCTGCTATCCCGCCCTGCCGCCCCGGGTTACACAGGGGAAGCCAGGATGGCTGCGGGTGAGCAGCGGATCACACTGTCCCGCCCCGCATGCAGTATGCAATTTTTTTTTTAAAAAAATATATTTTATTGTTTTTTTACAGAGAAGAAGGGAGAGGGATAGAGAGTTAGAAACATTGATGAGAGAGAAACATCGATCAGCTGCCTCCTGCACACCCCCCACTGGGGATGTGCCCGCAACCAAGGTACATGCCCTTGACCAGAATCGAACCCGGGACCCTTTAGTCCGCATGCCGACGCTCTATCCACTGAGCCAAACCGGTCAGGGCCAGTATACAAATTTAACGGCCATCTTTGTTGGGTTAAATTGCATACTCTTCTGATTGTCTGATGAGAATAGCGAAGGTACGGTCAATTAGCATCTTTGTCTTTTATTAGTGCAGATATTTTAAACTGATACCAACTTATCAGTAACTTTAGTCCTTTACAGTTCGCCTCCCCATCTTTGTTATTTATGTAACAAATGACATATTATATATCATGTACCTATTGGAGGCCCGGTGCACAAATAAGTCGCTCAGTCCAGCCTGCACCCTCTTGCAGTCCGGGACCCCTAGGAGAATGTCCACCTGCTGACTTAGGCCTGCTACCCGGGGGATTTGGCCTAAGCTTGCAGTCAGACATCCTTAGTGCTTCTGAGGAGGCAGGATGGGCTTCTGCCACCACCGCTGTGCTCGCAGCCATCAGCCCGGTTTATGGCTGAGCGGAGCTGCCCCTGTGGGAGTGCACTGACCACCAGGGGGCAGCTCCTACCTTGAGCATCTGACCCCTGGTGGTCAGTGTGTGTCATAATGACTTGTCATTCCCAGCCGTTCCCGGTTGTTCTGCTATTAGGGTCAATTTTATTATATAGAATTGACATAGACTTATATTTTCTATTTCTTGTCTTTTAATTTCTGTAAAAGAACAAACAGTGGAGTTATAAAGTAAAATTATAATACTACTTTTTTATTTTTTATTTTATTTTATTATTTTTTAATCTTTAAATTCTTTTAGTTAAGGGATTATAAATGTGCCCTCATTCCCCCCCATTAACTCCCATCCTCCCCCCCCCCCCCACTCACGTTCTCATCCCCCTGTTGTCCGTGTCCATTGGTTTGGTTTATATGCATGCATACAAGTCCTTTGGTTGATCTCTTGCCCTTACCCCCACCCTCCCCTACTTTCCCTCTGGGGATTAATAGTCTGATTGCTGTTTCTCTGTCTTTGGATCTGTCCCTGTTCATCAGTCTATGTTGTTATAATTATAATACTACTTTTTAAATACTTGTCCATGTATTTACCTTTACTGTAGAACTTTATATTTTTTCATATGGTTTTAAGTTGCTACCTAACACTTTTTCAACTTGGACTCCCTTTAAAATTTCTTGTAAAGCAGATCTACTGGTAATGAACTTCCTCAGAATTTTTTTTAAATCTGAAGACTTAATTTTATATTCATTTTTGAAGTAGGATGTTTTTCTGGATATAATGTTCTCAGTGGACATCTGCACTTTAAATATATCATCCCTGTGTTTTGTCTTGCAAGGTTTCTGCAGAGAAATCTACTGATAATCTTATTGAGGAATCTGTATATATGTCAGTCACTTTTTTTGCTGCCTCTAATCTTTCTTTGCCTTTGATTATCATGTTCCTTGATTGAGATTCTTGAATTCAGATATTCATGTCTTCCCTTAAATTTCGGAGTTTGGGCCATTATTTCTTCAAATAAGATCTCTTCCCCTTTCTTTATTTTTCCTCCTTTTGGACTTCCTTAGTACATACTTTTGATAATTTTCCCTGAGTCCTTTAGGCTCTGTTCACTTTTCCTTATATAAAATTTTTGCTCTTCTGTATTTTCAAATAACTTGTTTTCAAGTTTGCCAATTCATTCTTTTCAATTTGAGTCAGCTTTTGACTTTCTTTAGTGAATTTTTCAATTCAGTTATTCCTTGTACCTCTACTGGGATGTGTGTGTGTGTTTTCTCTGCTTTTATTGGAGATTTTTTTTGTTGTTGATCTAACTTACATATTACATGGTATAAATTTAAGGTGTGCAACATGTTGATTTGATACATTTATATACAGGATGGGGCAAAAGTAGGTCTACAGTTGTGAGTGGGTAATTTTGTGTATTCATAACTGTAAACCTATATTTGCCCCACCCTGTATTGCAGTATGTAGTTTTTGGCTAACGCCTTTACCCTGCCACATAATTATTGTGTGTGTGTGTGTGTGGTAAGAACATTTAAAATGTAGTGTCTTAGCAATTTTGAAGTATATAATACAATATTGTTGACTATAATCACTATGATGTACATAGATTTCCAAAACTCACTCATTTCCTAGATGCAAGTTTGTACACTTTAACATCTCTCCAGTTCCCCCACATCCCAGCCCCTAGTAACAAACATTCTACTCTCTGAGTCTACTTTTTTTATATTCCACATGCAATATTTGTCTTTCTATATTCTGGCTTATCTTACTAAACATAATGCCCTCCAAAGTCCATCCATGTTATAGAAAATGGCAGGATTTCCTTTTTTATTGTGACTGAATATTTCTCTCTCTCTCTCTCTCTCTCTCTCTCTCTCTCTCTCTCTCTCTCTCTCTCTCTGTGTGTGTGTGTGTGTATCACATCTTCATTCATCTGTTGATGTACACACTTAGGTTGATAACACATCTGGCTGTTGTTAATAATGTTGCAATAAACATGGGAGTGCAGATATCTTTGTGATAGCATGTTCTTCTTTCTTTTGGGTGTATACCCAGGAGTGGGATTTCTGGTTCATATTCAACATTTTTCTTAGTATTTGGTTTCCTTCAGTTTGATTATGATATGCCTAAGTGTAGATTTTTTGGGGGTATTTTTTTTGCTTTGTGTTCTTTGAGCTTCCTGGATCTATGGTTTGGTGTCTTTATCATTTATTTACTTTGGAAATTTATCATTCATTAGTACTTCATTTTTTTTTCTTCTGGTATTCCTATTATGCATATGTTACAACTATTACGATTGTCTTACAATTCTTGGATATTCTGTTTCATTACTTTTTCTTTTATTTTTCTCTTTGCATTTCAGTTTGGGAAGTTTGTTTCTGTATCTTGATGATTTTGGATTTAAAAACTTCTTTCCAGTTCATTGGGAGTGTATTTAAATACAATTTATTTTTTGTGTATTTTTTTGTATATCATGTTATCTTGCTAGATTTTTAATTATTTGTATAATTCTGATTAAAATGTAAAAACATGGAACTACAACTTCGGAGGTCATAATTTACAACAAATGACATTTTGGTCAAGCATACAGTCTTAGACTAGTTGAAGAATGAAGGTGAGCTTATACAATTATAGTTGAATTCTGTTTTATGTATATTGTAATTATTTTTTCTTAATATGACATTTTAGGGATGAAGTATATCTAACTTCTAAAATGAAAAATATTTGAATATTTCAACTTTATTTTTAATAACTTTTTTTAGGAGCTGTGGTCTTGAAGAACCTTGAAATTAAAGAAAATGCCCTGGTAGGTTTTGACTGTAAGAAAGTTGTTAGTGCATTTATGGACTTTTTCCTGATTTACTTTGTCACTTTAAATCATTTAATTTTGATAAAATTTTTTGAAAATAAGTTTTGTAAAATGTGAATTTGGCAAAATGAATTCTTACTCTCCTTAAAAGCACAAACTGAGTGTGTAATTTTCTCCATATAAAAATACTCCTAATGTTTCTTTTTATATGATGTTATTTTTAAAAACATTTATTTCTTAAAGTATAATTGATATAAAATGTTATTAGTTTCTGTATTTTTTCATTTTCCCAGTCATCTTCAGTATTTTATACCATTTTAATCATTTTTTACTATAGAATTGAGTGGCATTAATTACATTTACAGTGCTGTGCAACCATGACCAGTATGTGTTTCTAGAAGTTTGTCATTATGCCAAAGGGAACTCTGTAACCATAAAAGATACAACTTTCTAGACTTCCCTGTAGACCCTGGTAACCTCTAATGTATTTTCTATTAATTTGCCTATTTCAGTTATCTCATATAAATGGAATTAAGCTATTTTGTCATTTTTCTGTCTGGCTTGTTTTACTCATTGTAATTCCTTCAAGGTTTATCCACGTTGTAGCATGTTTCAGAACATCTTTCCTTTTTATGGCTTAGTAATATTCTATATGTATATGCCACATTTTGTTTATTCATCTGTTGATGGACACTTGGATTGTTTCTGTCTTTTGGCTTTTATGAACAATGCTGGTATAAATATTGACATACACATATCTATAAATTTAAATAAGCATTGAAGATAAAGGGAAGGTGTAAGTTAACTTTAAACCCTTTAAATAATTCTAGGAAGAAAAAAGTAGTCACCTGTTGTGTACTAATATTTTACATCTTTTTTTTTTTTTGTAGAGTCAACTGGATGTACCATTTAAAATTAAAGTTGGTTATATAGGTAAGCTGTGTTTGTTTGAACGTTCCCCTTGCTGGACATGCAACCAGAATAATATGCTTGGTATCCTTATTATGTGATATTTTTAATGTTTTTGAGCATTAATTATAAGTAATCATGTGTTTTTATCTAGATGGAGCTTAATCATATGACAAAAATATTGTATGGTCCATCTATATTTTGTCTAATATGTATGAAATTATATGCCTTATTAGATGTTAAAAATGAGTTAATTGAGAGCTAAGGTGTTACTTACTAGAAAGCATATAACCCCTCAGTTTTTTAGGTTTCTGACTAGTTATATTTGCTATAGTCTGTTTGGCCATGGATATGTGGTGTAAGGAGTAGGGTCTAGGTCAGCCAGACAGTGTGACTAGGGACCTATCAGAAATTGAGTTTCTACTCTGGAAGTTTTCTAGGTTGCCCTGAATATTGAGCTAGTTCTTGACCTGTATTATTTTACTGGTGTTCATACTTTACATTTTCCCCCTTTTTTAAAATTGAATTTATTGGGGGTGACACTAATTAACAAAATTACAAAGGTTTCCGTTGCACAATTTTATAACACATCATCTGTACACTGTACTGTGTGTTCACCACCCCAAGTCAAGTCAAACATTTTATGTTTATTGCTTGGGCAAAAACTAATTAGAATATGATGTTTTAAAATGCTTAATAAAAACGTGTTTGGTTTCTTAAATTATGTTGGTTTATTGTTTTAACTTTATTGTTTAAATTACTGTTTGAATTTTATTGCTTTAAATTTTATGCAAGATGGTAGTGTCATTAATTAAGATATGAAAGTATACAGATATACTTTGTTGTACAGATAAGTTTGTGTAGTAGGATTTATAGAAAGTTATTGCTACATATTGGTATCAGTGGGGGAACAAGGTATTTTGAAAGCTCATCTAAATTACATGATTAATGTCTTCATAATTTTGTGCACTTATGGTTGGTTTAGACCATTTGCCGAAGAAAATTTTCATTATCTTAATGTTGCTGAGACTCAAAGGATCTCTCTTCTCCCTTAATTTAAAGATGTTTTAGTATAAGAAGGGAAATCATGTAACCCATTGTTTTCCACCTAACATGTTTATTTTTGCATATTTCTATATGATTTTTTACATGCGTACCTTTTAATTACTTGTAATCATGGAATATGTACGATTTCATATTCTTTTTAGTTAACAGTAAAGATTTCTCATAATCCATGTTGATTTGACCTCATTTATTTTTTATGGTAGTGTTATAATCCAATGAATACATATTTGGAAATTGTATTTCCAAAGGTACAAAAATATTGCAGTGAACATATGCCTCACCATATTTAACAGTGATGAAAGGTAATTTTCATCGTTAATAAAAGATAGTGGAAAACTGTTTAGTAATGGAGAACTATTTTGTGTGTTTTGAAACTTAGGTGCACTGTTCCCTGGAAAAAGCTAAAGAAAAAAAAAAAGATAGTGTAATGTATACTGCATTAAGTACCAAATACATAAGATAATTTTGAGAATCATTTAAGGTGTTGTTTGCATACCCCTAACACAGCACCTATCTTTCTTTAATATCATTATTGTTTTCTTCTGCTAGACAATAAGTTTCTTGAGAAGTGGAATTAATTTTTATTATATTCATACCACTTAGCAAAATACCTAGCATTTGGTAGGCACATTATTTGTTGAATGAAAAAAGTAATGCTTCCAAGTGAGTGGTACAGCAATACAACCAGTTTCATAGGAACATATTGTTCCCTTGCTATTATTGGATAGTAGAGGCCCAGTGCATGAAGTTCATACACTCAGGGGGGTTCCTCAGTCCAGCCTGTGCCCTCTCACAGTCTGGGAGCCCTCGGGGGATGTCTGACTGATGGCTTAGGCCTGGGGGGGAGCTGGCCTAAGCTGGCACTTGTACATCCTTAGCACTGCTGCGGAGGTGGGAGAGGCTCCTGCCACCTCCACTGTGCTCACCAGCCGTGAGCCCGTATTCTGGCTGAGCAGAGCTCCCCCTGTGGGAGCGCACTGACCACCAGAGGGAAGCTCCTGTGTTGAGTGTCTGCCCCCAGGTGGTCAGTGTGCATCATAGTGACTAGTCATTCCGTTGTTTGGTCGATTTGCATATTAGCCCTTTATTATATAGGACTAGAGGCCTGGTGCATGAAATTCATGCACGGGGTGTGTGTGTGTCCCTCAGCCCAGCCTGCACCCTCTCCAATCTGGGACCCCTCAAGGGATGTCTGACTGCCTGTTTAGGCCCGATCCACAGGCAGCTGGACATCCCTCTCACAATCCAGGACTGCTGACTCCCAACCACTTGCCTACCTGCCTGATTGCCCCTAACTGCTTCTGTCTGCCAGCCTGATTGACGCCTAACTGCTCCCCTTCCGGCCCGATTACTCCTAACTACCCTCCCTTGCCAGCCTGGTCATCCTAACTGCCCTCCCCTGCCGGCCTGGTGGCCCCCAGTTGCCCTCTCCTGCCAGCCTGGTCACCCCTAACTGCTCTCCCCTGCAGTCCAGGTCGCTGCCAACTACCCTCTCCTATAGTTCTGGTTCCCCCCAACTGCCCTCCCATGCAGGCCATCTTGTGGTGGCCATCTTTGACCACATGGGGGAGGCCATCTTGTGTATTGGAGTGATGGTCAATTTGCATATTACTCCTTTATTAGATAGGATCGTTAATCTTATGATCTTTAAAAGTTTTCCTCATTTGGAGTACAGAATTCCACATATATCAAATGTAATTATTCATATTTACATGTTTTGAAAGTAGTTCTTAATGTAGGACATTTTTGGAATTACTTTCATTTATATTTTTATGAAGTTTTCAGATTTCCTGTAAGTAGTCTGTACCTTATAATGAGAAGAAAAAAATTTGGTTAAAAGGTTTAGTGGTAAAAATGCTATATTGTTAATTTTATGTTTTTCTTTGATTACTGCTATTTTGTCACTGTTCTCTGTCCTTAAGTTTATTAACTTTTTTAGATTAATTTTTAAAAATATGCTTTTATTGATTTCAGAGGGAGGAAGGGAGAGGGAGAGATAAAAACGATGAGAGAGAGAGAATCATCAATTGCCTGCCTGTTGCACACCCCCTACTGGGGGTCAAGCCCAACTAAGGCATGTGCCCTGACCCGGAATTGAACCACCATCTCCTGGTTCATGGGTGGACACTTAACTGAGCAACACAGGCCGGGCCTTTTTTTTTTTATTATTAATGTATGTGAGTATATGTGTAAACAAAAATGTATGTGAGTATATGTGTAAAAAAAATTTGCTGTAAAACTGCTTGATACAGTTGTAAAAAAACTGTCAAATGTGTTGCGACTCATTACATTTTGTACAAAATTTTTTTAAAAAAATCCTGACCTGTGGATATGTTTATTGCTTTTTAGATAGAGTAAGGGAGAGAAATGGAGGGAGAGAGAGAGAAAGAGAGACATTGATGTGAGAGAGCTCTGACTGGGGATCGAACCTGCTACCTTTTGGTATATGGATTGATGCTCCAACCAACTGAGCATCACTGGTCAGGGTTTTTGTAACATTGGTTATGAAAAGAGAGCTCTAAGTAGGTTTTTTTCCCCTTCCTAAATTACTAACCAGTTAATGTGATAATAGTGTATTTAATAGTCTTTCCCTTTCCGAATTATGACAACTATTTCTAAATCTAGAGACTCATACTTTCTAAGGAATTTAAAAATACTTAAAAATCTTTATTATGGAAAATTTCTAAATACACAAAACTAGAATCTATAGTATAAGCAACCCCTCACATAATATATATTTTTTTAATTTGAGTTGTAACATATTTTGCTATTGGATCGTAAATTATTTTCATTAGTTTGAATAATTTTCAAGTATTTCCCATAATACCAGAGATATTTGTATGCAATATTCTTATGGTGATAATCATACAACGTATATTATTGTACATACATTCCTGCACTGCATAATGACATTTTGGTCAACAACGGACCACTTATACGATATGGTACTATAAGATTATACGGAGCTGAAAAATTCCTACTGTCTAGTAATGGCATAGCTGTTGCAACTCAAGGCATTACTCACGTGACTGTGGTGGTGCAGGTGTAAACACATCTACTGCACTGCCAGTATAAAAGTATACGACATACACTTATGTATGGTACATAAAACTTCATAAAGACAGTAAATGTTTTGTTACTATTTTATGTACTTACTACAGTATACTTTATACTTAAAATTTTTTTAAATTCTCACCTGAGAGTATATGTTTTTGTTTTTGTGTGGTTTTAAATAATATTTTTATTGATTTTTTTTTTTTTTTTTTTTTTTTTTTTTAGAGAGAGGATATCTTTTTTATTGATTTTACGAAGAGAGGAGTGGGGAGAAAGAAAAAGAGAGAAAGAAACATCAGTATGAGAGAGAAACATCAATCAGTTGCCTCCACTACACACCCTGACCAGGAATCGAACCCACAGTCTTTTGGTGTATGGGATGATGCTCAAACCACCTGGCCAGGGCTATACTTTATGTTTTTATTGTTATTTTAGAGTACACTTTTCCTACTTAAAAAAAAATTGCTGTAAATCAGCATGCTCTCTTACTTTGACAGCAGCCTCTTATGTCTCATGCTCATATATCAGCAGCCTCATATGTCTCATATTACTCAGGTTCCTGATTGCATCATTTTCTCTTGTGCTTGATTGAATTTTGTGTTGTTGTGTATGGTAACCTTTTGTACAGGTTTGTAGCCTAGGAGCAGTAGGCTATACTATATAGCCTGGCTACGTAGTAGGCCAGACCACTGGAGTTTGTGTAAGGGCACTCTGTGTTAGCACAATGTCAAAAATCACCTAACGATGACTTTCTGAGGACGTATTCCCATTGTTAAACCGTGTGTATAATCTTTACATGTGAAAAATAAACATATAAAGTAGATAATCTTTTTTTAAAGTATAAGGAAAGTACTTCTTACAGAGATTTAGAGGAAGAATGGGGATATTCTAAATTATAATAAAAAGGATTGTTGGTTAATGGAAGAAGAATATTAGTATGTTTGTGGTACAGATAGCCATAAATATTTAGGATATCATTTAGTAGATTTTCCAACAATATTGATTAATACAAATAATTTCAAATTTTCACCACAAAGCCTTATTTTTGGTTGTAAAGTAGCTTTCTATAAAGTGACTGAGCTTGTAATCTTTTCTAATGTCTGACAGAAAATAGGCTGACAGTAAATGTAGTTTAAATGAATATTTTTTTTGTGTGTTTTTTTTTTTTTAATGTAGGTAACCTTAATCTTAAAATTCCATGGAAAAACCTTTATACTCAACCAGTTGTAGCTGTACTGGAAAACATTTATTTACTCATAGTGCCTTCTTCTAGTAAGTCAAATTTTAAACATTATAATTTAAATTACTCTTTTTTTGTAGATGGAAAATCTTTATATTTTATTATTGTATTCAAAATATTTTGGGGGATTTTTTTGTGATTTTTAAAAATATATGTATTTGGTGCTAGGTAATTGAATTAAATTGGTTTTCACACTAAATTTTTGTATGCCTGGAATTAGTGATTATTTTCTTGTATGTTTTTTGGAATGAGTACATTTAAATTTAAGGTAATTAAGATTCTTCCTTTTTATGCTTCCTTTAGTAATAAAATATGATTCTTTAAAAGAAGAAAAGCAACTTTTGGAAGCAAAGCAGCAGGAACTAAAAAGAATAGAAGAAGCCAAACAAAAAGTAGCTAATCAAGGTAAATAAAATAAAGAATAATTGAAATAAGAAATGGAAAAAAGACCAAAATATTGATCATATTTGAATATTATTTTTCTTTGGAAGCACTGAGGTTACTTAACAAATATGAGAGAATCTTATTATATGGGGCATTTTAATGCATTTAATTTGTTCTATCATGTTTATAAAAATTTTTATCTATTAGACATTTATCTTAGGGAAATTAATATACCTAGCTTATAAGGGAAAGGTTAGTTTTTAACTGCAATATTTAATTGGATCAAGTGTGTTTTCTTACCTTTCTAGCCTTTCCCTTTTTATTCTCCTTATATCAGGTCACCTTTTGGATATGCTGAGTCCCTTTATATATTTACTAGAGGCTTGGTGCATGAAATTTGTGCACAGGTACGGTCCCTAGGCCTGGCCTGCAATCAGGGCCATCTTCCCCAGCTGCCCGCAGCCAGCCCCACCCCCCTCCGCCACCCGCTCCCAGTTTCCCGTTCACTATTGGGTGATCCATGGGGGGATGGGACCAAGAAGTTGGCTGTTCCCACCCACTCGCTGGCCCCACCCCTGCCATGGGTGGCCATCAGGTGATTGGAGCCTGCCGGCTGGGGAAAAGGACCAAGAGATGGTCAGTGCACCTCATAGTGACTTGTCCAGTGGTTGCTCTGCCATTAGGGTCAGTTTGCATATTACCCTTTTATTATATAGGATACTTTCCCAAATCTGTTTATTTATCTTCTGGCTTCACATCCTTTCCAATTCAACCTAGACCAAATGGTCCATTACTTCAACTCCTTCTTTTGTTGGCAGAAGAGATGTCCTGCAGAAATCTAATTCCTTTCTACTTGTGCTGCATGCAGCATCATCAGCTATTTTTACTCAGACTCTAACTTCTCCCTCTAGTGAATCTTTCTTCTTAACATGGAGATATACTGTAGCCTTTCTTAGCTTCTAAAATAAAGTCATTTTCCTAACCTAGTCATGTGTTTATCTTCTCTATCCTTCATTTAAAAGTTAAGCATCTTAAAAGTAAGGTAGATATATACTGATTTCACTATCCTTGCCATACATTAATTTTTTAGAATAAAAAATATAACCCAATATTAACTTTTTACCTTTAAATATAAAGGAGATTTAATGCAATTCCTGGCAACACTTTTTGTAATTATTTTTTCTTCTCTGTCACAGTTCTTTCATATCTTGTGTGGTCATTCATACCTACTTATTTTCTGGGTTTTTTTTTTTTTTTTTTTAATGGTAACATCTTAATGGGGATGAAATGGTATCATGTAGTGTAGATTTGCACTTCCCTAAAAATTAGTATTTGAGCATCCATTTATGTGCTTACTGGCCATTTCTATATCTTTGGAGAAATGTCTATTCAAGTATTTTCCCATTTTTTAATTGTGTTTTTTTGGGGAAGGGTATGTGGTCAGAGTTCTCTGCATATTCTGAATATTAATCCCTTATTAGATATGTGATTTGCAAATTTTATTCCTTTCTGTAGGTAGCATCTTTATTCTGTTGATAGTCTACAAGGCCCCAAATTTTAAAGTTTTTGTGAAGTTCATTTTGTCTGCTTTTCTTCTGTTGCCTGTGCCTTTGTTATCATATATAAGAAATTATGATCAAATCCAGTTTCCTATGTTTTCTTATAAGAGTTTTATAGTTTTAGATCTTACAGTTAAATCTTTGATTTTTTAGAGTTCATTTTTATATTTTGTTAGATAAAGGTCCAACTTCATTCTCTTGCGTGTGAATATCTGGATATACAGTTTTTCAACAGTATTTCTTAAAAATACTGTTCTTTCCCATTGAATAGTCTTGGCACTCTTTTAAAAATATTATTTGAAGGTATGTGAAGATTTATTTCTGGTATTTTTAGTTTATTCATTGGTCAATACCACCCTGTTTTGATTACTATACTTTTGTTATAAGTTTTGCAATTAGGAAGTGTGATTCTTTCAGCTTTGTTCTTCCTTTTCAAGATTTTTTTGATTATTTGAGATTCCATATGAATTTTACGATGGATTTTTTTTTTCTGTGCAAAAAATGTCATTGATATTTTGATACAGATTGCTTTGAATCTATAGAGTCCTTTGGGCAATATTGATGTGTTAACAATATCAAATCTTCCAATCCATGGATATGGATGAGATGTCCTTCCACTTACTTATGTCTTTTAAATTGTTTCCTAAGTATTTTATTTTTTTTGATGCTTTTATAAAGGGAATTATATTTGTAATTTACTTTCAGATTGTCTATTGATTGGAAATAGATATGCAATTGTTTGTGCTGGCTTTGTACCTTCCTACTTTGCTGAATTAGTTTATTAGTCCTAACAATTTTTGTGTGTGGAGTTATATAGGGTTTTCTTTATGTAAGATAATGTTATCTGTGAACAGAGATAATGTTATTTTTTTCCTTTCCAATTTGTATGCCTTTAATTTATTTTCCCTTGACTAATTACTCTGACTAGAATTCCCATACTATGTTGAATGGAAGTGGCAAAAGTGGGCATCCTTATCTTTTCCCTGAACTTAGAGGTAAAGCTTTCAGACTTTCACTATTGAGTATGATGTGAGTTTTCACCTGTGATCTTTATTATGTTAAATTAGCTTCCTTTTATTGCTAGTTTATTGAGTGTTTTTATTATGAAAGGGGATTGACGTTTGTCAAGTGTTTTTTCTTAATCAGTTGAGATGATCATTTGTTTTTTTCTTTTATTTTGTTGATATGGTATATTAAATTGATTGATTTTCATAAATAGAGCCATCCTTCCATTGCAGGAATAAATTGTATTAAATCATGGTGTGCAGTCCTTATAAGGGCTTTTATTTTTTATTTGTTAACATATTGTTGAAGATTTTTGTGTCAGTATTCATTAGGGATATTGATCTGTAGTTTTTTGTGGTATGTTTGTCTTGCTTGTGTGTCAGATTAATGCTGATCTCATATTGAGTTTGGAAATACTCCTTTCTCTTCAGTTTTTTGGAAGAGTTTGAAGTGGGTTGATGTTCTCTTTTAAATGTTTGGTAGAGTTCACAAGTGAAGCCATGAGGTCCAGAGCTTTCTTTTGTCAAGAGATTTTTGATTACTGATTTGATCGTCTATGAATTATCTGACTATTCAGATTTTCCGTTTCTTTGTGATTTTGCCTTGGTAGATTTTGTTTTTCTAGGAATTTGTCCATTTAATCTGGTATTACAGTTTGTTAGTAAAAATTTTTCATAGTACTATCTTATAATCATTCTTTTTATTTCTGTAGAATAAATAGAATAAGTAGAAATGTTCCCACTTTCACTTGTGACTTAAGTAATTTCAGTCTTAATCTCTTTTTTTCTTACCTATTTATTTATTTATTTATTTTTTAGCAAAAGAGATAGCTTTTATTGGCATTTTTAAGTGGAGGAAATAGGGGTAGTAACTAGTGGTTATTAAAGGCATATTAAAAAATTAGGAACCTCAATTTTTTATTCTTTCTGTTCCCCTGAAAAATATTGAAACTGGAGATAGCAAATAGGTTTTAGAAAAAGAAACACCTGATGAACTTCCTTCATCATTGCTGTAAAGGAGAGAGGGTAATATCTTGTATCTTCTTACTTTGTATTCATCAGGAGAATCGTATTCAACTATTTTATACACCGAACCACAGACAACTTATGATGTTATCTCTAATTTTAAGGGAGATTCCATCTTTGCTGCTTCCTCTAGCTTTTTTTTGTATAAGCCTATTATAATTCTTACTTAATAATCTTCATTGTTGTCCATATCTTTATGTACTCAGGTATAATTAACAGAGAGAAGTTTATAAAATTTAATGCCAATAAATTTTGCAAGGTTGGCTTTAGTTTCACTAAACACGAAACTAGTTTGAAAACTGTACTTAGTTGCCTTTGAAAATCTTGGTATGGAAGATTTTTGAAAAGCAAATCTACAAATATAGATTTTTTTCTTTAACAAGGTAGCATTTGTATTACCTCAATATGTGGACATTTATAGAATATATTTTTCATTCAAGTTTAAAAAGTAATATTTGCAATTCTAGAAAAACTCCTGGTGGAGAAACAAGACACTTTTACAGAAAAATTAATTACTCAGATCATAAAAAATCTTCAAGTGAAAATTTCCAACATCCATATTCGTTATGAAGATGATGTAAGTATTTTAACAAATGAACCTTGTTTTTATATTTATATATATTCCACTGTTTAAGGAAACCTGCTCTGTAGTAGCCCATCTATTATATGCTGGGAAGTGAAGGAATAGGGCTGAAAATGACATAATCTTTCTTTTCTGTAACTATAGTTGTAATTTGCAGTCCTTCCTGCCTTGGTTACAATTCCCTAAAGTGTTCAAACATCAGATAATGAAGGAAAATGCCTATCTTAGTACCTGTGATAGGTGGGATTATGAATTTAGCTATTATATGGTTTTAAGAGACTTTAAATTATACGGTATTTATTTCCTGGAAAGAGCACTGGTCTAGGAATCAGTAGAGCAAGATTTAACTAACTGATCTCAAATAGATCATGTATTCTCTCTAAAACACATAATGATTAGCTTCTCATAGTACTATTATGAAGGTCAATCATTTTTTGTAAGCTTTTTTTGATAAAGTGTAAAACATTATGCAGATGTATTATTTTAGAACACTAATGCATTGATGCTTAATATTTTAATTAATATGTATTAGGAAAAAATATAGAAATAAAAGTTGTTCTTGAAAGTATTAAATGTTTTTGAATGTTTGAAATTGCATTCTGTAATGTAAATTTTGTTCAACTACTAAAAATCTGAGAAAAATGTACTGTGTTTCCTCTTTAGATCACAAATCAAGAAAACCCACTGTCATTTGGTATTTCTCTTCAAAATCTCAGCATGCAGGTACTTTGATTAAAAATAAATTTAACCATATTTAATTGTGTAGTTAAACTACAAATTGCTATTCATTTATGCAAGCATTAGAAATAGATGTCTATATAGAATTAGTACCTATAATACATGGATTGGATTGGAACTGAGGATAGGTAATTTCAAATTTGAAAAAATGGTTAATAACCAAATTCAAGTTAAAATACGAGGGCCTATTATTATTTGCTAATTATTGATATTTGATACTTGTTTTAAGCTTAAAATCCATCACTTGGTTTTTATTTTATTTTATTTTATTTTTTTTATATTCTTCTTTTTTTTATTGCTTAAAATATTACAAAGAGTATTACCATCACTTGTTTTTTAAATATATTTTTTATTGATTTCAGAGAGGAAGAGAGATGGAGAGAGAGAGAGAGAGACATCAATGATGAGAGAGAATCATTGATCGGCTGCCTCTTGCATGCCCCACACTGGAGATCGAGCCCACAACCTGAGCATGTGCCCTGATCAGGAATTGAGCCATGAGCTCCAGGTTCATAGGTTGACACTCAGTGCTCAACCACTGAGCCATGTTGGCCAGGCCAATTTCTGAGAAACTTTTGGAAACTTTGGTAAGTCATGAAAAGTACAAAGAAACAAGCCACCGTGTTCTCATCATTATTTATAATGTGGAATACTGATAAAAACTCTCAGCAAAGTGGGAATAGAGGGATCATACCTCAACATAATAAAAGCCTTAAATGACAGACTTACAGCCAATATCATACTCAGTGGGCAAAAACTAAAACCATTTCCCCTAAGAAAAGGAACTGGATAGGGATGCCCATTTTCACCACTCCTGTTCGACATAGCATTTCCAATACTATGTCGAACAGGAGTGGTGAAAATGGGCATCCCTATCCAGTTCTTCTTCTTTCTTTCTTTCTTTTTTTTTTTTTTTTTTCAAATTAGCACATTTTTTTACTTAGAAAAACAAACCGTGACACAAGGTGATTATTTGAATATTAGTACAAAGAATTTAAACATACAAGTTTGGCTATAAAAAATCAGGTTAAGCAACTTAGGTAAAAGTCTATCTGTGATGACATGGTTTCCAAGAAGTGCCCTAAAAATCACACAATTAAACATTTCTCTGTGCTTTTTTTTAAAATTCCAGAAGTGTTGTACAGAGAGGTTCATCAACTCATATAGACAGATAAAATATATTGGGGGGGGGGGGAGCTGAACTGGCATTTCCACATTTTATCAATTCAGAAATGAATTTAAAGCAAATAACGAGGTATCTATACAAGAAAGGCAGCTTACAATAATGTTTCTATTGGTACATTACAATTTTTCAGTTTGTATTTTTTAAATGGAGGGGCATCTGTGACATAATATATATAAAAAAACAGAGACCAGTTCTTTTTCTTAGGGGAAATGCTAGCCATAGCAATCAGATAAGAAGAAGAAATAAAAGGTACCCAAATTGGAAAAGAAGAAGTAAAACTGTCATTATTTGCAGATGACATGACATTGTACATAGAAAACCCTAAAGACTCCGTAAAAAGAAACTACTAGACTTAATAAATGAATTTGGCAATGTAGTAGGATACAAAATTAACACCCAGAAGTCTATGGCATTTTTTATACACCAATAATGAACTCAAAGAGACACTAAAAAAAAACAAAAAACTTTACCTAAAGATACAAATTATGAACAACAAATACTCATCTATCAACAAGTGAATCTAAGAATCAAGTGAATAAATAATCTGATGAACAGAATGAACTGGTGATTATAATAGAATCAGGGACATAGAAAGGGAATGGACTGACTATTCTTGGGGGGGGTAAGGGCTGTGGGAGATGCGGGAAGAGACTGGACAAAAATCGTGCACCTATGGATGAGGACAGTGGGTGGGGAGTGAGGGCGGAGGGTGGGGTGGGAACTGGGAGGAGGGGAGTTATGGGGGGAAAAAAGAGGAACAAATGTAATAATCTGAACAATAAAGATTTAATAAAATAAAATAAAATAAAATAAAATTACCCCCCCCAAAAATCATACTTACCATTGCAATAAAAAAGTTAAGATATCTAGGAATAAACTTAACTAAGGAGGTAAAAGACCGGTACTTGGAAAACTACAAGACATTGAAAAAGAGATAGAGGAAGACATAACCAAATGGAAGAATATACTGTGTTCATGGATTGGTAGAATCAACATCATTAAAATGTCCATACTACCCTAAGCAATTTATAGATTCAATGCAATCCCCATTAAAATACCAACGGCATATTTCACAGACCTAGAACGAACACTCCAAAAATTTACATGGAATGAAAATAGTAGCCACAGCAATCCTGAGAAAGAAGAACAAAGTTGGAGGGATCACAATACCAGATATCAAGCTATATTACAAAGCCACTGTTCTCAAAACTGTCTGGTACTGGTACAAGAACAGATTATATAGACTAATGGAACAGAACAGAGAACCCAGAAATTGACAGAAGCTGTTATACTAATTAATATTTAAAAAAGGAGGCAAGAGCATACAATGGAGTCAAAACAGTCTCTTCAGTAAATGGTGTTGGAAAATTGAGCAGATACATACAAAAAAATGAAACTAGATCACCAACTTACACATTACACAAAAATAAACTCAAAATGGATAAAGGACTTAAGTAAGATGGGAAACCATAAAAATCTTAGAAGAATCCATAGGCAGCAAAATATCAGACAAATGTCATAGCACTAGCTTTACTCCTAGGACAGTGGAAACTAAGGAGAAATTAAACAAATGGGACTACATCAAAATAATCATCTGCACAGCAAAAGAAACCATCAACAAAACAGTCCACTGTATGGGAGAACATATTTGTTATCTTTGATAAGGGTTTCATCTCCAAAATTTATAGGGAATGCACACAACTTAACAAAAGGAAGATAATCCAATCAAAAAAATGGGCAAAGGACCTAAATAGACCTCTTATGAAAGAGGACATACAGAAGGCCAAGAGACATGAAAACATGCTCAAAGTCACTAATCATCTGAGAGATCCAAATCAAAACAAGAATGAGATACCATCTCACACCTTTCAAAATGGCCATCATCAACAAATCAACAAACAACAAGTGCTGGCAAGGATGTGGAAAAAAAGGAACCTTCATGCGTTGTTGGTGGGGATGCAGGCTGGTGCACTCACTGTGGAAAACAGTATGGAGTTTCCTCAAAAAGTGAAAAATGAAACTCTCATTTGACTCAGTAATCACACTTCTAGAAATATATCCCAAGAAATCAGAAACGCCAATCAGAAAGTATATATGCCCCCCTATGTTCATGGCAGCACAATTTACAATAGCTAAAATTTGTTAACAGCCTAAGTGCCCATCAGCAGATGAGTGGGTTTGAAAAACTATGGTACATCTACACAATGGAATACTATGCCACTATTGAAAAGAAGGAACTTTTACCATTTGCAACAGCATGGATGGACCTGGAGAGTAAAATAAGCCAGTCGGAGAAAGATAAATATTACATGATCTCACTCATATGTGGGATTTAATGACCAACATAAACTAATGAACAGAAATAGATCCAGAGACAACGAAACACCGAACAGACCATACAACCTTAGAGGGAAGGCAGGGGTGGACGGTGGGGGGAGGGAGGGTGCTGGGGAAGCAGGGGGAGGGCATGGGGCAGGGGGTAAGAGATCAAGCAAAGGACTTGTATACATGCATATTAGCATAACCAATGGACATGGACACTGGGGCAGTGGGGGCTCGTTCTAGGGATGGGAGTGGCCAGGGAGGGATCAGTTGGGAAAAAGGAGACATATGTAATAACTTTAAACAATAAAAATAAATAAAAAAGATTGCTAGTGGAACATAAAAAGTAGACACCAAGGGAGTTAATTTTTATAAAAAAATAAAAGTGGCATACTTTATGTCTAATTTTTCAAATTGAGGAATTTTACAAGTCTAGGAGCACACAGAATTATGAAACATTCGCTTTTAATGGAAAGAAAAATTGGTAAAATTGTCAATTTGTTTAAGTTTTAAATACTTTAAAAGAATAAACTGTTATGAATACAGTTTAAATTCCTTTGTCTTCTACTGCTATGCTTTCCTTTAGCTCCGGAGATAAACATCCTAAGTTTTTACACTTTTATATAATATAGCAATTAAAATTATATGTAGTATTTGGTAGGGTTTGAAAAGCTACATAAATATTTTATGTGATTCTTCTATTAAGTTCCCCTTTTCTCCTCACAATGTGTTTGACATCTGTGTTGCCACATGTAATTTATAATTCATTCCATTTAACTGCTGTATTCTTTACATGCTTGCTTTTGTATTCATTAGTTTTTTGTGTATGACTTTTTTTTTAAAAAAAACAAAACAAAACAAAACATGGTCTACTCTAAGAAATGCCAAATGAAAAGTTACTCAGTAATGTTGGGTGGGGTAAAATGTCAAATGCTCTGCTGAAAAAAAAGGATGGATAAGGATAGAGAATTAGCTGTTGTAATTAGCATTGTGAAGACCATTGGTGACTGTGACAGCAGTGATTTTGAACATCACCTTTGCAGGGCCTTGGAAACTTGTTCCCCAGCCCAGACCTATTCCCTTAGAAACTCAGGAATGGTTCCAGCAATCCATGTTTTAAAAAGCCCTCTATGTGATACTATTGCATAATAAAGTTTGAGAACCACCGTTCTAATTCATTTAGTTCTGTACCAAAAAAAAATGAAAACCGCCGAAACCGGTTTGGCTCAGTGGATAGAGCGTCGGCCTGCGGACTGAAGGGTCCCAGGTTTGATTCCGGTCAAGGGCATGTACCTGGGTTGCGGGCATATCCCCAGTAGGAGATGTGCAGGAGGCAGCTGATCGATGTTTCTCTCTCATCGATGTTTCTAACTCTCTGTCTCTCTCCCTTCCTCTCTGTAAAAAATCAATAAAATATATTTAAAAAAAAAATGAAAACCATCTTTTTAAATAAGCATCTTGATTCTCCTCAGGGGCTTTTTATTGCTTTTATAATAAAGCCCATAGTTTTGCCTTCAAGTCATTTATAATCCTTTTGTAATCTGATAGCAGGTAAGATAACTGATTTCAACTTTTTTTTAAAAAATATATTTTATTGATTTTTTACAGAGAGGAAGGGAGAGAGATAGAGAGTTAGAAACATCGATGAGAGAGAAACATCAATCAGCTGCCTCCTGCACATCTCCTACTGGGGATATGCCCGCAACCCAGGTACATGCCCTTGACCGGAATCGAACCTGGGACCCTTCAGTCCGCAGGCCGACGCTCTATCCACTGAGCCAAACCGGTTTCGGCTCAACTCTTTTCTTTGTTTTACATTGTATTTTCAGGCCATAGTGGGCCATTTTACTTCTCTGAACATGTCAGATATTCGCATATCTTTCTAGAATGAATAATATTCCCTATTGACCTTAGAATCAGTAATTTCTATTCATATGTTATATGTTCGGTTAGACATCACTTTCTCCATTTTTAAAAATAATCGTTTGAGGCTTCTACTATATTTTCCCAGTATTGTATATTTAACCTCTGTAGTGGCACTTACTTGATTGTAATGGTTTCTTTATGTCTTTGCTTTTCAATCAATAATGAGCTCATTGAAAGCAGATACTTGTGGTTCAGTTATTTCTTGAATGTTATGTTTTCAAAGACATTTTCATGGGAAATTGGTGTAGGGAGTAATTGATAGGATTTATCACTCTGCCACATAGCACTTGGAAATGACACATTTATTGCCTTTCTTATTCCAGACAACTGATCAAAACTGGGCTCCATGTTTACATGATGAAACTGAGAAACTATTTCGTAAGGTAAAATAAATAAATACTATATTTTGTCTACTCATTGAGTTGACAAAAGAAACTTTTTGAAAAGCTAATGTAATATATAATATGTATTTATGCAAATTGTGTTTACTTGCTTAACTCTGTTATATGACTCAATTATTTGAGGCTTCTGAAAATAGCATATGTTTATGATCTTTCAAAGAAAATGAGACAAATAATGAACTATTTATTTTTAGTTAATCCGCTTGGATAACCTTTTTGCTTATTGGAATGTGAAGTCTCGGATGTTTTATCTTACTAGTTATGATGATTCATTGGTAAGTAACTTTTTAAAAATATGTGTATATACACATTTGTTGATATATTTTGCATAAAGTTTTATTCATTGTCATTTACCTAACGTACTGTAGTCAGTGGTCATTTTTTTTTAGGCAAAATCAATTAGCAGAATTTATAGAAAATAGGTGAATATATGTACCTGTATACAACCATGTATAAACACACACCTTGTTTTTTAATAATTGACATAAAATATTATATTAGTTTCAGGTGTACAATTTGATATTTGTATATATTACAAAATAATTTCCACAATAATTCTAGTTAGCATCTCTCACCATACAGTTACAAAATGTTTTTTTTATGAGATGAAAACTTGTAAGATTCCCTTAGTAACTTTCAAATGCAATGCAGTATTATTAACTACTAGAGGCCCGGTGCACAAAAATTTGTTCACTCGGGGGGCAGGGGGGTCCCTCAGCCCGACCTGTGCCCTCTCGCAGTCTGGGACCCCTCGGGAGATAATGACCTGCTGGCTTAGGCCTGCTCCCGGGTGGCAGAGGGCAGGCCCAATCCCTAGGTGCAGCCCCTGGTCGGGCTCAGAGCAGGGCCGATTGGGGAGTTGGGGCACCGCCCCTGTCATACACAGAGCAGGGCGATCGGGAGGTTGTGATTCCACCCTCAGTCACGCTCAGGGTAGGGCCAATTGGGGGGTTGGGGCACCATCCCCTGTCACACTCAAGGCAGGGTCGATGGGGAGGTTGCGGCGCCACCCCCTGTCATGCACAGAGCAGGGCCAATCAGGGGGTTGGGCATTTCCCCCTGTCACTCACAGAGCAGGGCCCATCAGGGGGGTTGGGGCTCTGTACCCTGTCACGCACAGAGTAGGGCCAGTCAGGAGGCTGGGGCGCAGCTCCCTGTCACGCACAGAGCAGGGCCCATCAGGGGGTTGGGGTGCTGCCACTCTCACACTCAGGGCAGGGCCGATGGGGAGGTTATGGCTCTACCCCATCACACACAGAGCAGGGCCCTTGGGGGGGCGGTTGGGGCGCCGCACCCTGTCACACACTTAGCCGCAGGGCAATCAGGGGGTTTGGGCGCTGCCCCCTGTCACACTGATCCCCGTGCCAGGAGGCCTCGCGGCTCCGCTGATCCCAGTGCTGGGAGGCATATTACCCTTTTACTATATAGGGTAGAGGCCTGGTGCATGGGTGGGTGCTGGCTGGTTTGCCCTGAAGGGTGTCCTGGATGAGGGTGGGGGTCCCCACTGGGGTGTCTGACCAGCCTGGGTGAGGGGATGATGGCTGTTTGCAGCTGGTCACACATCCTTCAGGGTGGGGGTCCCCACTGGGGTGCCTGGCCAGCCTGGGTGAGGGTATGATGGCTGTTTGCAGCTGGTCACACACCCTTCAGGGTGGGGGTCCCCACTGGGGTGCCTGGCCAGTCTGGGTGAGGAGCTGAGGGCTGTTTTCAGGCTGGGGGTGACTGAAGCTCCCAACTGCTCCTTTTTTTCTTTTGTTCTTTTTTTATTCTGGGCCAGCTTTAGCTTTGAGGCTTGGCTCCAGCTCTTAGGCCTCCTCTGCTGAAAGTAGGTTTCTGGCCTTTGCTTACAATGTTGCGATCCTGCTGGCTGAAGCCCAGCAGTTTTCTGGGGTTTTGTTTAGCTTCTATGTTTGTTTAGCTTCTATAGTTGCTTGCAGCTCAGAGGCCTGCAGCGGCAGGCGGGGAACGTTGGAGTTCTCCGTCACTGAAGCAAGCAAGCCTCATGTTAGTTTCAAGCTGCCTGGCTGCCGGCCGCCATCTTGGCTGACAGTTAATTTGCATATTGCCCTGATTAGCCAATGGGAAGGGTAGCGGTCGTACGCCAATTACCATGTTTCTCTTTTATTAGATAGGATAGTCACCATGTTGTATGTTAAATCACCATGTTGTATGTAAAATAAATACTTACTTTATAACTAGAAGATTGTACATTTTGACTCCTATCACCCATTTTGCCACCACCCACCCCCTGCCTCTGGCAACCAGCAGTCTGTTCTCTTATTTATGAGCTTGTCTGTCTTTTTTTTTGTTTGTTTTTTTAGGTTTTACATATTAGGTACAATATTTGTCTTTCTCCATCTATTTTACTTAGTGTACTCCCCTCAAAGTCTACCTGTGTTGTCTCAAATAGCAAAATTTCCTTTTTTTTTTTTTTTTGGCTGAATGATATTTTGTTACATATTTATATACACACCACGTTTTCTTTATTCATCTGTCAATGGATGTTTAGGTTGTTCCCATATCTTGCAGGCAGTGAACATGGATGCATATATCTGTTTGAGTTAGTGTTTTTGTTTTATTTGGTAAGTATCCAGACGTGGAATTGCTGGGTCATATGGAGTTCTATTTTAAATTTTATGTTGAATCTTCATACTGTTTTCCATAGTGGTTGCACCCATTAACATTGCACAAGTGTTTCCCTTTTTCCATATCTTTTCAAATACTTGTTATATCTTGTCTTTTTTATAATTCTTATTCTAATAGGTATTAGGTGATATTATATTGTACTCTGATTTGCATTACCCTGATGATTAGTGAGGTTGGATATTTTTTTATGTACCTGTTGGTCATCTGTATGTTTTCTTTGGAAAAATGTTTATTCAGAACTTCTGCTCATTTTGTAATCAGGTTGTTTATTTTTTTAACTTATGAGTTGTATAAGTTCTTTATATATTTTGGATATTGACCCCTTATCAGATATATGAATAGTAAATATTTTTTCCTACTCAGTAGATTGTTTTTTTTATTTTGTTGATGGTTTCCTTTGCTGTGTAGAAGCTTTTTAGTTTGATGTAGTCTCACTTGTTTTTGCTTTCGTTTCATTTAATTTTGGTAGCCGAAACCGGTTTGGCTCAGTGGATAGAGCGTCGGCCTGCGGACTGAAAGGTCCCAGGTTCGATTCCGGTCAAGGGCATGTACCTGGGTTGCGGGCACATCCCCAATAGGAGATGTGCAGGAGGCAACTGATCAATGTTTCTCTCTCATCGATGTTTCTAACTCTCTCTATCTCTCTCCCTTCCTCTCTGTAAAAAATCAATAAAATATATTTAATTTTGGTGTCAGATCCAAAAAATCATCACTAAGTCCAGCATCATGGACATTACCATGTATATTTACTTCTAGGATTTTTATGGTCTCAGGTCTTACATTCAAATTTTAATCCGTTTTGAGTTAATTTTTGTTTATGGTGTAAGATATTGGTACAGTTTTATTATTTTGCATGTGTCTACCCAGTTTTCCCAAATTTAATCTTTGTTGTAAATTAATTGGCCATATGTGTATGGGCTTATTTCTGGGCTCCCTATTCTGTTCCACTGGTCTATGTGTCTGTGTTTATTCTAGTACTACATTGTTTTGGTAACTACAGTTTTGTAATAGAGCTTGAAATCAAGGAGTGTGATGCTTCTAGCTTTGTTCTTGTTTCTCAAGATTGCTTTGGTTATTTGGGATCTTTTGTGATTTCATACACATTTTATGATTGTGCTTTTTCTGTGAAAAATGCCATTGGAATTTGGACAGGGATTGCATTGAATCTGTAGATAGCTTTGGGTAGTATGGATTTTTTTTTTTAGCAATATTCTTACAGTCTTGAGTGTGGAATATCTTTCCATTTACTTGTGTCTTCAGTTTCTTTTAGGAAAGTCTTACAGTTTTCAGTATACAGGTCTTTCACTTTCTTAGTTAAATTTATTTCTAAGTTTTTTTTTCTTTTTGATTTAGTTGTAAATGGAATTATTTCCTTAATTTTGCTTTCTGATGGTTTGTTACCAGTGTATAAGAAATGCAAACGATTTCTGTATATTGATTTTTGTGTCCTGCATCTTTACTGAATTTGTGTATTCTACTATCTACACTAATAAAAGAGAAACATGGTAATTGGCGTACGACTGCTACCCTTTTCATTGGCTAATCAGTGAGATATGCAAATTAACTGTCAGCCAAGATGGCAGCTGGCAGCCAGGCAGCTTGAAACTAACATGAGGCTTGCTTGCCTCAGTGACGGAGGATCGTTGGAGGAAACCAACATTCCCCGCCTGCGGCTGCAGGCCTCTGAGCTGGCAGTTTAAGAAACATTGTAACAAATACCGGCGGACTTCAGCCAGCAGATTTGCAACATTGTAAGCAAAGGTCAGAAACCTACTTTCAGCCGCGGAGGCCTGAGAGCTGGAGCCAAGCCTCAAGGTAAAGCTGGCCCAGAATAAAAAAAAAAAAAGAAAAAAAAGGAATGGTTGGGAACTTCAGTCACTCCCAGCCTGAAAACAGCCCTCAGCCCCTCACCCAGACTGGCCAGGCACCCCAGTGGGGACCCCAACCCTGATCAAGGACACCCTTCAGGGCAAACCAGCCGGCCCCACCCATGCACCAGGCCTCTACCCTATATAGTAAAAGGGTAATATGCCCCCCGGCACCAGGATCAGTGTGACAGGGGGCAGCGCCCAAAACCCCTGATCGCCCTGCGGCTCTGTGTGTGACAGGGGGCCGGGCCCCAACCCCCTGAGCAGCCCTGCTCTGTGCCTGATAGGGGGGACCTCCCCAACCCCCCCGCCCACCCCCCCGGGCCCTGCTCTATGTGTGATGGGGTGGAGCCATAACCTCCCCATCGGCCCTGCCCTGAGTGTGAGAGTGATGGCACCCCAACCCCCTGATTGGCTCTGCTCTGTGGGTGATAGAGGGCGGTGCCCCAACCCCCTGATGGGCCCTGCTCTGTGTGTGACGGGGGCAGCGCCTCAACCCCCTGATTGGCCCTGCTCTGTGCGTGACGGGGTGGCGCCGCAACCTCCCCATCGACCTTGCCTTGAGTGTGACAGGGGACGGTGCCCCAACCCCCCAATTGGCCCTACCCTGAGCGTGACTGAGGGTGGCATCACAACCTCCCAATCTGCCCTGCTCTGTGCATGACGGGGCGGCGCCCCAACTCCCCAATCGGCCCTGCTCTGAGCCCGACCAGGGGCTGCACCTAGGGATTTGGCCTGCCCTCTGCCACCTGGGAGCAGACCTAAGCCAGCAGGTCATTATCTCCTGAGGGGTCCCAGACTGCGAGAGGGCACAGGCCGGGCTGAGGGACCCCCTCCCCCCCGAGTGCACAAATTTTTGTGCACCGGGCCTCTAGTATATATATATGAAAGCCTAAGTGACCATTACAACCAGATGTCTGGCCAGTAGCTATGACATGCACTGACCACCAGGGTGCAGACCCTCAACGTAGGATCTGCCCCTGGTGGTTAATGCGCTCCCACAGCCAACCTCTCCTTGCTGGTAACCTCTCACGGTCCCTCATGCCTGGCCAACCATCCTCAATTGGCCCCAATTGCCAGCCAGGCCGAGGGACCCCACCCGTGCACGAATTCCTGCACCAGGCCTCTAGTGTTAAATAAAAGTAGTGACAATGGACATCCTTGTCTTGTTCCTGACCTTAGAGGAAAACTCTGAACTTTTCACTGTTGAGTGTTATATGAGCTGTGGTTTTGTCATATATTCCCTTTACTATGGTCAAGTGTAATTGTACCTCTATATCCACTTTGGCATAGAGAGTTTTAATCATAAATGGGTATTGAATTTTGTCATATTTTGTATATGTCCCTATATATAAACATGTTTAAACATATATCTTAATATTTCTAAGGTATTCTTTTATGAGATAATTGTCTTTAATGAACTATTATCCATACCACTTTAATATGTTCTTTTATCAGAATCCTCCTAAGTTTGAGTTATTAATTTTTTATAAATTGCTTTTAAACTTTTTCATTTGCATACAATAGGGTTTTGTCAGATAAAGATATCTTGTCATTAATATAAATAAAAGCAATTTATCTTTTAATAGGACAGCTTGAGGAATGGAATTGTTGATGAAAATATTGTTCCAGAAGGTTATGATTTTGGTAAGCATGTTTCCTAAAGTAAAAATTGCAATTTTTATTTTATTTTATTTATTTATTAATAAATTTTAAATGAATATTGTTGATGTAACTGTGCCTTTTCATGTTAATATCTCATGTAATTAAATGTATTTGTGATATGTATATATATATATATATACACACACACACACACACACACACACACACACACATATATATATGCAAAAGAAAACACATATATGTCATTCATTGTTGGGGAGCTTTTGGCTATATATCAAAACCAGGAAAGAAAAATGTCTAGTAAGAGTGATTGTTAATAAATTGTGAGTTCTCTATTTAATAAAGCTATGATAATTTTTAAAAGACATTTTAACATGGCAAATGCAATTTAATAAGGCTAGATGCTGCAGTCTATAGTGTGACCTTACTATTTTAAAAATGTGTACTTAAATTTTTTCTTTATTTTTTTCTGATTTTAAATAGTCTGAAATGAACATGTAGTATTTTAGTAATCAGAAATAAGTTATTAAAATATGCAGTGAAAAAGAGTGCTGTTTCTTCTATCCTCAAGGCACTCAATAAATATTGATTGGTGATGGATAACTCGACTGACGTTGTTAATCATAGACTATCCTTCCTGAAATTCTTTTTTTGGCTTACAGACAACAATGTCAATTATAGATAGAAAAAAGATAACAGAAACTTTTTCACCAATTAAATTACAGTTCATCTGACCAAATCATAGCATTGTGGAAATATGGAACTGTAAAAGAATATATAAGACATGAAAATCAGTATTTTCAACTCGATCCTTTTAGTACTATGAAACTCTTGAAATGTAACTCAGTTTAATTTTTTAAAATTTATATTATTTTCCAGTATTTCGCCCCATATCTGCTAAAGCCAAACTTCAGATGAATCGCCGATCTGATTTTGACTTTTCTGCCCCCAAGATAAAACTGGATGTTGAATTACATGACATAGCTATTGAATTTAATAAACCACAGGTGATTTTTTAAATGGTATTTTAAATTGTGAGTTATAGTTTGATAAAAATAGAACTAAGATTTTAAATGTTTTCCCTTTAAAAAATTTTTTTTGTTAAAATATTTTTAATGTTGACATTATTCCTTTCCCCCACCTTTGCCCCCCTCCATCCTCCCCTGCCTACCTCTTCCTGGCCTTTACCAAATTATTGTCTGTGTCCATGGTATGCATATGTGTTCTTTAGCTATTACCTTCACCTTCTTTGTCCAGTCACTCCCACCTTCCTCCCCTTGGGCAAAGGCCAGTTTGTTATATGTTTTTCATATTTATGCTTCTGGTTCCCTTTTATTTATCAATTTATTTATGTTTTTTAAAAATTCATAGTTACAATGTAAAATTTCCTTTACAAAGTTTAACTTAGCTTCAATGATTGGAAAAAATCTGAAACATGTAAGAGCTTTATTTTTTTCATCCTTCAGTATTTCAGTCTTATGGAGCTTCTTGAATCAGTTGATATGATGACGCAAAATCTGCCATATAGGAAATTCAAACCTGATGTACCTGTTCACGGCCATGCCAGAGAATGGTAAAATGTCTTAAATTTTTTAGATTGAAGTATAATTGATATACAATTTTATATTAGTTTCAGGTGTACAACATAATGATTCAAATTATCACCCTTAGTTACCATTCCTACCATATGGAGCTACAAAATTTTTCTTGTGATAAGAACTTTTAAGATGTACTCTCTTAGCAACTTTTAAATATGCAGTGCAGTATTATTAAGTTTAGTTGCCATGCTGTACATCATATCCCCATGACTTATTTATTTTATAACTGAAAGTTTGTAACTTTTGACCCCCTTCACCCATTTTGCTCACCCCAAACTCTGCTTCTGGCAACCACCAACATATTTTCTATACCTATGAGCTCATTTCCTGTCACCTAAAGATTCTATATATGAGTGAAATCATATATTTTTGTCCTTTTTTTACTCACTTCACTTAGCATAATGTTCTCAGGGTTCATTCATGTTGTCATAAGTGGCAAGATTTTTTTTATGGCTAAATAATATTCCATTATTGTGTATATATTACCACATTTTCTTTATTCATTCTTTCGTCAGTGGATACTTAGGTTGTCTTCATGTCTTGGCTATTGTAGATAATGTGGCAGTGAATGTGGGGGTGCATATATCTTTTTGATGTAGTCTTTTCATTTTCTTCAGTTAAATTTCCGTAAGTGGATTTGCTCAAACTAAAACCTTTTAAAAGATTTTTTTAAAAAATATATTTTATTGATTTTTTTTACAGAGAGGAAGGGAGAGGGATAGAGAGTTAGAAACATCCATGAGAGAGAAGCATCGATCAGCTGCTTCCTGCACACCCCCTAATGGGAATGTGCCCACAACCAAGGTACATGCCCTTGACTGGAATCGAACCTGGGACCCTTGAGTCCGCAGGCTGAAGCTCTGTCCACTGAACCAAACTGGTTAGGGCCTTTTTTAAAAGATTTTAAGAATATAACATAAAAGTGAATTTCTTGACTTTTTTAAGATACTCTAAAGACCAACACAAACTATAGTTTGATTTGCAATTATAAATTACTTAAGGGATTCTTTATAATGGAATTTATAACTGGAGTACTAGAATAACATTTATTCACTGTATTTTTTGAATTATTGAACCATATTCCAGTTTTTTGTCTAGCAGTGTCTTTAAAAGTTTCAAACTTTTGTATTATACACATTAAACGTGTTATTAAATCTGAAAAGGTTACGGGCGTATATAAAGTACTACCCCTTTTTGAAATTCAAAGTCTTGTCATTACAGTTATTAAGCTCTTGCATAGTTTCTAGAAATTGCAATTACTCTTTCAGTTGACTGTTTTAATTATTATTCATGGGACTAAAGTGCTGTTTGCCCATTAATATTTTAATAGTTTTTCTGGAGACATATTTATTGCAATAAAATTTAAAGATTTTGCTTATTTTCACTTAGGAAAGATAATATTAATTACTGTAAAAACAAATATGATGGAAAAAAGCAGGTGCTCACATTACATACCATTTTAATATTCTTTGAATGATAGTTATGTATGTTAGAGTAGAAGCAATATCAATTTATTTCATACTGTTGGTATGAGGGTGTTAAGTGTAGGGTTTATGTTTTTGTTTTTTAACTAGGTGGGCTTATGCTATACATGGTATTCTTGAAGTAAATGTTTGCCCCCACTTGCGGATGTGGTCATGGAAACATATTAGCGATCATCGGCAACAAATGAAGCAATATAAAGAACTCTATAAGAAAAAACTTATAAATAAGAAGCCACCTGTGGAACTTCTCAGCTGTTTGGAGGTTAGCATTTTAAAAAATAGTTGAATATTTTGTGCCTTAAAACTTCTAAGTCTTTATGGACTTCCTCATTATTTGTTCTAATTGTGGAAATCTGTAACCAACCCAAAGGCCTCTAAAAATTAAGCATTTATATTTGCCTACGTCTTGAGAAAGTCTTCTACCTCAAAAACCATTCTCTTTCTTTTACTTACACTTTTTTCTTACTCCTGTTTAAACTCAGTTGGGTGATAGAAGCTTTGGTGTTATTCTCCTGGGAGCTTTTGGAAGATGAGATTATTCTGAATCTGGAGAGATTTGGGTTCATGCAAATAATAACTTGAAGCTTTATATTATTAAAACACTAGAGGCCTGGTGCACGAAATTCGTGCACAGAAGGTGGTTCCCTCAGCCCAGCCTGTACCCTCTCCAATTGGGGACCCCTTGGGGGATGTCCAACTGCCCGTTTAGGACATCCTAACCTGGCATTTGGACATCCCTCTCGCAATCTGGGACCACTGGCTCCGAACTGCTCACCTGCCTGCCTGCCTGATAACCCCTAACTGCCTCTGTCTGCCAGCCTGATCACCCCTAACTGCCCTCCCCTGCTGGCCTGGTAGCCCCTAACTGCCTCTGCCAGCCTGCCTGATCACCTCTAACTGCCCTCCCCTGCTGGCCTGATCTCGCCCCCAATGGCCCTCCCCTGCCGGACTGATCTTGCCCTCAACTGCCCTCCCCTGCTGGCCTGATCTTGCCCCCCAACTGCCCTCCTCTGCTGGCCAATTTGGTTCTGATTAGTCAGTTTCTATGCCAGTCAGCATCAAAAGCTCTGCCTCCTAGGCAGCCATTGGCTCCGACAGCACCCAGATTTGGTTCTGATTGGTTGGTTTTTATGCCAGTCAGCGTCAGAAGCTCCGCCTCTTAGGCAGCCATTGGTTCTTCACAGCACCCACATTTGGTTCTGATTGGTCAGTTCTTATGCCAGTCAGTGTCTCTGGGCTTATCAACGGGGCCTAATCAGAAAGGCAGGCTGATCAGCAACACTGGTGAAGGCCTGGAGAGAAATGGAGGCATGGCTGCTGGCCAGACTGGGAGAGAAAGAGAGAAGCAATTGCTAATCAAAAGCTGCCACAGAGGCAACGGATCAGTCCCTGCCTCTCTCTTCAGGCCTCTCTCTGGCCCTGTTTCACAGCCAGCCCCCTCAGCAGTCAGTGCTAGAGCACCACGCCTGCAGTGGAAGCAATCAGCGCTGGTTTGCCATGGCAACCCAGCGCTGACTGCAGGACTGACTTGGGGTGGTCAAGCCTCGGTCATTACTGGTCGTTACAACCCAGGGTTTTTCTGTATTAAGATTTTTTTAACCTTAAAGGCTAAAATGTTTTTGTACATTGATTCCAAGTTCTCTGTTGTTTCCAAAGCCTTACATTATGTCACCACTGCATTTCCCCTGTGTAAACCATCTAACTGTGCATTAATCAAATACAATTTCCTATCATGTACATTTTGCTTATGCTTATAGCCAAATCTGTACTCATGTATTTCATTTGCCTTTCCTCATCTTTGCTTTTCCAGTTTTACTTATAACCTCAAGTTCTGCCTCAGTCCTATCTCTTATATGAATTTTCCTGAATTTTCTGCCCAGATAGAGCTCTTTTTCTTTTAATTCCTGTGGCATTTCTAGCCTTTACCAGCAACTTTAACTTTATTTATCTTGAGAGTTCTCTAAGTATTCATCATATGATCTTTTAGCATTACAGTGGTATATTCTAGAAGGAACTGTTTTACAGATGGATGAAGTACAGCTTAAGGACACTAAGAGGAGTTAACTTCTTGAAATTAATGTAACTGTTCTGATCCAATTTGCAACTCCTAAAGATTGAGTTTTATTTTTGTTTTTGAGGTAGGAGACTTTCTTAAGACCAAGACTAATATAAATGCTTAGTTTTTAGAGGTCTTTGGGTTGGTTACAGATTTCCGTACTTAAGCCATTTTTACCTTAACCTAAATCCTGCACGCCTGCTGGACAGTAGCACCCTAAGTTGTTTTCTAGATATTAGTGGGTCATGGTTGCTTGTCTTTGGGAAAAAAATTCTTTGCATGTGAAACTCCCAAATGTAATCATGGAAATAATGTATGGAGATATGATGAGAGATTTAGCTTTTATCAGCTTATTTTAATAGCCACAACAGCTTTGAAAAATATAAAAACAAGTTTTTGTTTTTTTTGAAAAATATATTTTATTGATTTTTCACAGAGAGGAAGGGAGAGAGATAGAGAGTCAGAAACGTCGATGAGAGAGTAACATCGATCAGCTGTCTCCTGCACATCTCCCACTGGGGATGTGCCCGCAACCCAAGGTACATGCCTTTGACTGGAATCGAACCTGGGACCCTTCAGTCCGCAGGCCGACGCTCTATCCACTGAGCCAAACCGGTTTTGGCTAAAAGCAAGTTTTAAGTGTGTCTAGATCTACTTGAAGCATCTTGATGATGGCATAGGAACTATGCACGTTATATGAAGGTTTTATAAATTGTATTTTTAGTTGAAAGTGACACTGTGTTTACCCTTACCTATAGTTAAAACCCAGATAAAAATCATTTTAAATAGTGCATGTTTGGTATCTTTTAGTATATATCTGTAAATCTTATGGAGTTGTAATTCATATGCATGCTGTAAGATTTCTTTGTTCAGAAAATTTTTTATCATTACTAACTTCCAAGCTGACATTGTTTCTCAGAATTTAACCAGGAATATTATGTTGATGGATGATCTGTTTTCTGCTTTCTATCATATCTTCAGTACAGCAATTTGACAGATTATATATACTAAAGTTATTTATAATTGTTTTATAATTGTTTATGTAAATACATTTTCCTTTATATTTTCAGGAGTTGGAGAAGACTCTGGATGTATTTAACATTACTATAGTGAGACAACAGGCAGAAGTTGAGGTAATTCCAGATTATCTTTCAGTTAGTAAAAACAAATCTAGAGTCCATATAGATTTGACAGGTGCTGTGATATTATTAGTATTGTGCTGTAATATACTGTTTCCTAAAACAGGTTCAAATTTGCTTTTTTGTGTTTGTTATAAGAAAATTTGATTTAATGTTTTGCCACATTCATTTAAATCAGATTCTGTTGGAAAAATATTATTTCTAGGTTATTGGATTTATACTCAGAGTAAATGTGAAGATGAAAAACCAATTTGATTTTTTTTTAAAATTATCTTTCTGTGTAAGACAGTGGGGTTAACTGCCTTGTAATACTAATTCTTATGTTTGGCTAATATTGCAGTTACTTTATTCTGTTGTCAGTTTGTAGAATGTTTACATTTATTTACTCAAGTAAACAGGTTTTGGAAATGTCAGGCTTATATTTCTTTAGATTGTTAAAGGATAATTTGTCATTTAATTAAAAATTTATATATTTTAGGTAAAGAAAGCTGGATACAGGATATACAAAGAAGGAACAGAAGATTCAGAGGAAAATAAAGGATGGTTTAACTGGTTGTGGACTTGGTCAGAACCAAAAACTAAAGAACAGCAGCCCGATGTTAAACCTGGAAGTATGTTCATTTTATTTTATAGTAGTGCAGTTAATCATCAGGTATGGTAATGTAGTTAATCATCAGGTATGAAAATTGTTTTGCAGAAAGTTCTCTCTCTAATTAAATATTATAAGTATATATGCATATGATACATACTTTATTCTTGTTATCAATAAAATTACTACTAAAACATTATAAATATATGACTAGTAAAAATTAAATAATTTTATTATTTTACTAGTGTTCACAAACGAGTTTTATGCCTAGGGGATTTGGTAAATGCATATAGCACAATAACAGATAAATAAAGATTTCAAAAGTGTATAAACCATTGTAAATTTTTATTTAATTGATTTCTTATAAAGATTTTCCTAACCAAATGCTTAAGATTAAAGCATTGAGGTCTTAGGGGCTTAGGTTTACATACTGAATCTATCACTTATTAGCACTGTGTCTCTGGTAAGTTATTTAGCTCTTTGAATCTCAGTTTTATTAATTGTAAAACGGGGAAATTATGATATTAGTACTACTTACTTTTTGTGCTAGGTGTATTGCCTAGTACAGTGCCAAATACAGTTAGCCACTTTGTAAGCTCTTGGTTGATACCAGTATTTAGAAATTTATAGTTTTGGAGAATAATCCTTCTAAAATTGCCAATGTCATTCTAACATTGTGATTATAATGTCTTAGAAGTATTATCAAAAGAGTAAAATTTACATTTAATTTACTAAAGGCATCTAAATTATGGGTTAGTTTTATCTTGTTATCAGTTAAAAACATAGAACACTTTGTTTATAATTTGTAGGTCTTGAAGAAATCTTGACACCTGAAGAAAAAACTTCACTCTATGAAGCAATTGGCTATAGTGAAACAGCAGTTGACCCAACCTTGCCAAAATCAGTAAGGTTTTGATGCCTTATATTTCACTGTTGAAAGATATTTTTAATCTTTTTGGAATTACTGACTTGTTCTGTGATTTTCTTCTGGGTCCATAAATATTGTTTTTATTTTAATTTCCAAGGTAGGGATAAATATTGTCCCATACTTTGTAATGTTATAGGGTGATTCTTTAAGATATAAGGGTTGCTTTTAAACTGTCTTCTGGTTTTTGGAAAGAGTAAATTATGTGAATAGGATATGAATAAGAATGTTTGATATACATACATATGTGTGTGTATTTAATTTTATTCATCTGAATATACTCTAGTTTGAAGCCATGAAGTTGTACATGCACTTGAAAAGTATGTCTATTGTTCTAAGAGAAGAACAACAAAAACGTGAGCTGTTAAATATTGTAGTAGAAGAATTTAGCACTTGGGTTGTACAAAGACCAGGAGCACAAGCAATAAAGTAAGTATTCATTTATTTTCTTTTATCTTCTTTAAAAAATATATTTTTATTGATTTCAGACAGGAAGGGAGAGGGAGAGAGAGATAGAAACGGTAATGATGAGAGAGAATCATCTTTCAGCTGCCTCCTGCATACCCCATACTGGGGATGAGCCTGCAATCTGGGCATGTGCTCAGACCCAGAATCAAACCATGATCTCCTGGTTCATAGATCGATGCTCAATCACTGAGCCATGCTGGCCGGGTTATTATCTTTTATCTGTAAGAAAAAATTCACTGTGAAATTGGAAGATAGATTACAATTTTACCGTATTTTCCAAAGAGTACTATGGCTTAATATATCCTTTTGTATTTTTAGGAACTTAGATTTTTTTCAGTAATATATATATTTTATAATTATTAAAATAATACATATTCAGTAGAACACTGTGCATGCTCAGGAAACTAGAAGGACACTAAAGGATAATACAAAAACCTCAGTAAGCCACACTATACAAAGAAGAAACAACATTTGTTGTTAAAAATGACTTTTGTTTTTAAAAATGACTTTACTTCGGGGAAAAAAGGTACATCTGCAATACTTTGAACAATAAAGATTAATTAAAAAAACAAAACAGGAACACAGGCAATAGGGTGGTAAAGGCCTTGGGTGAGGGGACGGGGGTGGGCTGGGCTGGGTCAATGAGGGAAAAAGGGAACATGTAATACTTTCAACAATAAAGATTTTAAAAATAATAAAAAATAGCTTTACTGAGATATAATTCACATATACAATTCATCCATTTAAAGTGTGCAATTCATTTGTTTGTGACACTGTATGCCACATTACATTGTTATGTTTATCAGGTAATTCCAGAACATTTTTACACCCTAATAAAGAAACCCTAATACTCATTAGTTGTCACTCCTCATTGCCTCCCTCCCTTGTGTCAGCAATAACTAATTTACTTTATTCCTAAGACTTTGTTTTGGGCATTTAATATGCACAGAATCATGTAATATGGCCTTTCTGTCTGTCTTTCACTTACCATATTTCAAGGTTCATCCATGGTATAGCATTCATTTTTAATCCCTAATAATATTCCAGTATATGGATATATCACATTTTGTCCATTCATCAGAGGATGGGTAATGGATTATTTTCACTTATTGGGTATTATGCATAATGCTGCTATGAATATTCCTGGACAATATTTTGTGTCATTAAGTTTTAAATTACCTTGAGTATATACCTAGGAGTAAATTGTTTCACATGGTAACTCTGCTTAACCTTTGGAGGAATTGCCAGACTTTTCCATTTCTACCAGTAGTGTATTAGGTTTCCAATTTATCTGTATCATTGGCAACACTAATTTTTCCTTTTGATTATAGCCATTTTAATGGATATAAACTAGTCTCATTGGTTCGATTTGTATTTCCATTTCCCTGATTGCTAGTGAAGTTGAACATCTTTTCATATGCTTAGTCACTATATTTTTTTGGAAAAATATCTTTAAGTTCTTTTGCTCATTTTCAAATTAGGTTGTCTTTATTACTGAGTTGTAAGTGTTCTTTTTATATTATTTATATGTCTCTTATCACATAAAATATTTTCAATTAATTTTTCCCATTCATTGTTTTCTTTTAATTTTTAATGGTAGTCTTTTAAGCACAAAGTATATCTATTGCTAATATTTATTCTTTTTTCATGCAGATTTGAAACCAGAATAGATTCCTTTCATGTTACTGGCCTACCAGATAATTCAACAAAACCCCGCCTCCTGTCCTCATTGGATAATGCTGCATCACTTTTCCAGATTACATTTGAGACAAATCCATTAGATGAAACTGTTGCTCAAAGGTGTATCATAGAAGCTGAACCTTTAGAAATAATATATGATGCAGTAAGCATTTTTTAAATTTCTAAATTTTAATATATTTCAATTTGGTTTGATTTTATGCCTAATTTTAATGATACTTATTTTTCCCAGAGAACAGTGAATAGTATAGTGGAATTCTTCAGACCTCCAAAAGAGGTAAATCTAGCACAGCTCACTTCAGCGACTTTGACAAAACTTGAAGAATTTCGTGATAAGACAGCAACAGGTAAAAATGCCAGTATTACATACTGAATCTTGTACTAAACTCTTAGGCATTTAAAGCTGATTTTAGTAATGTATTAAGTTTCTTTCTAGACTAGATACAGTTTAATTGAAACTAATTTTATACTTAATTTAAACGCAGATATAGCAATTATTCCTTACACTCAGGTCAAACCTATTAACTACATTCAAGTTAATTACAAAATTTTGTTGGGATTTTTGAAATTGTGTTTGACAGAAACTGGCCTTTGAATTCTTTTATAAAATCATAGAACTTCATGCAATGGTCTTTTTGGTTTAATTCCCCTTTGCCTTTCAGTTCTCTTGTGATGTTTTCTAGCCTGTACCTGGTCTGAACAAAATTTTTTGATTGAAGTATAAAGGTTATACACATTAAATAAACTACATCACTTAAATTTTTTCAATCTAGCTATTCAGAATTTTACATACTAGTGTCCTATTGTCATTTTTATTTTCTTAGAATTTATGTTTAAAATATCTGATCCTCATCATAGTACTTGTGTGTGTTTGGTTGTTGTTGTTCTTTTGTGAACTCAGGTCCCTTTCTTTTTGAATATCAGATGTCCTAAACTTTATAAATTAACATTTTTTATTGATTCAAATTGATGCAATAGCTGCTTACAGAATTTCATCTCATGGGGTCATTATAATTTGATAGTTGATAATAATTTTAGATTTAACAGCTCATGCTAGATTTGAGACCATAAAATAGATTCGTTTGGTATATAAATCACATGAAAGTGAATGAATTAAATTTATTAGAATAAAACACCTCAAGTTAATGAAATATCTGAGGAATGGAGAACTCTGCTTTGTTGCCTTTTCTGTTTTACATACGGTTTTGTTGAGGTGATTTAATTATCCAGGATTTTTCTCGTCTCAGTAATGTCATAAGTATAAAGAATTATTGTTCAGTATGGTAGGTGTAGTTGTATTAAGTTTATGATTTGGAAAAAATTATATAGATTCTAATATAGGGATTATGACTATATGTTTCATAATACTTAATTTTTTTAGATATATTATCTCCTGAATATTACCTAAAATGTTTTTTTGGGGGGGCTTAAAAACAACATTTATTTGAAGAATCATTTTAATTTTGTACTTAGTTATATTTAATTAGGAGTGTATATATTAACTAACAAATACTTTTACTTGATATTGAAAATAATTTGCTCAAGGTCATTTTAAAATGAATTCTTATTTCAGATTATTTTAAGATTGTGCTATCAGTTCATTTAATAACTATTTTTTGAGTAATTTGTGAAAAATACTCATTGTGAAGATTTAATTTCTGCAGGTCTACTATATATTATTGAAACACAGAAAGTTCTTGATCTCAGAATTAATTTGAAAGCTTCATATGTTATTATCCCACAAGATGGAATTTTCAGCCCTACGTCAAATCTGCTTCTTTTGGATCTTGGTCATTTAAAGGTATATATTAATAATATTTATCTTGGAATATGGTACTTAGGGTATTTCTTTGTTTAAAATATGTTTTGTTTTTTAAGACAGTTTGATTTGGTATATTGGTTTTTAGACTTATGAGAAATCTTTTCTGGTGAATAAAATGATTTCATTTAATTAGGTAGTTTTCCTACATTTCGAAAAGCAAAATGAACAATTGAACTCCATAGGTCAGAGGTGAACCAAAGAATTACAATTATATGTAGAATTTGAGAGTAATGCCTAAGGAGTTGATTTCCTTTTCAATTTAAGTTTATTACTGGATTAATTACAGTACAGAGGGTGTGAGGGAGTTCTGGAAGTAATCACATAATCTTCGTCCTTCTGAATTTTTGTATGTATATAACTTTAGATATTGATATTTTAATTTCTATTAAATAATCCTAAATTGAGAGATGGTTGTCTTGCATTTACCTAATTTATGTAGTTCTATCCACTTATGTATATTTTTCTTCCTTAGTTTTTTTAAAAATATGTTTTGATTGATTTTAGGGAGAGGGAAGGAGAGGGATAGAGAGATACGTTGATGAGAAACATCGATTGGCTGCCTCCTGCATGCCCCGTACTGGGGATCAATCCTGCAGTCTGGACATGTGTCCTGAGCTGGAATCGAACCTGTGATCTCCTGGTGCATAGGACCATGCTCAACCATGATCCACACACACAGGCTGGGCCTTCCTTAATTTTGAATAGAGAATATTTTTTTTTTTTTATATTTCCAGATTTGGACTGTTCAGGGGTGGGAACCTTTTTTTTTTTTTGCTAAGACCCATTTGTATATTTATAACATAATTTGTGGGCAATACAAAATTATCCACTTAAAAATTAGCCTGCTATATTTGGTCAAATATTCAATTAAGTCACCCCTAATGCCTTGAAAGGGCCAGATCATATGATTTCATGGGCCTTATGTGGCTAGCGGGCTCGATGTTCCCACCCCTGGTTTATATAGTACCCCCTGACTATATATGGTTGATTAAGTTGATTAAAATAAAGTAAGGTAAAAATTTAGTTCCTTAGTCACATTAGCCACATTCAAGTGTTTAATAGTCACAAGTGTCTAGTAGCTACTGTATTAAACAGCACAGATGGAGAACAAATTCAACATTGTAGAAAGTTCTGTTGGTTAACACTGCTCTATATCATTAAATGTAGAGGAATAGCTGTAACTATTTAAAGACCCAAGAAGGATGGATAATATTAGAATGCTCTTTCTGGCTTTCTAACAAATATGTGCCTTTTCTTGACATTCTCCGTTTTTCTATCTTTTATTCTTCAGTTGATAATTCTATAGACAGCTGCTGAATTTACAGTTATAATATTTATACAGCTAATTATTCATATTTTAATGTGGTTATGGGATTGGTTCAAGGCAGTCTGTTATAGTTGAGAGAGCATAAGGTCAGCTGTAAGGATAGTAATCTTGTTTTGTGATTTTAGGCAATTTGCTTAATTTTTTGCTTAAAAGTCATTACCTTTCAAAGAGAGATACTGAATTTTGATTGTGTACACATGAGCTATATAAAATCTATATGTATGTATATAGTTTTATTTAAAAACCTATATACATATATATTTGTGTATATACCAGTGTGTGTGTGTGTATGTGTGTGTGTATATATATATATGTGTAAGATCTTGAAATACTGCTGTGGAGTGATCTCCAAGATATTTATGTGAAAAAAGGAAAGTAGCCCTAACTGGTTTGGCTCAGCGGACAGAGCGTCGGCCTGCGGACTCAAGGGTTCCGGGTTCGATTCCAGTCAAGGGCATATACCTTGGTTGCGGGCACATCCCCAGTGGGGAGTGTGCAGGAGGCAGCTGATCGATGTTTCTCTCTCATCGATGCTTCTAACTCTATCCCTCTCCCTTCCTCTCTGTAAAAAATCAATAAAATATATTTAAAAAGAAAAAAGAAAAGTAGTGTGCATAGTACATCAATAAAGGGGAGATAAAAATAAGATACAAATATAACTTGCTTGAGGTCACATAAATGACAGAGTTGGAAATAAAATTCAGCTGTCCTAATATTTAATCCTGGACTTTCAGTTCTTACTATAAAACTATTTAAATACCTGTCATCATGCCAAAGAAAAATTTTATAAGCCTTTTTGTTTTTAATAAAAAGGCTTCATACCAGATTTTAAAATGATTTAGATGTATTATTCTCCAGAACTAGCTTGGTTCCCTTCTTTTAATATAAAGAGTTAGGAAATATAACAATATATAAAAATTCACTTTATATCTAACCTTCTTCTTACATGTGTCATGCATAAAGATTATTTTTTTGTTTCATTAATTCTCACCAAAGATATTTTTTTCATTGATTTTTAGAGAGAGTAAGGGAGAGAGGAGGGAGGAGAGGGGGAGAGAGAGAGAGAAACATTGATGTGAGAGAGAGTTGACATCCACTGGTTGCCTCCCACAGGTGCTCCAACTGGGGCTGGGATCCAACCTGCAAACCAGGTATGTTCCCTTGATGGGGAATCAAACCTGCGATCCTTCAGTGAGTGTGCGAACACTCTATCCACTGAGCACGCCGGCCTTGGCTAAAGACATTTCTAATAGCCTTATATGTCAGCTTGTGAGTTTATCCTCCCCAGTTAACTTTTTATATTATATTCTGAAAGATAAAAACCTGATCTTTTCATTTTGGAGTATTTTGCACCGTCTAAACTTTTAAAATTAACTTCTAGGTGACAAGCAAAAGTCGTTCACAATTACCAGATATGAAACAAGGTGGGGCCAGACTTGAAGAGATAATGCGTAGAGCTTATGATTCCTTTGATATTCACCTTACAAGCATTCAGCTGCTTTACAGCAGAGTTGGTAAGTATACAGTGCATTATGTATTGTTCATTTTGCTGAAGTGATTAATTAGGTGTTTAGACAGTTTCTCTGAAGACCTTCATTCTAAATATGTTGGAGCTTCCATATTTTTTAATTAGAAGTATGTAGTAGATAAGAGTAATATCTAAACTGGGAGTGATTTTACCTCGCAAAAGATACTGTCAGTGTCTGGAGACATTTTTGGTTGTAACACATGGACAGTCGGGGCACCACTAGTATTTAGTGGATAAAGGTCAGGGATGCTACTAAACATAGAATGTAGAGGAATGTCAACAAAGACTTAATTTGGCCCAAATTCCAGTAGTGCTGATATTAACAAATCCTGATCTAGACCAGTGTTCTCCAATATTTGCATAAGATTAGAAAACATTGACACATTTTTAAAAATATTTGTATTACACAGTGGAATAACCAGAAGAGACTACTCAAGAGTGAATGAAACCAGCCTAGGCATCCCCAGCCATAATAGCCACTGCAAGATGGAGGTGGATCCCTATCTTAAGCATAACTTACCCCATTCATTCTTTTGTACTAATCAGGAGTCTCTGATCCAGACCTAGTCGTCAGAGCCAGAAATTCACTTGTCAGGAGCTACTAAAGAATAGTGAAAGAGCCCTGATAATTTGAGCTCTCTTTCCACTGTGTTATATTGCTTTTGAATTCCTTGGTGTTAGTAAACATTCAGATAATTCAACAAAGGTGGATTGGTGTCTGTTTTTAGAGATATCTCTGTGTGTATATAGTCACATTTTAATTAACTGAGTTAACTAATGAAAGGAGAAGCAATAGAGAACCTGAAGTAATGGTTATTAAAAATGTTAGTTTATATAGGACTGGGACATTTTTGTTTTATTTGTCTGACTATATTTGCTTTAGGGCAGGGGTCCTCAAACTACGGCCCGCGGGCCACATGCAAATACGAATATTGTATTTGCTCCCATTTTGTTTTTTTACTTCAAAATAAGATATGTGCAGTGTGCATAGGAATTTGTTCATAGTTTTTTTTTAAACTATAGTCCGGCCCTCCAACGGTCTGAGGGACAGTGAACTGGCCCCCTGTTTAAAAAGTTTGAGGACCCTGCTTTAGGGTAATGAAATTGGTTTTTGTTTTTATCATATTCTAGTTGGTGTCAAAGGAGTATAGTGGGTGGCACATGTAAATTATTTATAGAAAATTCATAAATTTTTTTCAGTAAATAAGTTAGTAAATTTTGGTATGTCTGTACCTGTTGGTCACTAGTTTTTGAAGCCCATTAGCTTATACTTATATTTAAGATATTGAGATGCTTGTGAAAAAAAATTGAAATACATCATTATTGTCTGAAAAGTATTGGAATTCCTTGGAATGTTTTTGAGAAGCATTAACTATTCTTAAAAAAGTATTTTTTGAGCAAAGGTTTTTGACATTAGGTTACTTTCTGTGATTGTCATATATTCTTTTGATAAATACTGAAATACAGACTCTGAATATCATATTTTTTTACCTGTAAATTGAGAAGTGAAGAAATATGTCTTTTATCTCAATATATTTAGAATTCAGAAATTGTCATAAGATCCATTTTATTATCTATCTCCAAGAATCTAATCCTTTGTTCGCTTGGTTTTTTTTGACTGAGGATTTTATCTGACTTACGGAATTATTAGGTTCAAATGAGATCATGTATGTAATGTATTTCACTGCATATCCTTTTGCTGTTTTTTTCAATGTATGTACCTATGAGTATATGGAATATGCTTGTGTGTTGCTTATGAGTGGGAATATTTTGAGTGCGTTTTTAACATGACATGTAGTATTATATCCTGTTTTTTCTTTCACTTACCCGTAATATTTTGGGCACTTGAATCCATGACCTTTAAAAAATATGTATATTTTTATTGATTTCAGAGAGAAAGTGAGAGGGAGAGATAGAAACATCAATGATGAGAGAGAATCACTGATCAAGTGCCTCCTACATGCCCCACACTGGGGATTGAGCCCACAACCTGGGCAAGTGCTCTGACTGGGAATCGAACCGTGATCTCCTGGTTCACAGGACAACGCTTAACCACTGATCCATGCCAGCCGGGGCTGAATCCATGATTTTTATCTAATGTTCTAAGGCTACTCTGTCAGTTACTTAGCATTGCCTTATTGAAAATTTAGGCTTGTAACACTGCAGTGAATGTTGCCAGACCTGGATGTAAATTTCAGCTTTTGTTACTCCCTAGCCTTTTGGCCATAAGCAAGTTATACATTCCTGTGTTTCAGTTTTCTAAAATGAGATGGTTATACATCATTGTGAGAATTAAGTGAAAGTTTAAACATTGCCTAGAACGGTACCAGTTATAAATCTTAAATAAATGGCAGCTTTTGTGAGTTAATACTGAAAAACTGCAATCTTCCCTACTTTAGTCATTATTGCCTTAGAGCAGTGGTTCTCAACCTGTGGGTTGCGACCCCTTTGGCGGTTCGAACAACCCTTTCATGGGGGTCGCCTAAGACCATCCTGCATATCAGATATTTACATTATGATTCATAACAGTAGCAACATTACAGTTATGAAGTAGCAACGAAAATAATTTTATGATTGGGTCACAACATGAGGAACTGTATTTAAAGGGCCAGAAGGTTGAGAACCACTGCCTTAGAGCCATGTTGGGTTTTTGGTAAAGTATCTGGCTGGTTACAGTGATTACCAGTGAATGCGCAGTAGATTTGATTAAAACTATGTTGTTGTTTCTTATAAGCATTTTTCCTATTAAAACGCAGTCTTGTGAAGCAGCAGAAGTAAAATGTGAAAGGGAAAAGAAATTACCTGCCAATTGTTGTGTGTGTTTGTGCCTGGGCATGTGGTATTAAAGATTATCTTGATGTGGGTGGGAAGGTTTCCCCATATCATGCAGTGTGTGACTGAAGTATTAAAAATAATTTTAGGTTTAGTGTCTTTCAAATTACACATGTGTTAAATATACTGTTTTCTATAATTAGGTGATAATTGGAAAGAAGCACGAAAACTCAATGTATCTACACAGCATGTTTTGGTACCTTTGCACTTCAATGTGGAATTATCTAAGGCCATGGTTTTCATGGATATAAGGATGCCGAAGTATGTATTGTTCGTTTCATGTGGTAATAGATTTTCTTAGTAATTCTGAAGCTAAGGCAATACCATATTTCATTGATTCTCAGTCCTCAGGCTGACACTCTACCAACTGAGCCAAAACAGCTAAGACCAATATGTTGCCTTTTCTGATTAGCATCTTGCACTTAGTAGCATGCATTTAAAGTTCTTCCATGTCTTCTCATGACTTCATAGCTCATTTCTTTTTAGTTCTGAATAATATTCCATTGTCTGTTATACCACAGTTTATCTAGTCACCTACTGACAGACATCTTGGTTGCTTCCAGGTTTTGACTATACAGTTGGAATATAAAGTTTATGTGGATAAGCTTCATTCATATGAAATTATGAGTAAAGATGTTATAAACATTTGTGTGCTGGTTTTTGTGGGGACATAAGTTTCAACTCCTTTGGGTATATACCAAGGAGCTCGGTAACTGGATCTATGGTTAAATAATGTTTACTTCTGTGAGGAGACACCAAACTTCTTCCAAAGTGGCTGCACCTTTTTGCATTTCCAACAGCAACGAATGAGAGTTCCTGCTGTTCACACCATTGCCATTATTTGGTATTGTCAATATTCCAGATTTTGGTCAGTCTAATAAGTGCGTTGTGGTTTCTCATTGTCTCTTATAGAGCAGAAGTTTTAATTTTAATGAGGTCCAGTTTATCAATTTTTATTTTTTCATGAATTGTGCCTTTGTATAAAAAGATGTCATGGCCATGTCTGAAGTCAACTAGGTTTTCTTGAATTTATCTTTTGGAGTTCTGTCGTTTTTTGTTTTACATTTAGGTCTGTAATCCATTTTGAGTTTTGTGAAGGGTTAAGGTCTTTTATCTAGATTCATTTTTCTTGCATGTAGGTGTCCAGTTATTCCACCACCATTTGTTGAAGTGAATGTCTTTGCTCCATTGTATTGCGTTTGGAGCCTGGTCCAAGATCAGTTGACTGTATTTTTGGAGGTCTATTCCAGGGCCCTCTATTCTGGCTGAGTGATCTATTTGTTTACTCTTTCACTAATATCAGTGTCTTATCTACTGTAGTTTATAGTAAGTCTTGAAGTCAGGGAGTGTCAGTCTACCAACCTTGTTCTTCTCCTCTAATATTATGTTGGCTATTCTGTTCTTCTGCATCTTCATACAAATTTTAGAATTATTTTGTTAATATTCATTAAATAACTTGCTGGGATTTTGTTCATGATTGCATTGAATCTACAGATCAATTTGGGAAGAACTGACATTTTGACAATATTGAGTCTTCCTACTTATGAAATGGAGTGTCTGTATTTATGTAGTTCTCTGATTTCATTCTTCAGAGTTCTGCAGTTTTTCTCTGTAGATCTTGTATATATCTTGTTAGATTTATACCTGAGTATTTCTGTTAGGGGCACTAATATAAATAATATTGTGTTTTTAATTTCAAATTCCACTTTTTTGTTGTTGGTTTATAGGAAAGGGATTGACTATTGTGTGTTAAGTTTGTATCTTGCAACCTTACAATAATGGCTGTTAGTTCCATGGCTATTAGTTTTTTATTTCGTTTTATTTAATTTTGCTTTTCTTTTATTATTTGGGTTTTCTACATAGGCCACATTTTATCATTGAACAAAGATAGTTTTATGTTTTCTTTTCCAATCTATGTGGCTTTTATTTCCTTTTCTTGCTTTATTGCATTGGCTAGGTCTTTACGTACCATCTTGAAAACGAGTGATGAGAAGAATATCTTTGCTTTATACCTAATCTTAGTTGGAAAACATTGAGTTTCTTCACTACTAAGTATAATGTTAACTGATGATTTTTCCAGTTGAGGAAGTTGTCCTTTAGTCTAGTTGACTGAGAGTTCTTTTTTTTTTTTTTTAATTATGAATATATGTTGGATTTTGTCACATGGATCTATTTATATGATCATGTAATTTTCCTTTTCAGTCAGGTCAGATTTTTAAAATTGGTTTTAGATGTATAATCTCTTAGACAAGTTATTTGAACATGTTAAAGCCTTAGTTTCCTGATAGAAACTATATACATATGGGAACTTTATAAGAAATAGGGAACAGAAATAAATTGACTCCCTCTTGGGTTGTGAGACTATTTAGCATAATGCATATCAAGTGCTTTCCTTAATGCCTATCATGTAATTAACACTTGATAAATAGTCATTGTTAACTGTCCTTGGCAAATAATGAAGAGATAATAAACATAATAACATTAAAAAATAAGCTTCTGAAAAATAATGAGATTATTTTATCTAATGAGACTGGTCAATAGGTCAAATGTAAATTTTAGTGGAGATTATGGGATAGTTTGTCCATGGACGGTGGATAATTTTTAGTGGTAAAATCACATTTGATTATTTTTGGATAATTTAAGGGAAACAGTCTCATCCTTTTAATTAATTCACTTAAATCAGAATGAAAATTGCTTTATAGTGATTCCCCTCTTTTTGAAATAGATTCAAGATTTTTGGAAAGTTACCACTGATTTCTTTGCGAATCTCAGATAAAAAGCTTCAAGGAATTTTGGAATTGATTGAAAGCATTCCAAAACCCACACCTGCAACTGAAGTACATGCCCCTGTCAAGCCATTTCAGGTAATGTTATTTACAAAATTAACAAAAGCAAAAATTAAAAAGAATTCACAAATAGTATTTTAACAACCCCAGAAATTTAGGGTAAAAACAACTCAGTTCATTATGAATAGACCGTTAAAAATTACTACATTTTAAAAGAGCAAATGATGAAGTAAAAAATGCATATCATAAAGAAAAGTGATGTCTACCTATCTTCACTTTTCCAGCCTCTAATTTTTCTCCTCAGTGATAACACTATTAACCATTGCATCTCTAGTTTTCTTAAAATGTTTATGGCATATGCTAGTACACACACATACAAACATATGCACCTGTGTGTATGTGCACATACAAGTATATATATTGTGTTCTTAAAATTTATGTAAGTGGGAATACACTTACTGTTCTGAATCTGTATTCTTTAATTATAATTATCTATGTTACACACCTTAAAGATATTTTCCTGTTAGCACAGATCTACCTTATTCTTTTTTATGGTGATATATAGGATGGGGCAAAAGTAGATTTACAGTTGTGAGCACAGAGTTTATTTTGGTATTTTACATATGAACCTACTTTTCCCCAGCCTGTAGTATTGAATTATGTGAGTATACTATCCTTTAACTAACATAATCCGTTTTGATGGGCATTCGTATTGTTATGAGTGTTCATAGTTATAAAAAAATGGTTTTGAACTTCCTTATTCATTTATTTGGATATATTTTTAATTATTATATAAATTCCAAGAAGTAGAATTGTTGAGTAAAAAACTATAAATTTTATAATTTAATGAACTTTGCCAAATTTCTTTTCTACTTTGATTACTAATTTATAGTCCCACCAATAGTAAATAGTAAATGCTTATCCATTCTCATTAATCTTGACTATTAAAAAATGTTAAATTCTATTAAATGAAAAAATGTTATCTTGTGGTTTTGATTCAAATTTCTTTATAAATAATATGGAACCTATTTTCATAAGTGTATTGGGTATATGCATTTCTCATTTTGAAAACAGCTGTTTGTGTCTTTTGATGAGTTACGGTTTTCTAGCTAAGGAAATTAGCACTTTTTAAAAAATGTGTTAAAAAATGTGTTATTTTTTTAAATCTGATACATTTATTTTTGCCATGCTGAATTTTTTATATTTTATGTAGTCAAAGTTACTAGATTTTTCCTTCATGATTTCTGGGTTTTATATTATACTAGAGGCCCAGTGCACAAAAATTTGTGCACTCGGGGGGAGGAGGTGTCCCTCAGCCTGGCCAGTGCCCTCTCGCAGTCTGGGACCCCTCAGGGGATGACCACTTGCTGGCTAAGGCCTGCTCCCCAGGGGATTGGGCCTAAGATGGCAATCAGACACCCCTCTGGCAGCCCGGCAGCCCTCGGGGTATGTCCACTTGCCAGCGGGGAGCAGACCTAAGCTGCAGTCAGACATCCTTAGTGCTGCTGAGGAGGCAGGAGAGGCTCCCACCACCACCGCTGTACTGGCAGCCATCAGCCTGGCTTGTGGCTGAGCAGAGCTCCTCCATGTGGGAGCTCACTGACCACCAGACAGCAGCACCTGCATTGAGCGTCTGCCCCCTGGTGGTCAGTGTGTGTCATAGTGACCAGTAATTCCCAGTCTTTCTGCTGTTAGGGTCAGTTTATATATTACCCTTTTACTATATAGGATAGTGGCCTGGTGCACGGGTGGGGGCCGGCTGGTTTGCCCTGAAGGGTGTCCCGGATCAGGGTGGGGGTCCCACTTGGGTGCCTGGTCAGCCTGGGTGAGAGGCTGATGGCTGTTTGCAGCTGGTCACATCTCCTTCAGGGTGGGGGTCCCCACTGGGGTGCCTGGCCAGTCTGGATGAGGGGCTGAGGGCCGTTTTTAGGCTGGCGGGCCACTGAAGCTCCCAGCCTCTCCTTTTTTTCTTTTTCTTTTTATTCTGGGATTTATTTACCTTCTATATCTGTCACTGGAGCTGAGAGCCGGCTCCAGCTCTGAGGCCCGGCTCCAGCTCTGAGGCCTGGCTGGCTGAAAGCAGGTATCTGGGTTTGTTTAGCTTCTATAATTGAAACTCTTTTGCCATCACTGGCGCTCTAAGCTCTGAGGCCATGGCCGGCTGAAAGCAGGTATCTGGGGTTTGTTTAGCTTCTATAATTGAAACATTGTTGCTTCCGGAGCTCATAGCCGGGCCGCGGCAGGCGGGGAACCTTGGCTTCCTCCTTCGCTGGAGCAAACAAACCTCATGTTCGCTTCAGCTGCGTGGCTGCCGGCCGCCATCATGGTTGGCAGTTAATTTGCATACCTCGCTGATTAGCCAATGGGAAGCGTAGCAGAGGTACGGTTAATTACCCTATTTGTCTATTATTAGATAGGATGCCTTACCTCTCCTTACAAATGAATTTCAAAAAGAAAATATCTATTTGCCTTTTTCTCTTTTTAACATTCTGATTTTTTTAGATTTAACATTTTACTTTTAAAATAATTTCAAACTTATAGAAATCTTGTAAAAATAGTGTAAAGAAGTTTTTTCTCAAACCATTTGAGAGTAAGTTACTGATATGTTGTACCATTACACTAAACACTTTAGTGTGTTGCTATATTTTTTCATAGTCTGTTGCTGAGCTTATTTATTTTTTAAGAGCAGAGGTTTTAAATTTGATGAAACTTAATTTATACTATATATATATATATAAATTTTTTTTTTTTTTTTTAATGGACAAAGCTTTTTATCTCATCTGAAACCTTTGCGTAACATGTGGTCAAAAAGTCCTTTAATTGTCATTCTATTACTTTTTGTCCTTCATGGTTTCTGACAAGAAATCTGTTAATTTAACGATACCTAGTATAAGGAGACTGGCTTCTTCTCTCTTTGAGTGTCATTTAACTGATTATGTTTTGGTATGGGTCTATTTGAGTGTATGTTACTTTGATTTTAGTAAACTTGTATTTTTTTAGATTCATGTATTTTATCACATTTGGCTGTTATTTTTTGACTATTATTTTTGAAGACTTTTCTTCTGTCCCATTTCTGTTCTGCTGGGATTTTCATATTGCATATATTTACTCCATGGTGTCCCACAGGTCTCATAGGCTTTGTTCACTTTTCTTTATTCCTTCTTGTCAATTTTGATAGACCTATCTTAATTTTCTGATTCTTTCTTCTGCTAGCTCAAATATCTTATTGAAATTCTCTAATGCATTTTTTTAGTTATTGTACTTTTCACATCTAGAATTTTTGTTTCATTTCTTTTTATAATTCCTATCTTCTTATTAATATTTTCTACTTATTGTGACCTCACTATTTTCTTTTTCTTTAGTTCTTCACAGTTCTTTCTAGCTGAGAGTATTTAAGACAGTTTAAAGTTTTTGCAGTTAAGTCCAATACCTGTAATTTCTCTTACACTGTTTTCTGCCTTTTTTAAATTTTTTAAATTTTTTTTTTTTTTTTTTTTTTACTGTGCATGGGTGATACTTTCTTATTTCTTTGCATGCATTATTCTATTGTAACCTGACAAAGGAATTATGAGAAAAGAAAACTATAGACTAATGTGTTCATTAACACAGATGTAAAAATCCTTAACAAATAGAACAACCAAATATTTTGATATGTAAAAAGTATATCATACTATAACCAAACACATTTATTCTAAGAAAGCAAATATGGTTCACCAGTCTGTGTTATTAACCACATTCATAGAGTAAAGGAGAAAAAATATCTGATCATCTCAGTAGAAGGAGAAAAAGTATTGACAGAATCCAACAATCATTCATGCTAAAGACTGTTAACAAACTGAGGGGGAAAAGTAGCATCCACTACCTGGTAAAGAACATCTTGGATAAAAACCTATAGCTGATATCATTCTTAATTTGAAAAACACTAAATGCTTTCCATATCATCTTTTCATAAGATCAAGAATATCTTTTCTCACCACTTCTATTTAGACTTATATACTGAAGGTTTTAGCCTCTGCAGTAGTCAAGAAGAATAAAGACAGGATGGAAACAGAAAATAAAAACTATCTTTATTTGCAGATTACATGATCTTTTATGCACAAAGTTCTAAGGAATGTGGAAGAATACTGCTAGAAAAGTAAGCAGGTTTCAGCATACATTATCAATGCAAATAATTAGTTTCTAAAAATGAAAATAAGAAAAATTTCCACTTATAATAGCATTAAAAGAAGTTAAAATACATAGGAAAAAATTAACAAACTACAAATCCTATATACTTACAACTATAAAACATTTCTGAAAAAAAAAATAAGACCTAAATAGATGGAATGATATACATAATCAAGCAAGGTTGGAAGATTGACTTAATTAACATGACAATTTTCACCAAACTCCATAGGTTTCTTATAATGAAAATACCAAAAGACTTTTCTCCTGGAAACTAACAAGCATCTATAAAGTACATATGGTAATGCAAAAGATGCATATTAGCCAAAACAATTTTGAATAAAAATAATGTTGGAGAATATCTAATACTTGATGTTAAGGTTTATTTTATAGCTACTTTATTCAAGAAAGTGCTGTAGTGGCATAAGAGTCTATCTATCTACCTATCTATATATATAAAAGCCTAGGTGACCATTAGGACGGAATGACTGGAACAACCAGTCGCTGTGATGCGCACTTACCACCAGCAGGCAGACTCTCAACGCAGGAGCTGCCCCCCAGCCCACAGGCCCCAATAGCTGATGGGGCCTGGAGGTTAACCTCCTGGTCTGTACCCTGGCCAGCAGGCCGTAATCACCTGATCAAGGCCAGCCGGCCAATCTCCCAGTCCCTCCCCTTGGCTGGCAGGTCCTGATCACCCTATCAGGGCCGGGCCCCAGGCTGGGATGGGAAACCGGGAGTGGGTGGTGGCAGATGCGGATGGTGAGGGAAGGAGGAGGGGGGAGTCAGGGAGCCGCGCACTGGTGGTGTGTGGGCAGTGAGGGAAGGAGGAGGTGGGGAGGCAGGGAACTTGAATGGCCCTGAATGCCAGTCAGGCCTAGGGACCCCACCCATGCAGGAATTTCGTGCACCGGGCCTGTAGTAGACATATAAGTAAATAAGGTAAAATAGAGTCCAGAAATAAAATCACAGAGTAATATATGGTTAATATATATTTGTTTTCTTACAAAGTTATGTCCAGTTAAATAGGGGGAAGAATAGTCCTTACAACAAATGGTTCTGAAATAACTATATTGTGTGTGTGTGGGGGGAGGGGAGGGTCAACATTTACCCTTAAATGGTAAATGAAATTTAACTTAAAATAGAACATAGACTTAAATGTAAATGGCTAAGGGTATAAAGTTTCTCTAACAAAAAAATGTAAGAGAAAAATCTTTGAGTCCTTGTGGTAAGTAAAGATATCTTGGGTTTTAAAAAATGCAAATATGGAAGAAGAAAAAAATTACAGTTCATGAAATTAAAATTTTCTGATTTTTGAAAGACACTTAAAGATGAAAAAGGCAAACTGATCAATTGGGAAAAAATGTTTGCAACACATAACTTAAAAGACTTATCCAACATGTATAAGGAAGCCAACAGCCAAATAAGAAATGAGCAGACAGACACATGACTAGGTGTGCCTTTGTTACTCATCAGGAAAATGCAAAATAAAACAATTCTTTTATGACTTTAGTTGTCAAAAATTTTAGTACATTAAAAATTAAAATTAGGGCATCATAGTTATTACCTTTTGGAAGTATGTGTAATGATTCTGGAGAGCATGAGGGAGCTTCTGAGTTGCTGGTAATGTTCTGGATCTGGATTTTGGGTGCATGAGTGTGTTTACTTGAAAATTTATTGAATTTTATACTTAGAGTTACGTACTCCTATGTAGTAGTTTACATTTTAATAAAAATGTTTTCCCAAAATGAAAAGGATTCAGAGAAGGACAAACACAAATAACCCATGACCTATATTATGATGTGTAACTATTGTGAAATTGTCATTAAAACTAGGATGAAATTGGCAGTGACATTGGCAGTATTTAAAATGTTTGAAAATGTTAAGCATTTGTGAGGTTATGGAGCCATATAAATTTTAATCTGCTGCTGATGGTAGTGTAATCTGGACAAAGAATTAATGGTGTATTCATCAATGGGATATAGTATAGCAATAAGAATGAGAAATTCAATATAGATAAAATTAGAGATTATTTTGTAGAGTAATGCACAGGAAAATATGTGCAATATTTTCTTCTTCTGCAGTATAGAAAGATGCAGAGGTAAAATGCAATATTTAGAAAATCATTCATAGGTTAAAAAACACATAAGCTAAATAAAAGCAAGTGGTAGGGAATGTGATCAAGGGAGGAGCACATCAAGTGCTCCTAGGTGAGGTATGGTATTGTTTTGTTTCTTGGCCTGGGTAGGAAGATTCAGGAGTGTCTTTTATTATGATTTTTAAACTGTATTACATGTTTTTGTATGCTATATTTCAGAGAACAGTAAAGATATTTACTGAAATATATTTTAAAAGTTACAACTGCAACTCCTCAACTAGTGAGGCTTTAAATATTGAGATTTTTGTTTGTTTCTCATGGATGTCATGAAGGTGGCTTCCTTATTTTGTAAGATGTTAAGTTTAGATATATCTAAGATCTCTTTCTACTCAATGCCTCTCAACAAAAAAAATTAAAATAGTTCTGCAGTTTATATTTAGCTCTGATATTGTAAAAACACTTCTTTAAATATACATTTTATAATTTAATTGTCTAATTCAGACTGGATTTCTCAGTTTCTTTTGGGGGGGGCATCACAATTGTCTTAGAACTCTGAATAAAAAATCTTTGTGCTAATAAACAGTGAATTCCTTTTCTTTCAGATGCAAAGGTCCACTTCTTTGGGAGCACCACAGATTTCACAGAAAGTGATTCCTCTCTTGGAACTTGCAGGTGTTGAATATGGTAAAATGAAAACCGCTTTAGGAAATTCTCCTTATTATAAATATCTTTACAGGAATAATTTTTATTTTAAAACCATATAAAATGTCTGCAATAGCAGACATTTGTATGTTTTCCAGAAATTTTACTAAAATTTCTTTAAAACAGTATAATTTGGATGTTCCTTAAAGTTACTCTTCCAGTGGGAATTTTGGTACATAAAAGTTGACCTCAATTGCAAGGACCACTAGTAATTAAATTATCTTAATTCTGCTGTGAGCTAAGAGATCCCATGAAACTTTTTAGATGTCTAATTCATAATGTGTTACTTAATTATGTGAGTATTTTGTTATTGTAAGTTTTTAGATTTTATATTTTCCTTTTTTATTAAAGGAATAAAATCAAGTCTTAATATATACTTAAACATGAAAACTGCTAAATATTTTGACATCAAAAAACTGCTTTTTCTTGGCTACATTGGAAATAAAAATAAATGTATTTTTCAGTTTTTAAGACTTTTAAAATTGCTAAGTGTTAAATAACAAATTGCTATGTTGATTCTCAGGTTTCTAGAGCATGTTTTCCTTTGTGTGCGGTGACAAGGAGGGAAGGGTAGAGAGGGGTGAGGAGGGGAGGGGATGTTTGTGAGATTATCTACTCTAAATTCAGTCTTAGGTTATTAGGGATATACTTTAGCTGGTTTTAGCTTCCTTTAAACTTTCTTTTAATGGTTTTACTAGTTTTTGAGTTCTTTTTCAATAAAAAATTCTAAAAATTTATAATCATATATATATATGTATGTGTGTGTGTGTTATATCCTATATAATAAAAGAGAAACATGCAAATTAACATTCCTCTGCTTCACTCAAGCCATATGCAAAAGCCATGCCCACTAGCCAATCAGGGGGGAGTATGCAAATTAACCCAACTAAGATGGCAGTGGCCACAGAACTGGAGCAAGCAGGAGGCTTGGGTTGCCCCGGGCAATGGAGGAAGCCAAGCTTCCCGCCTGCCCTGGCTGGACCTGGGTTCTGCTCAAGGCTACAAAGTTTCAATTATAGAAGATAAATAAATCCCAGAAAAGAAAAAAAAAAAAAAAAGAGGCTGGGAGCTTGGGTCGCCAGGGAGCTTGGCCAGCCTGAAAACAGCCATCAGCCCCTCACCCAGGCTGGCCACACCCCATGAGATGAGGGTCCCTGCTAAGGGGCTTGGCCAGCCTGGGTGTGGCCAGCCTGAAAACAGCCCTCAGCCCCTTAGGCTGGCCAGGCACCCCAGTGGGACCCCCACCCTGATCCGGAACACTCTTCAGGGCAAACCAGCCAGCCCCCACCCATGCACCAGGCCTCTATCCTATATAATAAAAGGGTAATATGCAAATTGACCCTAACTGCAGAACAACTGGGAATGACTGGTTACTATGACACACACTGACCACCAGGGGGCAGACGCTCAATGCAGGAGTTTCCCCCTGGTGGTCAGTGTGCTCCCACAGGGGGAGCTCTGCTCAGCCACAAGCCAGGCTGAAGGCTGCCAGGACAGCGGTGGTTGCGGGAGCCTCTTCTGCCTCCTCAGCAGCAATAACGATGTACAACTGCAGCTTAGGCCTGCTCCCCGCTAGCAAGTGGACATTCCCCGAGGGCTCCCGGGCTGCCAGAGGGATGTCTGACTGCCAGCTTAGGCCCGATCCCCCTGGGGAGCGGGCCTAAGCCAGCAAGTGGACCTCCCCTGAGGGCTTCCAGACTGCGAGAGGGCACAGGCCGGGCTGAGGGACCTCTCCCCTCCCTCTCCCCCCATGCACAAATTTTTGTGCACCGGGCCTCTAGTCCTATATAGTAAAACCCTACTATCCAAATCGACTGAATGGCAGAACGACCGGTTGCTGTGATGTGCACTGACCACCAGGGGGCAGACGCTCAACACAGAAGCTGCCCCCTGGTGGTCAGTGTGCTCCCACAGGAGAAGCACTGCTTAGCCAGAAGCCTTGAGCCTGGCTCATGGCTGGCCAGCACAGTGGCGGGAGCTTCTCCCGCCTCCTCAGTAGAGCTAAGGACCCCTTGGGGGATGTCTGCCTGCTGTCTTAAGCTGGCAGGTGGACATCCCCTGAGGGTTCCTGGATTGTGAGACGATGCAGGCTGTGCTGAGGGACACCCCCCCACCTCTCCGTGCACGAATGTTGTGTACTGGGCCTCTAGTGTATGTGTGTGTGTGTGTGTGTGTGTGTGTGTGTGTGTGTATGACATAGTATTCCATCTCAGTTTATTCATTCAAACTTCCAGACCTGCCTTCTGCTTTTAATATTGCAGAGTTTGTAACTAAGTCCTTTTTTGATCTCTAGGTAGAATGAGCATGTTAGTGTGTTCCTCTGCATATTCATAATGTGGTAATTATTCACATTGTCATTTGCTATAAAATTTAACCAGTTTTAGATAGACCAATGATTTTAAAAGGTGATGTTCATTAAGGTAAACATTGCATTTTATAATTTTCAATACTTTCTTGTCATCAAGAGTGTTATTTGTTCAGATATAATCTCTGTATTTTTAAGATTTCTTTTTTTATCTTTATATTAATAAAAAAAAGACCCTAGTGTGTTAGTGTTCATATTTACTTTAGAAAAATTATAAATGTGTTATTAAGTAAATCATTGGTTATTGACTTAATGTTCTCTGATATTTAGAGTCAGAGGAGGAATTTTATGATGCACCATGTAGTCCCGTGGAAGAATATTTTCAGTCAACAGCTAGCGTTAAAAGTTGTCAACAAAATAAGATTCCAGAGCTGGATTGTTCAAAAAATATGATTCAGTATAAAATAAGATTTGAAGTGCCAGAGGTATGTACCATTATAAAATTGATATTTGGTTCTTATTTCTATTCACAACTTATTTATATAGTGTTATTACTAATAGGCACTGTTGCTTTCATTCTATTTAAGCTGAATCCAGATGTTATTCTGTTGTCCTTCTTTTCTTTTTTTTTTGTGTGTATATTGTATGTTTGTGTGCTTATAAAATCTTTCCTAAATTTTAAATACATATTTATGTCATATGTATACCTCATAAATCCATATGTAACCATCATCTACATAAGCAGTTGTTTGATTTAAAAAATGATCGTTTCTTTTTTCTTCTCCAGGTATCGATTCAATTTTATCACCTTGTTGAAGATTGTGAACTACCTGTGGTAGAAATTGTTGTCTTAGGATTGGGCACGGAAGTAGAACTTAGAACATTTGATTTGAAAGCCAATGCCTTTTTGAAAGAATTCTGCTTAAAATGCCCAGAATACTTGGGTAAGAATCTCTGTTTTAAAATAAGTAATTTTACTATTTGACTACCTACTGTAGAGTTTTTAATACTCTAGGCATTAAATAAATATATTTGCTAGAACATTCTCAGAAAAATATTATATTATGAATTAGTATATATCTACTTATATAAAAACCCTGGTTGTAACATCAAGACCTGAGGTGCGACCAACTGGAAGGAAGTCAGTCCTGCAGGGGTTGTTTTGGAAAGGGCTGTACCCTCTCCCGAGCTTTTTCCTGGAGCTGTTTTGGTAAGGGCGGGGTTTGAGGCAGGGAACCCGCCCTCAGAGCGTGGAGGCATATCTTTATAAAGTGTGCCGCACCAGCACGGCCAAGGGTGAACCTGAATGGGGGCGGCTGAAAGGCTTAGAAAAGACAGACAAGAGAATGAAAGCTGGATCTCGGTGGGACATGCTTCTCTGAGAGACAGCGACCACGCCCAGAGCCATGTCTTTATTTTATAGCAGATGCCACGAGGCAAAGTAAGGGCATGACCAAGATGTTTACAACATTCTCCTGGGTTTCAATCCTACTCAACTACATGCACCTGAACTCTATCAAGCCTACATCACTCAGGCACTTGGGGCCATGTGTTTTGACCATAAGTTCAACCTTACAACTATAGCTGTTGGCTATAATTGTGCTGGGAGGGTCTTGCCCTCCAAGCTGGGCCTTGCATGTGGCAATGAGAGGACTGTGCTCTTTCATCAGCCCAAGGTTTCAACCTGTCCAAAACACTGTAGCGGCTCCCCACAATAAAGTTTTAATACATTATATTAGAGGTTGTGGTGGTACTGTTTTACCCACAGCATCTATAGGAATTGCTGCAAATTTACTTCTCGGTGGAAGAACCTTTCATTCCCAATATAAATGACCAATTCCATTAAATGAAACTTCAATTTCTAGACTTGATACAAACAGTGAAGTTGCTAAAACTATTAAAAAGGCCCAACTTCTCATTATTGATGAATGCATCATGGCATCCAGTCATGCTATGAATGCCATAGACAGATTACTAAGAGAAGTTATGAATTTGAATGTTGTATTTGGTGGGAAAGTTCTTGGAGGGGATTTTCGACAATGTCTCAGTATTGTACCACATGCTATGGGATTGGCCATAGTACAAACGAGTTTAAAGTACTGTAATGTTTGGGGATGTTTCAGAAAGTTGTCTCTTACAACAAATATGAGATCAAAGGGCTTTTCTTTCTTTCTTTTTTTTTTTTTAAATATATTTTATTGATTTTTTACAGAGAAGAAGGGAGAGAGATAGAGAGTTAGAAACATCGATGGGAGAGAAACATCGATCAGCCGCCTCCCGCACATCTCCCACTGGGGATGTGCCTGCAGCCCAGGCACATGCCCTCGACCGGAATCGAACCTGGGACCCCTCAGTCCGCAGGCCGACGCTCTATCCACTGAGCCAAACCGGTTTCGGCCAAAGGGCTTTTCTTATAGTGAATAGTTAGTAAAACTTGGAGATGGCAAAGTTGATAGCAGTTTTCATTTAGGAATGGATATTATTGAAATCCCCTGTGAAATGATTTGTAATGGATTTATTATTGAAGCTACCTTTGGAAATAGTATATCTATAGATAATATTAAAAATATATCTAAACATGCAATTCTCTGTCAAAAAATGAGCACGTTCAAAAATTAAATGAAGACATTTTGGATATACTCAATGGAGATTTTCACACATATTTGAGTGATGATTCCATTGATTCAACAGATGATGCTGAAAAGGAAAATTTTGCCATCGAATTTCTAAATAGTATTACTCCTTCGGGAATGCTGTGTCATAAGTTCAAATTGAAAGTGGTGCAATCATCATGCTATTGAGAAATCTCAATAGTAAATGGGGTCTTTGTAATGGTACCAGATTTATTATCAAAAGATTATGACCTAACATTATCGAAGCTGAAGTAATTAACAGGATCTGCAGGGGAGAGGTTGTTCTGATTCCAAGAATTGATTTGTCCCCATCTCACACTAGTCTCCCATTTAAATTAATTCGACGGCAGTTTCCCGTGATGCCAGCATTTGCGATGATTATTAATAAATCACAAGGACAAACTAGACAGAGTAGGAATATTCCTATCTGAGCCTGTTTTTGCACATGGTCAGTTATATGTTGCTTTCTCTCGAGTTTGAAGAGCATGTGACGTTACAGTTAAAGTTCTAAATACTTCATCACAGGGAAATTAGTCAAGCACTCTGAAAGTGTTTTCACTCTTAATGTGGTGTACAAGGAGATATTAGAATAAGTTGAATCACTTTATCAGTCATTGTTTGTATCACTGTTGTTTTTATATCATGTTTTTGTTTTCATATCATATTTTTATCGTTTTTATATCATGCCTCTGTTGCTGTTATATCCTTTTGTTACTGTTTATTAATAAATTTATATATTATTTTCATATACATTTTACTAATTTCCTTTCATCTCTCACACTTCTATTATAGAGAAAGGGCAAATAGCAATATTAAAATATTTCTGCTAAGTAAATACTTTTTAATGTGCACGAATTTCGTGCACCACACTACTAGTATATATATATCTTATATCTTACACTTGGGAATCTAGGTAGACCAGATAGAAAATGAAGATAATTTTTTATTATCATGGACAATAAAATAGTCATGGTTAAATTTTATTTATTTATTTAAAATATATATTTTATTGACCTTTTACAGAGAGGAAGGGAGAGGGATAGTTAGAAACATCCATGAGAGAGAAACATCGATCAGCTGCCTTCTGCACACCCCCTACTGGGGATGTGCCCACATCCGAGGTACATGCCCTTGACCGGAATCAAACCTTGGACCCTTTAGTCCACAGGCTGACGCTCTGTCCACTGAGCCAAACCAGTTAGGGCAGTCATGGTTAAATTTTAAATCTATTTAACTTAAGCCTTCAACACTGAATTTGTTTCCTATCCTATATAATAAAACACTAATATGCAAATCGACTGAACAGCAGAATGACTGGTCACTATGATGCGCACTGACCACCAAGGGGCAGACACTCAACGCAGGAACTGATCCCTAGTGGTCAGTGAGCTTCTGCAGGGGGAGCGCCGCTCAGCCAGAAGCCGGACTCACGACGAGCACAACGGTGGTGACAGGAGCCTCTCCCGCCTCCACAGCAGCGCTAAGGAGCAGCAAGCCTGGCTTCTGGCTGAGCGGCACTCCATGTGGGAGCGCCGCTCAGCCAGAAGCCGGGCTCACAGCTGGCAAGTGCAGTGGTGGTGGTGGGAGCCTCTCTCACCTCTGCTACAGGCGGGCAGTAAGGAGCGAGGGGGGTCCCAGACTGCGAGAGTCCTGGACTGTGAGAGGGAGTCTGAGTGCCGGCTTATGCCCGATCCCTGTGCACTGGATGCCTAGTTGATACTATAACATATTACCACAAACTCAGTGTCGTAAAACAATACAAATTTATTATCTTAAGTATCTTTAGATCAGAAGCCCGACATAAGTCTCAACAAGCTTAAATCAAGGTGTCAAAAGTAATTCCTTTTTTGGAGCCTCTAGGGCAGGGGTAGGGAACCCTTTATCTGCAAAGGGCCATTTGGATATTTATAACATCACTAGAGGCCCAGTGCATGAAATTCGTGCACTGGTAGAGTCCCTAGTGGCTGGTGGGAGCTGGCCGAGGTACTTTCTTTCTTCTCCTGGCTGCCCCGCCCCCTGGTCAAATTCCCAGAAGAACTCCTGGTTGAGGGGACAGTTTGCATACTAAGTTTTTATTATATAGGATTTGTGGGCCATACAAAATTATCAACTTAAAAATTAACCTGCTATATTTGGTCAAACATTTAACTCACCCCTAATGCCTTGGCAGGGCCTTATATGTTCTTCTAGCTGGATATTCCCCACCCCTGCTCTAGGGAAGTTTCATTTCCTTTCTCACTCAGGCTTTGACAGAATTCAGTTCATGTGGTTTAAGTCTATTTCCCTCCTGACTGTTGGGTAAAGGCTGTCCTTAACTCCCAGTGGAATCTCTGGGTTCTTGCACATAATCCCCTATATCTCAGAACAAGAAAGGGTATTAGATCCTTCTTATGCTGTCATCTCTCTAACTTCTTTTGGCTTTTGATTCCATTCTTAAAAACAAAGGTGATTAGATTGGGCATACATGGACCATTCAGGATAATTTCTCCTTAACTTTACCTTTGCAAAGTCCATTTTGTCATTTGAGATATTTTTAGGTTTTGGGCAATTAGAGCACAGACATCCTTGGAGAGGGGAGCATGGCATTATTTTACCTACCACTAACATTTTATGTCCCATAATCATAATTTATAAATTAAATGATACCGTAGAAAATATTTCCATTTCCTATGTTAGGCATTTAGGAGGGTATTATTCATATTTCCTCCTTATAATTTTGGGTTTTCCCCTTAAAGACAATTCTGAATGATTGATGATCATCAAGACAAACTATTTCTAATGTTGATGCCTTTTATTTCCTTTTCTTTACCAAATAGTCTGGCAAGGACTTCTGATACCATGTTCAATAAAAGTGGTGAGAGTGGGCATCCTTGTCTTGTTCCTCATCTTAGAGGAAAAGCTTTTAGTATGTATGATGTTAACTGGGGTCATGTCATATATAGCATTTATTATGTTGAGGGATGCTTTCTCTGTACTAACTTTGTTGAGAGTTCGCCATAAATGGATGTTGAATTTTGTCATAGGCCTTTTCTGCTTCTGTTGAGATGTTCATATGCTTTTTATCCTTTATTTTGTTAATGTGGTAGATCACATTGATTGATTTGTGGATAATGAATCATCTTTACATCTTTAGAATGAATCCTACTTGATCATGGTGTATAATCTTAATGTGTTGTTGAATTCACTTTGCTAATATTTTAGTGAAAAATTTTTGCATCGATGTTCATCAGGGATACTGCTTATAATTGTTATTTCTTGTGGCATCCTTGTGTGGTTTTGATATCAGGGGAATGCTGGCCTCTTAAAATGAGTTGAAAGTTTTTCCCCCCACTTCAGCTTTTTTCAGTTTGATAAGTATATGGTGCTAAATTCTTCTCTGTTGTGTGGTAGAATTCACCAGTGAAGTAGTCTGTCCTGGGCTTTTGTTTGTTGGGAGGTTTTTGACTGTTGATTGAATCTCCTTATTAGTAATTGGTTTACTATTTTATGTTTCTTTTTTAAAATATATTTTTATTGATTTAAGAGGGGAAGGGAGAGAGAGATAGAAACAGCAATGATGAAAATCATTGATCAGTTGTCTCCTGCACGCCCCCTACTGTGGATCAAACCCACAACCCAGGCATGTGCCCTGACCAGGAATCAAACCATGACCTCCTGTTCATAGGTTGCCGTTCAACCACTGAGCAACACCAGTCGGGCTATTTTCTGTTTCTTGATGATTTAGATTTGGAAGATTGTATATTTCTGGGAATTTATCCATTTCTTCTATGTGTCCAGTTTGGTGGTGTATAATTTTTCATGAATACGAAGTCTCATGATCCTTTGTATTTATGAGCTGTCTCTTATAATGTCTCTCTTATTTTATTTATTTGAGTTCTCTCTTTTCTTCTTGGTGAATCTAGCTAAAGGTTTGCCAGTTTAATCTATTTAAATTTGGAGGATTCTGTGGAATATGTTGCATTTTTTCCTCAAGAGTAGTATGATTGTTTTAATCCTTCCTTCCAGAATCTAGATGTTAATTTCTTACAGCATAAGTAATTTGGTGATGATAATTTTATGGGCTTTATATATAATACTCTTTTCTAGCAGGTTCCCACTTAATAGATTTTGAATAGAAGCAATAATACAACTAGTAATATCTGATTATATGGTATAGTGTTTATTTTAATCTATATTAATATATAGGAAAACTTATTTTCTCATAACACCCTATTTGATTTCTTCTCAACAATTAGATTTTCTGGGAGTCTGATAAATTTCTTTTTGAAGCTATTTCAGTAGCTTAGGACCAGAATTCTCTTCATATCTTTTCATTGTTCATATTAGCCATTATGCTTTTTTAACTTATTGCTACTTTTTTTTTTTAACCTTACTTTCTAACTAGGTTTGGCAGGATAGAATTTTTAGCATTTTGCATAAGAGAAGGGAAAGAAATTGTGAGGAGAATTACATTTTTAGAGTTTAAAATAAAGGACAATAGACCTGACCTGGGTAAGATAGAATCCAAAGCTCTGAACTGATATAGGAAATTCTTCTTTTCCAATTTTATGTTTAATAGCATTGCTTGCATTTATTCTCACTTAGTTTTACTATGAAAGAATAATTTTAAAAATTATTTTTAGATGTAAACGAAAAGCCAGTTTATTTGATTACAACACTAGATAACACAATGGAAGATCTGTTAACACTGGAGTATGTGAAGGTAAGCAGTACCATTTATATCTGTCTGCTGTGGTAAATGTGCAGCTGAAATGTTAAATCAAATTTTGTAAGTTTAGTGATACTTAGTTTAATCATGATTCTATTGGAATCCCTATAATGCTTAAAACTTTGAGTTTTTTGTTTTGTGCTCTATTAAATAGAACATTTCATATAGCACATGAGAAGTCTTCATCTAAGTAGAAATAGCCTGCAGTTTTTTCCCCCATCAGGGTATCAAAAAGAAAGAAACTCTTTAATCTTGATTCTATTTATTGTGATATATGATGTGAGATGAAGCTTTCATTTCATCTCACATCATATATTTCCTACAGTTTGTCTGAAATTACCTAATTTTCCTGGTGTCAGTGACTCCTGGTGTCATCTCTTTTCTATTGACTTAGGATATCCATTTTATCATGTGTGTTTTTATATATACTGTGGTATACTTATGATTTAGTCCATGTTTTCATTGACCTATTTTTATGTGCCACATTATTTTAATAATTACTTCATAGTAAGATAATGCTGAAAGAGTAATTAACACAGAATATTTAGATATTTAGTGGACAATTCTGTCACAAATTTTGTTTTCACATACAAGAAGAATTAGGAAGGACCTTACATAGTTGTTGATGACAATGATTGTTCTCCATACTTGATAATATTTGATTTTTTACTCTTGATAACTTAATACTTGCCATCTGCCAAATTTCTTTTGCTCTGTGGAAGCAGTTGTTCATTTAGGTAATTATACATATAAATAGCTGGAAGTTTTTTATACATGTCTATTAGGACCATTATATACCTGTATTTACATATGTTTTTTAAAGATTTCTAACAGATTTTTTTTTATTCTCTTTGGGTAGGCTGAAAAGAATGTACCCAACTTGAGAAGTTCCTATAATAATGTTGAACAACTGATTAAGGTATAAGTGAATAATAATTTTTTAATTAGGTACAGTATTTCTAAGTGAATAATATATTATGAAATTTATTTTATAGCTAGAACTCTAAGATCCTTGAGGATAAAAATGGAATATTATAAATTGGATCCTTTGTACCACAAAGCCTAGTGCCTTAAAACAGAGCAGTCAAATAAATATTGACATAGTACTAAAACCAACTTTGTTCTTTAGGTGAATTTTTCCTCTTTGGATATTCATTTGCATACAGAAGCACTTCTGAATACAATAAACTATTTTAATAATTTCATTCCACAATTGGAGGAAAAGTCAGCCTCGTTGCATGTTGCGGAGACAGAAGACAAAGGAGAGGTCATTAAAAAAATAGGTATGTTTCTTTAAAATTCTTTTTTTTTTTTAACCAAGTAGATTAATAAATTTATCTTTGGCTCTGTTAACTTACAATATTGTCTTCAGAATTTTATTGCCTAACTTAAAAATCTAGAAAGATTCATTATATACCAGGCTAATTTTAGAAAATAATAGTAAAGGAAAATGATTACTGCTGAAAAAAATGTGTTTTTTATTTATTCTATCATTCTTTTAAGTTGAAGATTATACTATAGAAGTATTTGGTTTATATTAAAATTCATGCATTTAATATCATTACTTTAAATTAAAAAAAATAGAGCTAATAATTTTTGAGTAATATCAGTGTATATTTTTAAATTAGAGTACTTTTTAAGCTGGGAAAATTTGCAAGTTTAATAATGACAGGTATCACCTAGTAATTATTAACTCTCAAAAGATTTATTATTTTGTAGTCAGCAATCCTAGTTTCAGATGTTAGCCTCATCTAGTATCCTTTTTTTTGGGTGTGTCTGTTTGCTTTTGTTTGGCTTTTTGTTTTCATTAGATTTCATTGTTTTTTTAGAATTCCTAATTTATAAGGGAATTTCTTGCTTGTTTTCAATTGAATTTCAAATCAGGTTTTTCTCTAGCATTACTTTTATTTGTTGTGATATTTTACTTAAGTGTAGCGAGGTAGCTATAAGTTTTTCCTTACGTTTTACAATATGACTTTATTGCAGCTTCAAGACGATACAGGCATGAAGATATTACCTTGCAGATCTTAGCAGAGTTATCATGTTTACAGATCTTTATTCAAGATCAGAAACATAACATTGCTGAAATTAAGATTGAAGGTAATAAAATTTCAGAAAAATAAATCCAAAACTATTAAATGAAAGAAAAGGCATTTAACCATTCTTTTATTTTCGTAGGGCTTGATTCTGAGATAATTATGAGGCCTTCAGTAACTGAAGTAAATGCAAAGCTAAGAAATATAATTGTTTTGGATTCTGATATAACAGCTGTATATAAAAAGGTATGAATTTATGTCTATTAATTAACAGTACATTTTTGAATTTAATTTTCTTTAATTAGTCATGGGTATAAATTAGTTGTCTTATTTTAGCTGTGTAGCTTATTATATCTTTGGTTTTGGACTTAGGCATAATTGGGTTCTTATCTCTACTCCTAATCCTGAATTCTGTTTTGTTTATATATAAAACTAGAGGCGTGGTGCACGAAATTCGTGCACTCAGCAGGGGAAAGGGGTCCCTCAGCCTGGCCTGTACCCTCTCACAGTCCTGGAGCCCCCCGATCTATCATTCAAAAGAGGTGGGCCCCACCCAGTTGGGGCAATGGGATGGATTGCCCCCGCAGAGGGAGGCCCCGCCCAGCCAGTTAGCCTGGGTCTCCCTCTTTGGGACAGTCGATCGCGGGGCTCTGCCGTTGATTGCCCCAAAGAGGTAAGCCCTGCCCATCCAGTCAGTGCTCTGCAATGGATTGCCCCCACAGAGGGAGACCCCGCCCATCAGCCGCAGCACTGCCAGTCAGTGGCCTGGGCCTCCCTCTTTGGGGCAATCATGGAGCCCCCCAGATTGATCAGTCACCCTAGTGGCCGGTGGCCTGGGCCGCCCTCTGCAGGGCGATCATGGGGCGATAGCTGGGCCCCCGACCAATGGCATTGCACCTGCCTTGACTGGCCTGGCACCAATGGGTGCCATAGCGTGGTCATCTGGAAGGTCGTCTGGATGGTCGTTCTGCTGTTTAGTCATTTGGTCAATTTGCATATTATGCTTTTATTATTATAGATGAGGATTAAGTATCTTATAAATGAGGTAAATATAAATAATCACTCGTAGAGCATAGTTGCAGGGGAATGGGGGCAGGGCTGTGGAGGGATGGGTAAGTAGTAAATGCCCTTTTTACTTTTTCTTTTTCTTTCTCTCTTCAAATACTATGAACTTTGTAATGCATTTCAGATTTCACGGGCAGAGTGTCTGATATCATATTGAATGAATGAGATTTTTAAAAAAGTTTATTTTCATCATTGCTTACTGGTGTAGCTGTTACAGTGTTAAGAGTCCATTGAACTGGATGGCTAGTAGTTGAAGGATGGGTATTTTGTTATTGGCTATAAGACTGTAAGGTTCTTGAATTAGATACTGTTGTGTAGTTGGACACATAATTTTTGAACAGTAGAGCATTCAGGTAAGATGGTATATTTAAGGTAGTGAAGAGTATCAAATAATAGTAGGATAAGAAACGGCTGAGGTACTTGGTTGGGAAGTCAGAGTTTGGACTGTGACAGGAAGAAAGGAAATAGATAAATAGGTTTAGCCAATAATACTGATGAGATACTGTGATGACCTGATTTTTATATTAAACAAAAGTCTTCATTCCTTATATTTTCTTACTAAAGCTTGCTAGCATGAGATAACAAGAGTTCCAAAACAGCAAAGATACATGACTCATAAGAATGAGGTGTGGTTAGCTTCTATTGCTTTTGTTTTAAAAATCATAGTGGTTAGAGCTTTGAAGAAGACATCCATTTTATTTGCCCTATCTGGAAAGTAAAGCTCAAATAAATGCATTTACTAAAAGTCATACAAGAAGTTAGAAATGGAACCGACATTATCACTCATGCCCTTTTTCTTCTTTTTCTCTGTAATTTTATTTTTAATGCATCTATAAGGTTAAAAATCCAACTTAACAAAAAAGGCCGCTAATGAAAGTTTCTCACTTCTATCTTTTTGCCCCGCTTCTGTTTTCCTCTCCTTATTCCTTGACTTTGATTCTGATGTAAATGACTTTTAAACAATCTACCTGGTTCTGTAGGTCACTACATGTCAGAGAACCAGAAGGACAAAGCTTTTTGCACTAGATCACAGCTTCCTAGGTAACCGAGGTTGCTGTCAGATTCAGAAACAAATATGGGACCGGGGGCCATGGCAGGGGCCGGGCAGGGGCGCGGAGGATGGACCGAGACCCGTCCCTGTGCCCACCTCAGCCTCTCGGCCCACAGTTCCTTTCAAGGTGCATGAATTCGTGCTTTGGGCCATAGTATTTAAATAAGAGTTTTGGCTATGTTCCAATAACATTTTAATTTATCCTATCTAATAAAGAGGGAATATGCTAATTGATCCTCATGCCGTCACCTAGATGTTGGTGCCCACAGCCAATAAGGAGGGAATATGCTAATTGACTCCCCTGTCCTCAAAGATGGCGGCTCCCACAGCCAATAAGGAGGGAATATGCTAATTGACTGCCCCACCATCAAATATGGCAGTGCCCACAACCACAAGATGGCGGCGCCCCTCAGCCCTGCTGGGGCAGCAGGCGTGTGGCAAGACCGAGCCCACCCCATGCACCTGCCTCCGGAGTCCCACAGTCCCCTCAGCCCCCAGTCACTCAGGGCCAGCCCGAGCTGCAGGCAAGCCTTGGATGGCGGCTGCCCAGCTGCCCAGGGCTGCCTGAGGCTCAAGTAACCAGGGCCAGCCAAGGCTTGCGCCACTGGCAGTGGCCACAGCAGAGGTGTGATGGGGCATCGCCTTCCCCTGAGGGCTCCCGGACTGTGAGAGGGGGCAGGCCGGGCTAGGGACCCCCCCCCTCCAGTGCATATATTTCATGCACCGGGCCTCTAGTTGGATAATAAAATATAATTTTGATATATCACAAAATATTTTTTGATATTTTCAACATCTTAAGAGCGTGAAAAACATTTTTACTAAATCCTACTGGTTGTAGTTGTTTAACTTACCAATATTATGGGGAGGGATGTTATTTTTTTCCTTACTGATTTGTAGGAATTATTTACTATTCTGCATATTATTTCTTGATTCAAATACTGTTTTCTTATTATGATGTCTTTTGATGAGCAAAAGTTCTTAATTTTAATAAAATAAAATTTATCATTTCTTACCTTCTTGGTTTGAGAATTTTGTGTTTTCTAAACCATTCCATTCCTTGAATTCATAAAGGTATTACTCTATGTGATTTTTCTAAAAGTTAGATAATTTTGCCTTAAACTTTTAGGTCTTTAATTCTACTCAGAATTTTTTTTTATATGGTTGAGACTACAATTTCACTTTTTCCACACTGAATTTCCTAGTACCATATATTGAGATAGCTGTCTTTTTCTCACTCATCTATAGTACTATGTCCATTAAATATTAGATGTAGATATGTGAATAGATTTGTTTCTGAGCTCTCTTTTATTTGTTTATCCTTGCATCAGGAGCAAATATATAGTATTAATTTGATGCTGGATACTGTTCTAAGTGCTTTTATAAATGTTATTTAATCTCCCGGTAAATTGTTCTTCATTTCAGCTCATGTATCCTTCATTTCTGACTGGTTCTTTTTTATGGTTTTCATGCTTTTTTTTTTTTTTTTTAATGCTGTTGAAGTTCCACTAAGTTCATTTTGCATCCTTATAACCAGTATTTTGAATTCTGCATCTAGCAGATTGTTTCCATGTTGTTTAGTTCTTTTCCTGGAGTTTTGTTCTGTTTTGTCATTTGAGATATGTTTCCTTGTCTCCTTATTATGATAGCCTCCCTGTGTTTGTTTCTGTGTATCAGATAGAGAGCTGTTATGTGTCCTGGGCTTGGTAGAATGGTCTTATGTTGTAAGTTTTCTCTAGGGCCAGGGTTACAGCCTTCCTGATACCCACACTGGGCACTGGGGTCACCTAGGAGGTACAGGCCCAGGTCTGCTGCTGCCTATGTTCTGCCCAGGGCCTCCCAGCATGAGCTACAAAGTGGTCTGCAGATGGATGCTAATTTTAATGGGCTTGGAGGTGCCCAGGTAAAGCCAAATTGCAAACCAAGGTTGGCTACTCCTAGCGCCAGCTTTGGGGCCCATTAGCAAGAAGTATGGGGCACCTGGAGGCCAGTTGCTGCTTGTTTGAGATTGTAGGAAAGTCTGAAGCACAAGCCAAGACAGGCCATTCATATGGGAAAGCCACTGGAAACAGCTTGGATGGGGCCCTAAGTTGCATGGGGCAGGGTCTCAGAGAACCATCCAGGTGGGCTGAACAGTGTGAGCCAGGTTGATGAATTCTCAGATGGCACCTGCCTGCCCAGCTCTGTGTATGATGTGTGTCAGAAAAAGAACAATGGTCTCTGCCAGCACTTTTTTTCTGGTAGAAACCTGCCCCTCCAGTTCTCACCCTGTTGTCAGTCAATTCAGTTCCTCCCGCTAGTCCCTGGTGCCTTTTGAGCTGCTGCATCAGTGCTGGAGCTCAGAAGGAGCAAGTCTGAGTAAGTCCTTCAGGAGGAACTGTCTGGGACTCCAGAAGCCCTCCATCGCACCCAGCCACAATCTCTGCTGTTTCTACACCCAGAAGTTATGGGTTCTGGTGTGAGGCTGGGACCCCTCGCTCCTCAGGAGATTTCTGTAGCTGAGATATTCCTCCCAATTTTTATCCTTCCTACATGGGTGTGGGACCAACCCCTTCAACCCCTCAGCCAGTCTCAATGTGGCTTCTTTAAATCCTTAGTTGTAGGACTTCCATTTAGCTATATTTCAGATAGTTCTGAATGATGGTTGTTCGGTAGTATCGTTGTAATTTTGATGTGGTTGTGGGAGGGTGCGAGTACTGTGTTTATCTACGCTGCCATCTCTGGAAGCTAGCTCCACCATTTTAACTGGTATTGCAAAATGTGTGACTTTAATCTGTAGGTAATTTTTGGTTTCCAATTGAGATGACTTCAGAAAACTAATAAGGAACAGAAAATTTCATTAAGTTGTAGAGGTACAGAGTTTTCCCAAGTTTGATAGTGACCAAAAGTTCATTTATATGGCAATTCTTACTACATAAGTAAAGACACTAATTGAAAATGTAAATTCTGATAATTTTCCTTTTTTTCTCCCCATTTATAAAATGTTGGCCAGACCTACTAAATGGATTTCATGGCCCACAAAGGGAGCTGCCACCACCAATTTCAAAGACTTGCAATGAACGTTCTAATAAAGGGGTTAGAATTGTTGCCTTATATCTATTTGGCTTGACTACATGGGAGATTTTCCAAATATGTTGCATTGCTTTGTTTTGTAATGAAGACATCATTTCAAAAATGGATTTTGACATTTGAATTTTTTCTCATTAAGGCTGTTTATATCACTGGAAAAGAAGTTTTCAGCTTCAAAATCCTTTCTTATGTGAATGCAACTGCTGATTCTGCATACACAGATATGAGTGTGGTTGATATTCAAGTTAATTTAACTGTTGGTTGCATTGAAGTAGTTTTAGTCACAAAATTTTTATATTCTATATTGGTAAGTATGTTAATTGATTTTTTAATTGATTCTTTCCCACTAGTTGGACATTGTTGTGCATCAACCATACATGAAGAATAAATAATAATTTCTTGCTTGATTTTTACCACCTAATTTTTCATAATTGTTTGAGTACCATTTATCACTGAAATGTGTAATACTTTATGTAGTATTATTTTCACATGGGAATATCCAGTTAATTGAAATATATATTTTAGATATTAACATATTAAGTATATGTACATTATATGTCATATAGGTTATATATATATTAATTGAGTTTTTATTTTATACATCATTGGTTTTTATGTTTTTGCTTTACTTAAGTTTCAACTCTAATGAAAAATACTAAATATATAACTGAAGTTTGTTGTTGTCTCAGCTTATTATTTTAAAAATTATATTTTCTATTATGTTATAATTCTGTGACTGGGGCTTTAAGAGCTTTAGATTTAATCTCTATATGATACACTCTAAGGTATGTGAATTACTTTTCATAGTTTATTTTCCCCTGTGGTTTTTTCATTCTGTCACTTGATGTTTTCTCTGGTGAGTGTCTTACCTGTCTCTATGGCTTCACTATTCATTCTTTTAAAATGCTATCTCTTAGTGTTGGTGTATAAAATGGATGACTAGTTGATTCTAAGTACATAATGTTGCCGTTTTTTTATCTTTTTAATTAAGGTTACCATGCAATTTTTCATATACCCATAAATTTTTTTGTACGCCAAAACATAAATATCAACAAATATTTCTTGCCTAATTTCTTTTTTAAAATTCCTAGTTATTTGCTAAATGATTTTTAAAAATATATTTATAGATTTCAGAGAGGAAGGGAGAGAAAGAGAGAAACATCAATAATGAGAGATAATCATTAATTGGCTGCCTCCTGCACACCCACACTGGGGACTGAGCCTGCAACCCTGGCATGTGCCCTTACCTGGAATCAAACTGTGACCTCCTGGTTCATAGGTTGATGCTCAACCACTGAGCCATGCTGGCCAGGCTCTAATTTCTTTTTAGAACTTGAAAGAATTTTGTCACTGAGCCTGATGTGATACCCTTTTACTACAAAATTACTGAAAATGAAATCTTTTTCTAAGTATGAAAATTAAATGTAACTTTAGGTATATTTTATGTCATTGAGATGTTTTTTCCAGAATTCAGAAATTAGAAAAGTGTAGCATTCTTAAGGAAATATATTTTAATTTTTTATCTTACAAAGAAGCTCTCTGCCAGTTGAGTTTGTACAGGGAAACACAATGTAATTGGTTAGCATTTAGGAAAAATGAGACAATGAGGGAACTAGATATCAGTGAAATATTGCAATATCCACATGTTACTTGTTCCAGGGACTAGTTTTTCAATGTTCTGCTATATCTTTGTATCTTTATCTTTGTGTTTCTCAATTTTTATGCAGAAGATTAAGATTTAATATAGGCAGCCAGACTTCGAATATATACTACCTGGTTGTACCAAGAAAATTTTTTTCTTATGGAGGTAAAATCATTACCTGCCTTGTACATTTAATAAGTCTCATTCATTAATGGTAACCTTGTGAATATAATTCTGTTACCTTTATAGGCTTTCATAGATAATTTTCAAGCAGTTAAAGAAGCCTTGGCTGAGGCAACTGTCCAGGCAGCAGGAATGGCTGCTACTGGTGTAAAAGAACTGGCACAAAGGAGTTCTAGAATGGCATTAGATGTTAACATCAAAGCCCCAGTTGTGGTCATCCCACAGTCTCCAGTTTCTGAAAATGTCCTTGTTGCTGATTTTGGACTGATTACAATGACCAATACATTCCATATGATAACAGAGAGCCAGTGCAATCCCCCACCCATTATTGATTTGATTACGATAAAGCTGAGTGAAATGCGACTATACAGGTAAGCTTCCCAAAAATATATTTGTATAGAGTGGTCATTTTCTAACTTTTTACATTACAGGCTTTGGTATCCCGAGTCTTCTGTTTACAGTATTTTATTTCATTATAACTATACTTAATTTTGTAGAACTCTTTCCTTCAAGTATTTTTGGTAAGATCAATTATAGTCTTCTAGTTTTTAAAAACTTAGAAATGTATATTTGAAAATTTCTTCTTAGATAAATTAATTATCTGAGGAAGTATTTGTGCTTATTTGTAGTTTTTGTTGTTAATACTCAAGTGAGGATATTTTTTCCATTGCTTTTTAGAGAGAGAGTGGAAGAGAGGGAGGGGGAGGGAAGAGGGGGTGGTGAGAAAAAGAAAGAGAGAGAGGGAAACATTGATGTGAGAGAGGCACATCAGTTGGATGCCTCCTGCAGGAGCCCAACCAGAGCCGGCATCAAACCTGCAACCCAGGTTTGTGCTCTAACCACTGAGAACACTGACCAGGGCTTCTTATTTATAATTCTTTATAAATTATAAGGTTATGGAATAATTGGAGGAATTCCTAATAGCATTTATTCACTTCACAAATACAGCATTATCCAAACTACTCTATCAGCTTTGTGCTGTGAATCTGATGTTCTAGTTAAAACAAAATATACACAGTAGAATACAACTTTATGAAATCATTGGGCATAGAATTATGAGTTAGGAGAATAAATGAATATCCAGATATTTCCAGAACTTTTTACTGTGTTTTTGTGCTATTTCTAATCACTACTCTAGATTTAGTGCCCTGTGCCTTTTTCAGCTTGGATACATCTCTGTTTATACCTCTCACTTGCCCTCTTCTTTTTTCCTCTCATTTTTCTTTGATCTTATTCTATTTGTTTCTTTTCCTTTATTTTTGCTACTTCTCTTGACTGGCCTCTGCCTGGTCTGTCTCCCTCAATCTGTCTTCTTTCCATCAGTTGAGTACTTTTTTTTAGAAAAGCAAGAATTTATTGACTGCAACAAAAACACACTTAGCACAGTGAAATAAGGAAGGAATAGCAATTGAGTATTTTTAAAGCAGTTTATTGAGATATAATTGACATATAAGCAATCACATATCTTCAAAGTGTATAATATGGTAACTTTTGACATGGATACACTTGTGAAAGTTTGTGTACATTGTAATATTTCTTCTTTAAATATTTGGTAGAATTCACCAGTGAAGCCATCTGGTCCCAGGGTTTACTTGTGGGAGATTTTTAAATACATTTTAAATACATTTTCCATTCTCTTAATAAACTTAGGTCTATTCAAGTTATTTTTTTCTTGTGTGATCTTTTTAAAATTTTTCAAGAAATTTATCCATTTTGTTCACAATGTAGAATTTTATGGTATAAAGTTGTGTATAATGCTTCCTTCTTATTATTAATATACACAGGGATTTTGCCTCCCTCATTCTTGATATTTATAGTTTATGCCTTTTTACTAATCAGTTTGGTTAGAGGTTATCAGTTTTATTGATTTTAAAGAACCAGCTTTTGGTTTTCTCTCATTTTTTCTGTTTTCTCTTTCATTTATTTCTGCTTTGATATTTATTACTTCCTTCTGCTTATTTTGGATTTAATTTTGCTTTTTCGAAGTTTCTTTACGTGTTAACTAATGTTGATTTGAACATTTCTTCTTTTATAATTTACTGCAGGCATTTAGTACTAAAATTTTGGAGTTTTTATCTGTAGCTCTCTTCTTTCTGGCATTTTACTGTTCGAGCTCTAGCTAGCTGCGTTGGTCACAAGAATTCTCAGTGCCATCTCATGAATTACTGTCCAGTGCTTGATGTCCTATGTCCTTTTATTTCTTTTTAGAACATTTGGCCTTTAATTTGCATTAAAATAAGTTTCTTTAAATATTTCAGTTACAAGTTCTAATAGTGAAGACATAGTAGATGCTGCAGGTACTCAGTATTGGCTCCCATCCTTTCCCCCACTCTCTCTCCCAAGCTTTGCTTTTTCACTCGAGATTCAAATGGGCACTCTGCACTAAATAAATGGCTCCTGGTGCCATTTATTTCAGGTTACACATTGTAAACAAGTGTTCTTTATGCATGCCACGTTTATTGCATTTTGGAACTTTTTGTTGTGGATTTTGCTGTTCAAATTGCTGCCAAGCATATAGTGCCAGTTATAACCATAAAAGATTAAAAGTGGATGAATTGTATGGATGTGAGTTGTCTCAATAATACTATTTAAAAAGCTAAAGGAAAATAATATGTAAGTATCAATAATAGGGTAGAACATAACTTTCTAATTTAAGCATTGAAGGAATAAGAAAAGTGATAAGGGAAAAATACCAGTTGGGTTTGACTTTACAAGAATGTAATTTTCTGAATATTAATTACCAAAACAAGGTTATAAGGGAAAAAGAATATGGGGTATTAGCATCTTTATCAAAGGATAAAAATCTTTAAATATTTTAAACCAGAAAGAACAAGATAATTTGAAAAATTGGTAAAAAACAACAACTAGATGATTCTTTAAAGGAGCCAATAAATAGCTAATAGAAATGTTCATACACACAAAATTATTGATTTCTACTATTAGTATATAAAATGAAAATTTTAACTTTTTGTTACCATCTGAGTAGATATGAAACAATTTGCAATAATTTTCTCTCTCCTTTTAGGTCTCAATATAGTAATGATACATACCAGGAAGTACTGGACATACTACTGCCATTAAATCTTGAGGTGATTGTTGAGCGAAATTTAGCCTGGGAGTGGTTCCAGGAAGTTCCTTGTTTTAATATAAATGCTCAACTAAAGCCTATGGAGGTAATTTTTCAGATACTTGTTGATTCCTCTTTTTTTGGTTAAAAGATATTGCTTGGGAACATATTACTTGGGTGTAGAAGTTATATCTTTATTAATCACCTTTGTCAGAATTAAAATATTAGCTCTTTTAATCTAGAATTCATAGACTATTCTCCATTCATTCATTCAACAAATATTTGCATGCCTACTGTGTTAGATATTGGAGATACAATGGCAGAGAAGCAAGATATTATCTCTGGCTTTGTGGACTTACCAGTCTGATGCAGGGGTTGGTGGTGATGGTAGTCCAGAGGTGTGATAGAGAGTAAAAAGTACACATGTACATTATTAAAATGGTTTTAAATTGTGGCAAATTCTATTAAGGAAACAAATATTAGGATGCTATAAGTAGTCTGTTGGATACATTAACATGGAATTTAGTGGAGAGGTCTAGGCAGGATAGAATTTGATGTTATCAGCAATGAGAATATATGGAATAACCTAGAGAAAATCGTAGAAGAATGGAGAGGTTGAAGATGAAAATTGCAAATGGATCAGGACCTTAGGCATAACTTAACCTCGCTATTGGTTGACATTGCTTCACAGATCCCTAATGTACCTATCCACAAATTCATATTGTTCCCTCTTGACTGGATGGAACTATTTCACATGTTTTGCTGAAGTGACAGCAACATATGTTGAGTCTGCAAGGTTTCTTTTCCCAGTCCCCGTCCCCAGTTTCCCTATTTCTTCCTATAAAAAATGTATTAAAAAAGAGAAAACAATTATTTTAAAGATTTAAGATTTTTAACTTAAAAGTCTATTTAGAATTTAAAACCTCTCAACTGGAAGAAAAATGTTAAATTCTTAGTATATAGATCATATGGGCATCTTAACTTATAGATGGAAAGTACCCTCTTGTGATAAATAATTGAAGTCTCTTTGTATTGGTAAGACAACAGATTGAAACTTATAAAAGACTAGAGGCCCAGTGCACGAAATTTGTGCAAGAGCCTTGGCCCCAGGCCCCGCCCGGGCCTCTGCTGCCTCTACTGCGGCCCCAGCCCGCTGAGGCTTTGTCCGGAAGGAAGGACATCCGGAAGGATGTATGGTCTAATTAGCATATTATGTTTTTATTATTATAGATAAGTAGCATGCTGAGCAAATCCTCTTCCCATTGGACATAGTCATTAGGCAGATTTATGTGGGGTGGCAGGACACTGTTTTCCTTCACTCTTCCCCAGGGCGAATCCATGCAGTATCAGGTAATATTTCAGGTCATCTGCAAATGCTTGGCTACTTTCCAGGACTGATGAAATTGGGTCTTTGCTTATCCTTATTCACATGAGTAGGCAGCATTTGTTGTAGACCACCCAACCTCCCTCCCCCCAGCTTCCCTCCCCCCACCCCCCCAAGCTTTCCTGCATTTAGACTAAGAATGCATTTAGACTAAGTACTACAGCTTGGGATTTGTCTTGTCAGATGTTTGGGGATAGCACACAGACTGCCCTGACATGTAGGAGCCATAGAGCAACAATCTGGGGGTTGTTACCGTTTTTCCAACTTCTACACTGAGCTGTTAGCAAGAGTGAGAGTGATGATTAACATCAAGAACTGGCAGGCATTCAATATACATGTACTAATTGAAAAGTGTTGATTTAGAAATTATATTTTATTTCAGTTTATAAATTTATATGAACATACTCTTTTTGCAATGACTGCTGCATAATAATCACAAAATAAATGTCATGAATAAATATTTTTTTAAAACCTAAGTAGTAGGTATGTACTAAAACAACATAAATAGCATGAATAAGGTACACATGGATTTAATCTTAAAACACTAGATTAGTATATAGGAATATCTTGTTTTATTGTGCTTTGCTTTTTCGTGCTTCACAATTTTTTGCAAATTGATCTGGCAAATGGGCTTCGAGCAGTAAACTTATTGCCACCATTTCCCCAACAATGTTTGCTCACTTCACATCTGTGTCGTATTTTAGTAATTCCCCCAATATTTCATACTTGTCTATTATTATTATATTTGTTTTGGTGATTTGTGGTTAGTCATCTTTGATGTTACTATTGTTATTGTTTTTCGGCACCACCAACTACACCCATATAAAACTGTAAACTTAATAGATAAATGTTGTATGTTTTCCGACTCCTCTACCAACTGCCCTGTTCAAGCTAGTTTCCCTATCTCTTCCTCTCTTTGGGTCTTCCTATTCCTCGAGACACAGTAATGTTGAAATTAGGCCAATTAATAACCTTACAATGTCCTCTAAGTGTTCAAGTGAAAGAAAAAGTTGCACTTTTTTCATTTGAAATCAAAAGCTAGAAATAATTAAGCATAGTGAGAAAGGCATGTCAAAAGCTAAGATAGGCTAAAAGCTAGACCTCTTACAACAAACAGCCAAATTGTGAATGCAAAGGAAAAGTCCTTGGAGGAAATTAAAAGGACTACTTTAGTGAACACACAAATGATAAAAAAGCAAAACAGCTTCATTGTGGATATGGAGAAAGTTTTAAGGGTCTGGGTAGAAGATTAAACCAGGTAAAACAGTCTCTTAAGCTAAAGTCTAATCCAAAGCAAACCCCTAACTCTCTCCAATTCTCTGAAGGCTGAGATAGGTGAGGAAGTTGTACAAGAAAATTTTGAAACTAGCAGTGGTTCGTTCCAAAAGTTAAGGAAAAAAAATCTGTCTCTATAACATAAAAGTACAAGGTAAAGCAGCAAATGCTGATGTAGAAGCTGCAGCAAGTTATCCAGAAGATCTAATTAAGATAATTAATGATGGTGGTTACACTAAACAACAGTATAGATGATATGGTCTTATGTTGGAAGAAGATATACCATCTAAGACTTTGATAGCTGGAGGAGAGAAGTCAGTGCCTGCCTTTAAAGCTTCAAAGAATAGACTGACTCTTTTGTTAGGAGATAATGCAACTGCTGACTATAAATGGAAACCAATGCCCATGAACCATTCTGAAAATCCTAGGGCCTTTAAGAAATATGCTAGATCTACTCTGCCTGTGCTCTATAAATGAAACACCAAAACCTGGTGATAGCAATCTGTTTACAACATGGTGTGCTGAATATTTTAAGCCTCGTGTAGAGACCTACAGCTCAGGTAAAAAAAAGATTCCTTTTAAAATATTACTGCTCATTGACAATGCATGTGGTCATCCAAGGCCTCTGATAGAGAGGTACAACAAGATTAATGTTGTTTTTAGACCTGTTAGTACTACCTTCTGCAGCCCATGGATCAAGGAGTAATTTTGTTTCAAGACTTATTATTTAAGAAATATATTTTGTAAGACTATCGCTGCGGTAGATAGTGATTCATCTTATGAATCTGGACAGAGTAAATTGAAAACCTCCTGGAAGGATTCACCATTCTTGATGCCATTAAGAACATTCATGACTCGTGGGAAGAGGTCAAACGTCAACATTAACACAAGTTTGGAAGAAGTTGACGCTAACTCTCATGGTGACTTTGAGGTATTCAGGATATCTGGAGGGAATAACTGCAGATGTGATGGAAATAGCTACAACACTAGAATTAGAAGTGGAGCATGAAGATACGACTGAATTGCTGCAACCTCACGATAAAACTTTAATGGATGAGGATTTGCTTCTTATGGATGAGCAAAGTAGGGTTTCTTGAGATGGATTCTTCTCCCAGTGAACATGCTGGGAAGATTATTGAAATAACAACAAAGAATTTAGAATATTACATAAACTTAATTGATAAAGCAGTGGCAGGCTTTGAGAAGATTGACACCAATTTTGAAAGAAATTCTGTGGATGAAATGCTATCAAATAGCATTTCATGCCACAAAGAAATTGGTCATGAAAAAGAGAATCAATTAATATGGCAAACTTCCTTTTATCTAATTTTAAGAAAATTCCATAGCTCCCCCAACCTTCTGCAACCACAATCCTTATCAGTCAGCAGCCATTAATATTGAGGTAAGACCTTCTAATAGCAAAAAAAAATTGTGACTCGCTGAAGGCTTAGATGATGGTTAACACTTCTTAGCAATACAGTATTTTTTAAATCAAGTTATGTACGTTGGTTTTTTTTAGATTTAATGCTTACACTTAATAAACTATTACATAGTTTCAACATAATTTTTATATGTACTGGGAAACCAAAAAATTTGTGTGACTCACTTTATTTTGATAGTCGCTTTATTGCGATTGTCTGGAATCGAATCCACAACAGCTACAAGATATGCCTGTATCGTCTTTTCAGTGCAGTCAAAGAAAACCTGATGAAAATAACATTGTTAATTTTTGTGGAATTAAAATTATCCCCTTGAGGTAATTAAACATATCATTATAAAACTCATAGTTCTTTTTTATTTTTATTTTTGCAAAGTGGGTTTTGTATTAGAGTTCTCTAGAGAAATAAAATATGATGTGTGTGTTTGTGTGTATACTTGGCCTGTGTGCATTAGACTGACACTGAGGTCTAGGAGGGGTCAAATGTGGTCACCACGGTGGGCTACAATAGCTGCTTACTACTAAGTGAGTCATGGTAGAGATAGACTCAGTTTCATTCTAGTAGGCCTGCCCCAAAAGGCAGTTGGGCATTTGTAGATGGTCTGCAGCATATATAAGGTGTGTGTGTGAGTGTAAAATATCTGGGAAAATATTTGACCAAATATATATATACTGTGATCCAACCAAATTGACATAAAATTAACCATCACAACTTTCAGGAAAGCTCCTATGCTGGTGATTTTAGGCTAAATTCTCAACACATGAGGTTTTTACTTATTGTGTTGAGTAAGTTTATTAAGTGGACTAAAGCATGATACTAAACCACTTAAGCCTCAACTTCTTATAAAGTCAGGATTATATTCGTTACACCTAATACTTGTGAGGTTCAAATAAAGTAATTCATGTAAAACACATTGTGAACTATTTTTCATCATACAAATGAATTATTTTTTATTCTATATTTAAAGATTTAGCTGTTTACTAACCAAAAAAAGACAAAGTAGATGAATATTGAACCAAGTAAGTTTATTTTAAAATTTTGAAATTACTAGTTTATTGGTAAGTTGTAATACAAATAGTTCATTATTCATAGCTTCATTAATATTGTATTTAATCTTGTTCTGTATTTCACAAGGTACTAAAACTCATGTGCTCATTTAAAACTGAATATTCAGTTAGTAGAAATATCTCATGTGTAAAAATTGGTTTTGTAGAGGATTGAAATGAAACAATTATTTTTATTGTATGTGAATTTTTTACTACATGAAGTAGTAATATTAAAATAAGCAAATCTTATTTTTTTAACAGTTCATTCTTAGTCAAGAAGATATAACAACTATCTTTAAAACATTATATGGTAATATATGGTATGAAGGAGGTGGCAGTGTCCCACCAGCAGGAGTGAAAGATCAGAGTAGTGTTACTGGTGGAGTCACTAACACTTCACATCATTCAGGAGGTATGTTCTTGACTTTAAACTCTTTCCCCTCCCACCCCACCCCATTTCTTCTTTCCTTCCATTCTCTATTCCTAGTTTTGGAGTAAAATAAGATTTATAAATATTTTTGAATTATTTAATCACATTCAGGTATCTCTAAATTGTTTATTATTAGTTCTGTTGATTTTTCCCTTTGATTCAAAATTCTCAGTCCTATTATGACAAAATTCCTTAGTATTTATGCTTATCTATCCCAACATGGATCCCCTTTTCCAGTTTTTTTCTCCTTCCTTCCTCTTCTCCCTTATTCCTATTGCAGCATTTATCCCAGATGAGATATTTTATATTGATAATAGCCATATCAGAGTATTAGAGGTGTCAAGAGAGGATGAGCATGAATAAATTTTGGATTTCAACAAATATTTAAAGGGTAGATGGAAGGGACAGAACAGAGGGAATCATGGAGAAAGGCTGTTTATCCAATGTTGGCTATAATGTGCTATGTGGAACCTTACGGGTTCTAAGTTTAGCATCAGTACAGAGAATAGGGTCTCTTAGGGGTGCTGGGATGATTTTGCTTCACAAGAACAGAGTTCTCATTCTGGCATTTTGGGAGATCCCCAAACCTACCTATATTAAAGAGCAACCGACTAGCTCACAAAATCCACCCTTGCAAAGCCCTGAGATTTTTACACAGCTTTGTCAGTCAAGGAGAATCCTAACACACAAACAACCATACATTTATAACATTGTAGGAAACCCCATCTTCGCTTGTTAGAATAACCAACCTAGTCCTTTACTGTTAAATATTATTGGACAGATATGAAGAAAATCACAAGAACCTGAGCATGAAAGAAACTAACATAAACAGAATAGGTAATTGGAATTAGATCTATCATCAGTAAAACTGAATGGGATGGAATGGATAGATGATAAAAGACTATGGAGCCATATAGTCAAATTTCTAAGAAAATTATTTTGAAGTTAGGCTTCTATATAAGGCCAAACCATCACCCAAATGTGAAAACACAATAATTTGCAGATGTTTAGTCCCACAAAGTTTACTTCTTTCATACTCATTCCTGAATAAATTAGTTTTAAAGTATATTCTAGCAAAACAAGGAATTCAGGAAAGAGGAAGACATAGGATACAAAAACAAAGGGCCTAACCAGGAGTACACGGAAATGGAATCCCAAAATATTTTGTTACTGGGATGTGTAGTAAAAAGTACTTCATTTTCATTAAAGAGAAATTCAGAATATCTTAAGAAAAAAAGTGGAAGAATGTCTTCAAGAAGAAAAGTAGCATAAATTCCATAATATATATAGAATGAGGGATTAATTTCAGTAATTTCCCCGTTAACCACGGGAATCCTTTTCAAGACCCCCAGTGGATGTCTGGAACTTAGTACCTAATGCTATGTATATTATGATTTTTCCTGTATATATATACCTGTGATAAAATTTAACTTATATATTAGCCACAATAAATGATTAACAACAACTAATAAAGTATAGAACAATTGTAACAATATTAAGTAAAATAAAGGTTACTTGAACACAAGTCTGTGATACCACAACAGTCCATCTGATAACTGACAGGACTATTAACTGACTAACAGGCAGGTAGTATATACATAGTGGATATGCTGGACAAAGACATGATTTCACATCCTGGGCAGGATGGAGGGGTCAGCATACAATTTTATTATGCTACTTAAATAGTGCACAATTTAAAACTTATGAATTATTTCTGACATTTTTCATTTAACCCTTTCAGACCTTGGTTGACCATGGGAAACATACCACAGAAAGTGTAGCCGTGGATAAGGGGGACTACTATACGTACCTTCCATAAGTGATATAGAGAGAAAGACATGCTTTCTGTTCCTAGGAAGGGAGAAATTGCTACAAACAGTCAGGTGCAGAAGTGGAGGAGATTTTGCGTGATTTTGAAAAATTGTTAGCATGTGATAAGAGATTTTCTTTTGAGAGATGTACTAGTTGTAATGTAGCAGCAGAAGAACTATTATAATAAACGATTGAAAATTATTACATAGCTATAGTTAATCAGACATGGAAGACTTAATCTGTAAATAAGAATTTAAATGTTATTAGCTACGTTAACCTAGTAGTAACCATTGTTAACCGAGCAAAGCTGGAAAGAGGAAGATGGGACCAATAAAGGAAATACATGGTAAGGACTTAAAATATAGGCAGTGCAAAGGTAATGTCTAAAATGTGCAGGATGTAAAATAGACATTTCAATATATTATTTTAATCATTCACCTATAGAAATTTTTACCCATTACCCAATTTCAACAATTAGTATAATATGTCTGCTTTTATTGCTACTATAACTCTTCTCCTCTTCTATACACATTTGATTAATAATTCTGTTAAATATATTTTAAGGCTGTTTTAATGAGTTCTAGCTTTCCTGATTTTTTTTCTTTTATCTAATAACTTTAATTTTTCCAAGGAACAACTGTAGTGACAGCTGCTATGGTAGAAGTACATTCATGTGCTGCTCAAGTTAAGACAACTCTAAATATGAGTTTCAAAACTGATTATCTCACCATGATACTGTATAGTCCAGGTCCTGAACAGGTAAGTTGAGGGAAAAAATATGTTTTTTACTTGATGAAAATTATATAGTGAATATTTATTAAAATGCCAATTATTAATATTTTATGTACATTTTGGAGTATCTGTTCCTGTGAGAAAAATTATTGATCTCTTCATTTTACTAATAAAATAATTTTAACCATTTCCCTTTTAAAATGAGTTATCTTTGCTATAGTTAGTGATGTGAAAACTAAATTTTTTAATTAAAGTCAATATATTTTTTGGCCTTTCTTAGTGAGAGCCCTTTGGAGATAGAGAATGTGGTAGTATATAATTAAAAAATGTGTCATATATATGTGTTTGTGTAAAATTTATATTGATTTTCTCTTCTGCAGGTTTCCTTTACAGATGTTCGTGATCCTTCTCTGACACTTGCTGAATTTAAGTTGGAGAATATAATAAGTACTTTAAAAATGTATACAGATGACTCAGTATTTTCTGCCTTCTCATTAAAAAATTGTATTTTAGATGATAAAAGGCCTCATGTCAAGAAGGCAACTCCTAGGTAATAGTGTTCTGCATTTTTACTTGAAATATGGTTGATATTTTTTATAAAAGTTATTCCCAAAGTTGCACATTCATTTTTTGGGCACATCCTTAATATCATCAGAGCTTTCAATTCAGTGAAGTCATGGTTCCCAGTCACCATTTTAAATGTCCGGGTGGCTTGGTTGGTTGAAGAATCATCTCATACATCACAAGGTGGCAGATTCCATTCCCTGTCAGGGCTCATACGCAGGTTGCGGGTTTGATCCCAGGTCGGGTGCATCTGAGAGGCAACGGATTGATGTTTCTCATATCGATGTTTTTCTCTCTCCCTCCCACCTTCCCTCCTTTCTTCTTTCTCCAAAAATAATTAATTAATTAAAGACATAATATGTCTTGTTTCAGTTATGTGCTCTTGCTGGATGGTTGATAGATTAATTAAATAAAAATAATCAGTGTAATTTTTTGTGTGTTTTTTTCAAATTAATTTATATTATCAAAATTATTATCAATTCAAAATTTAATGGGAAATATATGAAAAATCAGCTGAGATTCCAAATTCTGATAATTTCTTAAAGACACACGAACTAATTTATAAAAGTTATATTCCAGAAGTTTGTAAATCTATTATTATTTGGAGTACTTTGAGATCTTTCTATGATAACCGACTTTAGATGCTGGTTGGCTGTCAGTGAAAGGGATAAGTAGTCTTTGGGTTTTATTGGTGTGTTTGGTTATTTGTAAGCTATTCACAGGAATATTGTGTTTTTCAGAATGATAGGATTGACAGTTGGATTTGACAAAAAAGATATGATGGATGTAAAGTATAAGAAAATCAGAGATGGTTGGATGTCTGATGTAGTCCTTCAAGAAACATATATTTGTGCAAGTGTGGAATTTCTGCTGACAGTTGCAAATGTCTTTCTTGAAGCCTACACCACAGGCACTGCTGTAGAAACCAATGTTCAAGCATGGGCTGCTAAGGAAGAAGGTTAGTTATTAACTAAAATATTTAATATCTATGTTAATCAAGTGTTACAATAGCACTTACCTTGATTAGCTTTGTAGATCAGCAATTTTCAACCTGCGTGCCACAAGAGTTTTTAAAACATGAAATATCTGACTATTTAATCAGGGGCACTGACCTCTTTTCTCTTAAATTGTCAAGTAAAAAAATGACAACAGCCAACATATCAATCTCCGTTTGATACGAATGAATGAAATTTATTTCCTTTTTTTTTTTTGTCAGATTGGCAAAAAATATTTGATATGCTGCAGAATTCTAGTTTCTAGTTTATGAGATGAAAAAGGTTGAAAATAGCAGTTCTAATCAACGAGGTTAAATGAATTAATAAATTAAAATTTTATTTTTAAGAGGAAAATGTGCTTTCTGCTGGGATGTGCAGTTTACATATTTTTCAAGGTGTAACTATATGTTGGGTTCAAAAATTAATGAGACCTGCATTAGAATAAGTACTTGTACTTAACTTCAGACAATCATTTGAAAGAATTTGCTGGAAGAAAACCTGCAGGGAGAAATAATGAACCAACCACTTATTTTCATTATTAAAGATAGTATTTCAACTTAAAACATTCTTACTTTTTGTTTTATTTATAGTTTTCTACTGTATTTTACATTTGTATTTGTGGTGCAGTGGAAAGCGTATTATGTTGAGAGTTAGAAACTGGGTTAGTTTTCAGCTCTGCCCTGGTGGAGATTTCCCCCCACATTTTTAAATGTACTTATGACTCTCTTCTTCAAATCTTACATTATAGATTTCTTTGGGACCTAAGATGCCTTTAGTTTTTACTTAGAATGAAAATAACATTTTCCCATAAATAATACATTTTTCATAAAATGTGTAGCAAAGATTTATAAATATTTTAAATTATTTTTATTTCTATTTTAGTACCTGCACAGATACAAGAAAAGTGGGAAGTGAATATTCTTATTAAAAATCCTGAAATTGTGTTTGTGGCTGATATGACAAGAAATGATGCTCCTGCCTTAGTCATTACAACACAATGTGAAATTTGTTGCAAGGGTGACCTTGAAAACAATACAATGACTGCTGCTATTAAAGATCTCCAAATGAGAGCATGCCCATTTCTTCCTGACAAGAGAAAAGACAGAATCACTACTGTGAGTTTACTATTTAGTTATCTGTTTTATATTTTGTATATACCACTTTAGGAACCTACCTATAGACTTTCTAATCTTTCTTTATAAAGTACTTTTTTTTGTTTTTTGGAGAGCCTAATCTGGATTATTAATATACCACTTTGAAACTCTTTTTCATTCTTCCAGTTGTTCCTCATTTTTTTATGTATTTGTGGGCATAGTCTCACTAAGAAGCTGCCTTCATCTTCACTTTTTTTGAGACCTTACTCGCACATACTATCCGTGTCAGTTCCACACTGCTCTTTTGCCTTGAAAACTATCTACCACTTGTTTGAGATGTTGCAATTTTGCCATTTTTTCATATTTTTCTCCCATCTGGACACTTTTCCTTTGATGTATGTGTTTGCTTTTCTCCATGCAATGTATTTGAACGTTAGCCATTTGCTTTGAAATACTTCCCATTTGTATATTACTCTAGCAACTTAATGACTTTCCTCCTCTTCATAACTGATTAAAATTTATTTCTTCAAAGAAATCTTTTCAAGTTAACTATCTGACTCCTAGTACTCTTATACAACACTTATAAAAATGTGTAGTCTTTTAAAGGAATAATAGAAGCATAAATGTTCTAAAAATTATCAACATAGAAATGTAAGCTATAATTCTCTAGTTTGCAAGGCTGATGGCTCGTCACTAAGAAAAGAGAGGATATAGAAAACAGTGCATACTGATTCTCTTTTAGGTGAATACTTAGAAATTTTATATATTTCTTCTACTCACATCATTTGGCATGAATGTAGCTAGGTGACCATACTTATCTGCAAAAACAGCTGGAGAATGTGTCCTTCTTCCCCTTCTTCCTCTTCCTTCCTCCTCCTCTTTTTTTTTTTTTGTGTGTGTGTGTGTGTGTGTGATATTTTGTGCCCAGATAAATCTTGTATTAATTACTGTGAAGAAAAAAAAAAGAACAGATATCAAGACAACCAGAGGTTCTTCCCACAGTTCACTAAATGTTTTATTCCTTTGTCTATACTGATAATCCATGCTTGTCTTTTCTCACCTCCACCTCAAGGGTTACAGTCTCAGCTCAAAATCCAGAATCTTTAGATGATCATTTTCTTTGTTGAGTCTGTATGTGATTTCTCTGGAGAATTGTAAATAGGGGAGGTTTGTCAGGTGAAGTGACATTTATGCCAATGCCTGAAAGATGAGTAGATATTAGCCAGCAGAGCTGAAACAGGAGGCATGGGAATGTGTTTCAGGATGACGGTATAACATGTGCAGAGAATCTGGGTTCCAGAGAGCACAAGTTCCCACCGCATATCTACCCACCTACCAACATCTACACTTATATACTCTGACTTTTTCTCGTTATTCTGTGGTTCTCAACTTGGGGCTGTCTTCCCACCACCAAGATAGTGTTTGTAAAGTAGGGAATGTATAGTGAGCTCTTATAGGCTTCTATAGATGTTGGATAGCTCAAGATTGCTTCTTTGAAGGGGAAGCAATAGCAGCAGGGAAATAATGCATTAATAGTGAAAATCATAATACAGGAGCTGTATGGTAAGAATTAGAGTAGAAAGGAAAAAAAATAAAAGTAGCACTAAAATTACAATGGATGTAGTTGGAGACAATAAAATAATACTAGTAGGGAAATAATTCCATTTTAAGATAATGTTTCTACATCTTCAATTGATGAATCCAGCCGTGGGCAAACTACGGCCCGCGGGCCTGATCCGGCCCATTTGAAATGAATAAAACTAAAAAAAAAAAAAGACCGTACCCTTTTATGTAATGATGTTTACTTTGAATTTATATTAGTTCACACAAACACTCCATCCATGCTTTTGTTCCGGCCCTCCGATCCAGTTTAAGAACCCATTGTGGCCCTCGAGTCAAAAAGTTTGCCCACCCCTGGAATAGACTGTATTGTATACAACTTGACTGTAGTGTAGTTTTGTCACTAACATGTTGGATCAGCTGCATTTAAAAAAATACATTTTTACTGACTTCAGAGAAAGGAAGAGAAAGGGAGATAGAGATAGAAACATCAGTGATGAGAGAGAATCATCAGTTGGTTGCCTCCTGCACACCCCCTACTGGGGATCAAGCCTGCAGCCCAGGCATGGAATCGAACCGTGACCTCCTGGTTCATAGGTTAATGCTCAACCAAAGAGCCACACCGGCCAGACGATCAGCTGCATTTTTAATCCTAGGGAACTTAATTAGACTTGAAAATAAAAGAGTTGGATAAGGAACAAAACAAACGTTCATACTTATTTTGGGAAGGGAGTTAGAAACTTTTTTATGTATTTATAATAGTACTTTTTGGTTTTGTTTTTTGCCTTACCTAAGATGAAGATATAACACAAATTTTATGTTGGAAGTTGTGGATTATGTATTGTAATATGGTTATAATTTCCTATCCCTGAAGTTTCAAGAAATAATATATTGAATATGAAAGTCATGTACTAGTTGCTCTTGCTGATTTATTAGAACAATAGTGAATTTTAATGTGATTTCTTTGGAGAATGAATTTGGTTATCATATTTGTTCTGATTTATTTTTCACTTTTAATATAAGCAGAATTCTAAAATGGCCCTGAAGATTTCTACCTCCTGTTGCATGTGCCCAGTATAGTCCGCTCCCTTTGAGTATGGATAGGATCAGTGAATATAATTAGGTTACTAATCAGTTAATTGGGTTAACTAAAGAGAAATTCTGGATGGGCCTAACCTAATTTTTAAAATCCTGGCATTGAAGAAGTAAGCTGCTATGTGGGGAAGGCTGCATGGCAAGAACCTATGAGCAACTTACTAGTAGGTGTCAAAAGCAGTCTCTGGCTGACAGCACAAGCCAATGGAGATCTCAGTTTTAGGGCCACAAAGAAATAAATTCTACTGATAACCTGAATGAGTTTGGGAGCAGATCTTTTTCAGTCAAGCCTCAAGATAAAGATGCAACCAGCTGATAACTGATTTCAGCAAGATTCCTGACCCATGAAAATGAGGAAAAGTAAATTAGTATTGTTTTAAGCTACTAAGTTCATGGTACTTTGTTACTCAGTAATAGGAGAATACAGATTTTTAAAAAAATACATATTATATTGATTTTTTACAGAGAGGAAGGGAGAGGGATAGAGAGTTAGAAACACCGATGAGAGAGAAACATCAATCAGCTGCCTCTTGCACACTCCCCACTGGGGATGTGCCCGCAACCAAGGTACATGCTCTTGACCAGAATCGAACCTGGGACCTTTCAGTCTGCAAGCTGATGCTCTATTCACTGAGCCAAACCGGTTAGGGCAAGAATACAGATTTTTTTTTTTTTTTAACAGAAATAAGATGTAGCAATTATTTAAAATGTGGGAGCATCTTTGGAACTGGGTAGTATGCAGAAGCTGGAGGAATTTTGAATAGAATGATAGAGAAAGCCTAACTTGTGTCGATCAGACTTTTGGTAGAAACATGGTCTTTGAGGACACTGCTAACGAGGACTTAGAAAGAAGATAAAAGACATATTATTGGAAACTATAGGGATTGCTTGATATGTAGTCCCAGAAAGCTTTGAAAAATGGTGTCTTGAACCCCCAACATTCTACTGGCAGAAAGCAGGAGGATAAAAAAGCAACTACTCAGCTGTGTATTTGTGCTACCTTTTATAAAGAAGGAAGAATGACTCAGGGTGGAGCTGAGAGCCACAGATAATTGCTATTAGGCTTTGAAACCTAATCAAGAAACATTTACTTGACTGGATTTCAGAACTGCTTTGGACAAGTGACTCCTTTTTACCTTCCATTTATCCAGCTTGATTAGGAATGTCTGTAATTGTTATCCTATGTCTGTCCCACCATTCTGTGTTAGGAATGATGGGGGCAGATAACTCATCTTAGTTTCACAATTCCATAAAGGGAGAGAAATTGTGCCCTAGCAGCTACATTTAATAGATTATACCCAGGAATTTCATCAGGACCTGGAGCTGATTTAGTTTTAGACTTTGAGCTGGTAAGAAATAGATGATATTTTGGATTTTTTAATCAATGAGAGCTATAGATGAGATAGAGGTGTGATGAGATACAGATTTAGAAAATGTGATTTTGGACTTTGAGCTATAATGGAATGAGACTGTTCGGAACCTTAGGAGGAGGTGAATATATTTTGTGTTTGGAAGGAATATGGTGACTGGGTGCTAGAGGGTAGAATCCTGCTTACCACAGTTAAGAAAAACTCAGCTAATTTATAATTGCATTAAGAATTATTAAGTAAATCTAATGTATTTATAATTTTTACATCTCATCTTTTTTTTTTAATATATTTTATTGATTTTTTTTAATTAAATCTTTATTGTTCAGATTATTACATTTGTTCCTCTTTTTCCCCCCCATAACTCCCCTCCTCCCAGTTCCCGCCCCACCCTCCGCCCTCACTCCCCACCCACTGTCCTCATCCATAGGTGCACGATTTTTGTCCAGTCTCTTCCCGCATCTCCCACACCCCTTTCCCCCCCAAGAATAGTCAGTCCATTCCCTTTCTATGTCCCTAATTCTATTATAATCAACAGTTCATTCTGTTCATCAGATTATTTATTCACTTGATTCTTAGATTCACTTGTTGATAGATGCATGTTTGTTGTTCATAATTTGTATCTTTACCTTTTTCTTCCTCTTCCTCTTCTTAAAGGATACCTTTCAGCATTTCATATAATCCTGGTTTGGTGGTGATGAACTCCTTTAGCTTTTCCTTATCTGTGAAGCTCTTTATCTGACCTTCAATTCTGAATGATAGCTTTGCTGGATAAAGTAATCTTGGTTGTAGGTTCTTGGTATTCATCACTTTGAATATTTCTTGCCACTCCCTTCTGGCCTGCAAAGTTTCTGTTGAGAAATCAGCTGACAGTCGTATGGGTATTCCCTTGTAGGTAACTGAGTTTCTTTCTCTTGCTGTTTTTAAGAGTCTCTCTTTATCTTTTGCTCTTGGCATTTTAATTATGATGTGTCTTGGTGTGGTCCTCTTTGGATTCCTTTTGTTTGGGGTTCTCCGCGCTTCTTGGACCTGTAAGTCCGTTTCTTTCACCAGGTGGGGGAAGTTTTCTGTCATTATTTCTTCAAATAGGTTTTCAATATCTTGCTCTCTCTCTTCTTCTGGCACCCCTATAATTCTGATGTTGGTACGCTTGAAGCTGTCCCAGAGGCTCCTTACACTGTCCTCACATTTTTGGATTCTTTTTTCATTTTGCTTTTCCGGTTGGGTGTTTTTTGCTTCCTCGCATTTCAAATCATTGACTTGATTCTTGCGCTCCTCTGGTCTGCTGTCGGGAGTGTGTATAATATTCGTTATTTCAGTCCGTGTATGCTTAATTTCTAGTTGGTTCCCCAATATAGCATCGAGGGTCTCATTAGTTTTCTTGTAGGTCTCATTAAGTTTATCGGCGGCTTCTAAACAGTTCTTGAGAGACCTTAAAAGTGTGGGTTCTGAACTCTATATCTTCCATTGACAATTTTGTCCTGTTTCTTTGTCTCCGCATTTTGTTATGCTTCCTTGGTGCACCCCCTATTGGTCTTTGTTCGCAGTCTTATAATTAAACCTTGATTGTTGTAGCTAATACCAGGGAGGGTTTGACCTCCAGGCCAAGTGGCTATGAGAATCAGCTGTGTCAGCAGTGAGAGAACTTCTGTCCTCTAGGGAGGTGCTAATCTAGCCTTTGCCTGAGGCTATCCGGCAAATGCCTCTGTGCAGGGCTTGGGCGGGGCGGGTCGCACAGGATCCACAGGGTGGGCCGGAGAGAGCAGTTATGGCGGCTCTCAGTCCTGTCCCCATGGGCTCTGCCTCTCTGAGTCCCAGCACCCGCTGCAAAGCTCGGAGAGAAAGCTGCACTCGCTCTGACTGAAGCCAGACAGTCCCGCTTCTCCCGTTTGAGTCTGGGTCGCTAAAGACTCGCCCGGAGCTGGAGCTCAGAGTCTGCGACTCCCTCCCGATTGGAAAAGCCAACCGCGCCCTCCGCCGCCAGCCCGCTCCGCGCACGTCGCACCTCAGAATTTGACTTCAGCACTGCGCCTCCTCTGAGTGTCCGTATGCGTTTCTCTTTCCTCCTAGTTGTAGGACTTCCACTCAGCCAGCGTTCCTGTGGTTCTGGGTGATGTCCCTTCCATCTTTTAGTTTCACTTTTGAAGTAGTTGTTCAAAGCAGCAAACTCCGGCGTTAACCTATGCCGCCATCTTGGTTCCTCTTCTTCTTTTCTATCTACATCTCATCTTTTATAGCTTTTTCTGTATAGATTAATTTATTTCATTGTAATTTTATAATGGAAAAGATGCCATAATAAAATTTTTATTCTAGTAAGTAAAATGAAATATATAATACACATTTTACATATTTCTATAGTTAAGCATATTCAAGAAGTCCTACATATTGTTTTATTAATACTGCTCATATTAGTACTTGATATTATAATGAGTAAGTAAAGGGAAGTAAGAAGTGTGTTATTGAGTCACTTATTTTTCAACAGTTTTGAATAGCTTGTCTATTTAATATAGTTAGCTATTACTAGGAAAGCCTTTAAATAAAACTATTTTAAGAACAATGGTAATTTAGTGTTACTGATTTTTCTCATAGGTTTTGCAGCCCTGTGACTTGTTCTATCAAGCTACTAAGATAGGCACAGATCCACAAGTGATTGATATATCACTAAAATCGCTGACACTAAAGGTAAGTTAAAATGTCAGTCATTTAGATCTTTAGTGAACTTTTAAAAAAATTAATAAACTAGTAATAAACAGTTATCACAGCAAGTCTTTTAATTGTTAAGTAAGCAAAAAAGAAGCTATGTTTTAAAAATCTCTCTATATAAAAGCCTAATATGCTAATTGTTCCTCCCACTGTTCGACCAGTCGCTGTGACATGCACTGACCACCAGGGGGCAGATGTTTAGAGCAGTAGGTTAGCTTGCTGCTGGGGTCCAGCCAATCGAGACTGGGCGAGACTGGCCAGTAATGCTCTGGAGCCCTCCCACAGTCCCTCCCCAGCTGGCTGGCCCTGATAGGCCCTGATCAGGACTGGGCAAGATGGGCCGGACATGCCCTGGAGACCTCCCACGGTCCGTCTCTGGCCCCAATTGTGCACCAGTGGTGTCCCTTGGCCTGGACTGCACCCTCTCGTAATCCAGGACCCCTTGGGGGATGTCAGAGAGCTGGTTTCAGCCCAGTCTCCACAGGCCAGGCCGAGGGACCCCACCTGTGCAGGGAATTATATTTGTGGTTTCATGGTAATAATATTATTATTTCAACATTAATTATGATTCTTCAGCAAATATATTTAAATGTCCTTGAAGTATGTATTTTTAAAAGCTGCATAAGTAGATTATTTATTAGTTTAAATTTTTTTCCTTAGGTTTCACCAGTTATCATAAATACTGTGATTACCATAACTGCAGCACTTTATACAACTAAGGAAACCATCCCACAAGAAACTGCTTCTTCTACAGCACATTTATGGGAAAAGAAGGATACAAAGACTTTAAAAATGTGGTTTCTTGAAGAACCAAATGAAGTGAAAAACATAGCTCCCACAACTGAATTGGTACCCAAAGGAGAGATAATAAAAATGAACATTGATTCTATTTTCATAGTTCTTGAGGCTGGGGTTGGTCATAGAACAGTGCCTATGCTTTTGGCAAAATCATGTTTTTCAGGGGAAGGCAAAAACTGGAGTTCCCTCATAAATCTCCACTGTCAGCTTGAGCTAGAAGTAAGTAAATATAGTATTTTTTCTAGATTTTATAACAAATAATGATACATATGGAATATTTTTAGAATCTTATTTAAATATTTAAGCATATTGTAAATATGTTGGCTCAGAAACCTTTTGGAAGAAAGTTTACAGATTTATGCCTTTGATAAAGTTTTATGTATACAGTAAGTCCTCAATGTCATTGATAGGTTTTGCCATTTTAAGCAAAAGGACATAAAACAAAACCAGTTTTACTGTAGCTAATTGATATGAAAAAGAGTTAAAATCCTACAACATCTCATCAGTGTTGTAACAAAACATTGTTGAACAAAATGTTACTTGAGGCCCTATTGTACTTTAACTTTAGACCACATGTCAACACTAAGTTTATATTTCAGTTGATTTGATCAATTTAAACACGATAGATTAATAGATTGTTGTTGATTAGATTCAAAATTCTTGTTTTTAGGAATTTAATGGAATACCTTTCTTCCTTTGAAAGAAAAATAAACTATTTCTGAATTTCTTCTAAAAGAGTAATATAAAGAATTAGAAGATGTCTTATACTTTTATATAATAATATTGTTATTATATATATACTTTTATATAATCTTTACACTGTAGTGAGAATCCACTAAGATCTTTAAATTTTTTGTATTTTATACAAGAAATTTGCTTTGAACCAATGTACATTTTGCTTCAGAATTTATCTATATAGAATCATCCCCAAAGCTACTTTGGTTTAAATTATTAATCGAGTTTGTCTAGTGGAAACTAATCTGATAATCTACCCTTATCAAAAAAATATGGAGATTTATAAGCTGCTATATTATTTGTATTAATACAGTTATATATTAATAGAGGTAGATATGACTGACTAGATTAAATTTTGTTCAAATTTTGGCTAGAATTTTCTATACTTTCCAGAGGATTTAATCTAGGATGTCCAGGAGGTTCAAAGAATTCAAATAAATAAACACTCATTGAATCCTGTGTTACTTGTTTTCAAAAAATCAGTGGAGGCAGACAGACATGTTAAAAAATTTCAATAATATATGATAGAGGAACACAGTCTTTTATGTTTAGCCTGGCCTGGAAGTTAAGGAAACATGATTAAAAGAGAGTTTTATCTGGATTAAATTATGGACGCTAAATTATTATGTTAATCAGGTGAGGAAAGTGCAGAGGGAGTGAATGTAGGAAACTAATGAGTGGCATGGTTTTTATATAGGAGAAATAGCACAGCCAAAAGGAATGGTAGTACTAAAAAACATGGAAGATCATTTTAGCAAATTCCAGAATGCCTTATTAAAAAAATTAAAAATTCTCATTATAGGTGCATTATTACAATGAAATGTTTGGTGTATGGGAACCTTTGCTTGAACCTTTAGAAATTGACCAGACTGAGGAATTTAGACCATGGAATCTTGGAATCAAGGTATATATATATATATATATATATTTTTTTTTTTAAAGGCAATATAGCATCTTTTTTTTTAATATATTTTATTGATTTTTTACAGAGAGGAAGGGAGAGGGATAGAGAGCTAGAAACATTGATGAGAGAGAAACATCGATCAGCTGCCTCCTGCACATCTCCTACTGGGGATGTGCCTGCAATCCAGGTACGTGCCCTTGACCGGAATCGAACCTGGGACCTTTCAGTCCACAGGCTGACGCTCTATCCACTGAGCCAAACCGGTTTCGGCGGAATCAAGGTATATTTAAAGTCTAAAAATTATTTTAAAATTGAGGATATCTACACCATACCAAACATACCAATTTCAATCTCAACAAAGTTCAACATTTTTCATTATTAGCCTTGCTGTATGCTTCCCTGTTTGACCTGTGCATGTAATTTTCAAATCCAAGGCCAGTGCCCTCCTGTGCTTTTTCAAATACAAATAATTATGTAATATTTATTATGTACTAGACATCTAAGTGATGTACTTTTGCTTTCACTCTTACAACAAGTGTCTGAAAACTGTACAGTTTCTAACTTCATTGTAACATGTGAAAGGACTGACACTAGAAAGGGCTTCACTAAAGTAATACCTTTAAAGTGGGGTGCAAATCTGGCTGCAGAGACCCTACTCATGTAAAATGCTGCAGCTAGCCTCTTGTAGGTTGCTGTTTAACCCGTGTTTCCTTTGTCTCTGAAGGATATGTATATGGAAGAAAACATATTTGTTTGAAATATGTTTAAAATAATTGAGTTTAACGTAATCATAAGAATCAGGACCTTTAGATGGATGAAATTGTGCTTCTGAAGCAGGAGACTATGAAATAACTGGCACGTTTCCTCCCTAATGACAACTCAGTCAACCTGCAGACAGATTTTCAGTGGTGTAAAGTCAATTAAAGTAACAACAAAGGTGACCAGCTTGGCATGTCCAGCTTTTGGTATTGGATCACTGCATTTGATTTTCCACATATTTCAGACAAAGGATTTACTAGTAGATAAAAGAACTTATTTGGTGGTTTTTAGGTTGGAATATACATGGGCCCTGGATCTGTGAATCCTAAAAAGAGGTAGATGTTATTGTTTCTCATGAGTTATGGGTCCTAGTGGCACTGTTCTGCAACTATTGTTGGACTTTTTAAGTCCCTGATTTTCTGTTCTTTATTTATAGCATGACCAATAGACTAAATAACTTTTCTCACTCTAAATTTTCATTTGCTATGAAATATGTGCCTTTCATTTTCATTCTGATGCCACATGCATTTAGTAATTTTGGTTTGTTTTTTTCCCCCCTTCTAAAATGTGCTTGTCATTTTAGTATTACTGAGGATGAGAAGAATTCTTCCCCTAATACTGCTCTTGTGCTAGGTGACCTTATTTGGTTGATTTCCAAGTAATTCCAATAAGACAGTGGAAGTAATAAAAATTTTTGCTCTCTCTAATGTTACTGGGATTTATCTAATGTTTGTTTTTCCTTTGCAAAATGAGTTATGTTGTGCGTCCAGGAACAAATTTTCTTTATATTTCTATAATTTACATGTCATTTTAGATGAAAAAGAAAGCAAAAAAGGCTATTGTTGAGTCAGATACTGAAGAAGATTACAGAGTGCCAGAATATAAAACTGTCATCAGTTTCTATTCAAAAGACCAACTAAACATTACATTATCCAAATGTGGTCTTGTAATGTTAAATAATTTAGTCAAGGTAAGAAAAGACATTTGAAACTTTAAATGTGACTGTACTACTCTGAGTTAAACCCTTCTCTTTTCTTGAATAAAAGTTTTTTATTAACTTATTTGTCATATGTTCATTAGTGTTGTGCTTGTCATTTGGTTTTCCACATTTCATTTTATTTTACTTATGATAACTCTACCTTATTAGGCATTTACAGAAGCGGCCACTGGATCTTCAACTGTCTTCATGAGGGATCTAGCGCCATTTATGATTTTAAATTCTCTTGGACTTACCATCTCTGTTTCACCAAGTGATTCTTTTAGTGTGCTCAACGTTCCAGTGGCAAAGTCATATATATTGAAAAATGAGGAAAGTTTAAGTATGGATTATGTCCGAACAAAAGACAATGATCATTTCAATGCAATGACCAGCCTAAGCAGCAAACTTTTCTTCATTCTTCTTAGTAAGTGATAAATTACCTTCCTAGGGCTTTCATTTCTTTTAAGTTATATTTTATATTCCATTTTACTCATTTCTGATATCTTACACATTTTTTATCTCCTTCCTAATAGGTTGGAAATTTTGTTTCTTTGTTTGTAGGACTTTCATTGCTATTGTCACTATATTTTTGTATTCCAAATTCTAACTTTCTTTATTCACTGCTTTCTTTAGAGCATGCTAATTTACTGCTTTATATTTTGGGGAAGAAAAATATCAGATCTCATTCTTAGTGCTGCTGAATGAATTCGAAATGAGGTTTGAATTTATGGAAATGACACATTTTAATGGTTATGGGTTTGTAAATGGTTTTTATGTTATACTTATTGAAGTGGAATTTTTTTTTTTTTGGTCCTTTCTGATTCCCAGAAGTTTTGCATTTTCATAGAAGTGAAAGCAAATAAATTCTTAAAGTATCATTCTAGCCCTATCTGGTTTGGCTCAGTGCATAGAGCGTCGGCCTGCAGACTGAAGGGTCCCAGGTTCGATTCCGGTCAAGGGCATGTACCTTGGTTGCGGGCATATCTCCACTAGGGGGTGTGCAGGAGGCAGCTGATTGATGTTTCTCTCTCATCGATGTTTCGAACTCTCTATCCCTCTCCCTTCCTCTCTGTAAAAAAATCAACAAAATATATTTTTAAAAAAATATTATCATTATAGCTGATATACTCACAGTGAGTTAAATAGTCCCAAAGCCTCACCCATACCACTTTCCGATACTTTGACATTTAAATAGTGAAGGTGGAGCACATTTGAAAGGTTAATTAGACTTTGGGTATGAGTACCAAAACTGATAACTAGTGCTCTTCTAGTAAAGAAATGATGCATAACAGTGGATAGGTTTCAGGTGTTGTCCAAACATTGTCATTTAATTGTTCTTGTCAGTTTTACCTCTATTAGTTTTTGAAGTAACATTTCATGTAATGATGTGGGGGGATTAATGTAAATAATGTAAAGAATTCATCCCTCAATACAGTATATGTATATATATTAGATAATTTGTATAAAATTTTATTTAATCAAATCCTACATGTCACAAAGTGCCACATGCTGAGAAAATTAACAATGGAAAAATTGCAGCTATCTTGGTAATTGCCAAAGATTGCCTGAAGATATTAGGCTCTGGTTATTATAACAGCAAATCTGAGATGCTTTCTTATATTTTATAAAATTCTTCTCATTACTTGTTTTGAAAAGGCTTATGAAACTTTTTTGTTCATAAGTGTTGTTATCTTAGGTCAAACTACTGAATGAGATTTTTTTTTCTATTAAAACAATTTTTTTATAAAGTCTTTTGAAGGTTTTAAATAAATGTGATGGAAATGCATTGTGGTTTCTTACAGTATCTCTTTGTATACATTATGTCTATACAAAAAACTACTCTTTGTATAATCCCTTTGTATAATCTTAAATCCAGAGACTTGAGTGACTATGTATTCATAACCTTAAGAAATCATCTGATGTTTCTGATGCTTAACATCTATTTAAAATTAACATATGATGATTTACAATAAAACTTTTCAAACATATATATTCAATTTAGCACCTGCTAACCACTCTACTGCTGATAAAATTCCCTTAACAAAAGTGGGACGACGACTGTACACTGTAAGGCACAGAGAATCTGGAGTTGAAAGATCTATTGTTTGTCAAATTGATGCAGTGGAAGGAAATAAGAAAGTAACAGTTCGCTCCCCAGTGCAGGTACGAAATGATAGTTTTTTGGGGGTCATATGCATATTTGTGTGCTAATAAAAAAATAAAATAAAGCAAATTGCTACCAAAAGCATACAAATTATAATAGCAGTGTAACTAATATCAAAAAGAAGAATCATTACCAGTAATTGTACTACTCTAATATGAGCAGTGATAGGAGTTTGTTCAATATACTTATAATTTTTGTATAAGACTATTTTGTAAAATCTTTTTATGGAGTATTTTGTAAAAAACTACAACTCATCAATATTTTGTTTGGGGTCTTTATAGTATGTATATATCCTTTTGTTTTATTTTATTTTATTTTTTTATTGCTTAAAGTATTACAAAGAGTATTACATATGTCTCCTTTTTTTCCCCCCGCCCTTGACAATCCCCTGGCCTCCCCTACCCCCCAGTGTCTTATGTCCATTGGTTATGCTTATATGCATGCATACAAGTCCTTTGGTTGACCTCTTACCCACCCCCCTCCTGCCCTCCCACCCTCCCCGGCCTTCCTGCTGTAGTTTGACAGTCTGTTCGATGCTGCTCTGCCTCTGTATCTATTTTTGTTCATAAGTTTATAATGGTCTTTATTATCCAGAAATGAGTGAGATCATGTGGTATTTTTCCTTCATTGACTGGCTTATTTCACTTAGCATAATGCTCTCCAGTTCCATCCATGCTGTTGCAAATGGTAAGAGTTCCTTCTTTTTTATAGCAGCATAGTATTCCATCATGTAGATGTACCACAGTTTTCTAATCCATTCATCTACAGATGGGCACTTAGGCTGTTTCCAGATCTTAGCTATGGTGAATTGTGCTGCTATGAACATAGGGGTGCATATATCCTTTCTGACTGGTGTTTCTGGTTTCTTGGGATATATTCCTAGAATTGGGATCACTGGGTCAAATGGGAGTTCCATTTTTAGTTTTTTGAGGAAACTCCATACTGTCTTCCATAGTGGCTGCACCAGTCTGCATTCCCACCAGCAGTGCACAAGTGTTCCTTTTTCTCCACATCCTCTCCAGCACTTGTCGTTTGTTGAATTGTTGATGATAGCCAGTCTGACAGGTGTGAGATGGTACCTCATTGTTGTTTTGATTTGCATCTCTCGGATGATTAGCGACTTTGAGCATGTTTTCATATGTCTCTTGGCTTTCTGAATGTCCTCTTTTGAAAGGTGTCTATTTAGGTCCTTTGCCCATTTTTTGATTGGATTGTTTATCTTCCTTTTGTTGAGTTGTATGAGTTCCCTATAAATGTTGGAGGTTAAACCCTTATCAGTGATAGCATTGGCAAATATCTTCTCCCATGTAGTGGGCTTTCTTGTTTTGTTGATAGTTTCTTTTGCTGTGCAGAAACTCTTTATTTTGATGTTGTCCCATTTGTTTATTTTCTCTTTAGTTCCCAATGCCCTAGGATCTGTATTGGTGAAGAAATTGCTTCGGCATATGTCTGAGATTTTGTTGCCTTTGGATTCTTCTAGTATTTTTATGGTTTCCCGTCGTATATTTAAGTCCTTTATCCTGTTTGAGTTTATTTTTGTGTATAGTGTAAGTTGGTGGTCTAGTTTCATTTTCTTGCATGTATCTGTCCAATTTTCCCAACACCATTTATTGAAGAGACTATCTTGACTCCATTGTATGTTCTTGCCTCCTTTGTCAAATATTAATTGAGCGTATTGGTTGGGGCTGATTTCTGGGCTCTCTATTCTATTCCATTGATCTATATGTCTGTTCTTGTGCCAGTACCAGGCAGTTTTGAGAACAGTGGCTTTGTAATACAACTTGATATCTGGTATTGAGATCCCACCTACTTTGTTCTTTCTCAGGATTGCTGCAGCTATTCGGGGTTGTTTTTTATTCCAGGTGAATTTTTGGAGAGTTCGTTCTAGGTCTGTGAAATATGCCATTGGTATTTTAATGGGAAGTGCGTTGAATTTATAGATTGCTTTGGGTAGTATGGACATTTTAATGATGTTGATTCTACCAATCCAAGAACATAGTATGTTCTTCCATCTGTTTATGTCTTCCTCTATCTCTTTTTTTCAACGTCCTGTAGTTTTCTGAGTAGAGGTCTTTTACCTCTTTAGTTAAGTTTATTCCTAGGTAGCTTAATTTTTTTGGTGCGATGGTAAATGGGATTGCTTTTTTAGTCTCTCTTTCTGCAAATTAACTATTGGTGTATAGAAATGCCATAGATTTCTTGGCGTTAGTTTTATATCCTGCTACATTGCCGAATTCTTTTATTAAGTCTAATAGTTTTTTGATGGAGTCTTTAGGGTTTTTTAAGTATAATATCATGTCATCTGCAAACAAGGACAGTTTTACTTCTTCTTTTCCAATTTGGATGCCTTTTATTTCTTCTTCTTGTCTAATTGCAATGGCTAATACTTCCAGTACTATGTCGAACAGAAGTGGTGAGAGGGGGCATCCCTGTCTTGTTCCTGTTCTGAGGGGAAATGGTGTTAGTTTTTGTCCATTGAGTATGATGTTGGCTGTGGGTTTATCATATATGGCTTTTATTATGTTGAGGTATGATCCTTCAATTCCCACCTTGCTGAGAGTTTTTATCAAAAATGGGTGTTGAATTTTATCAAACGCTTTTTCTGCATCAATTGATATGATTATGTGTTTTTTTTTCTTTCAATTTGTTTATGTGATGTATCACGTTTATTGATTTGCGGATATTGTACCATCCTTGTATCCCTGGGATAAATCCTACTTGGTCGTGGTGTATGATCTTTCTGATGTACTGCTGGATCCGATTTGCTAAGATTTTGTTGAGGATTTTGGCATCTATGTTCATGAGGGATATTGGCCTGTAATTCTCTTTCATTGTGTTGTCTTTACCTGGTTTTGTTATTAGGGTGATGGTGGCTTCATAGAATGAGTTTGGGAGAGAGAGAGATAGAAACATCAATGATGAGAGAGAATCATCCATCGGCTGCCTTCTGCACACCCCACATTGGGATTGAGCCTACAACCTGGGCATGTGTTCTGACCAGGAATCGAACCATGACCTCCTGGTTCATAGGTTGATGCTCAACCACTGAGCCACTCCAGCTGGGCTGTTTCCTTTTATTAATATTTATTTCTTTAACATTTATATGTATCTATTAATTTTTATTGGATACCTAAAATTGTGAATTTTACCTTGCCTGAAATATATTTCTTTTTGTATTCTTGAACTTTATTCTCCAATATAGTTATGTTACTTGGAAAGTGATCCTCTCAGTCCTTATTTTTAAACTTTTTAGGTGGGATTCAAGCAGCCTTTTAGTTCAGGGCTAATTTTGTACCATTAGCAAGTCACTGCAACTAATACCTTCTGTACTAAACAAGGTCATTTGAAGAAACAAATGACAGAATAAGCTTTTTAAAGTTGATAAAAAGTATATATATCCATACATCCAAACAACTTTGGTAGGTGAGAAAAGAAACTATGTGTCAGCACCAGAAATTGTTCTGCCTGCCCTTTTTAGGTAAATCTTTACCAAGCCTTAGAATCCCGAGATTTAAGAGTGTGCCCTACTCTCAAGACTTCAGTTCAGTACTGATTAGCACATTCACAGGAGTAAACTATCTAAGGCAGGGGTGGGGCACACCTGGCCCACCGGCCATATAAGGCCTGCAAAATCATTTGGTCTGGGCCTGCCAAGGCATTAGGGGTGAGTTTAATTAAATGTGCGACCAAATACAGCAGGCTAATTTTTAAGTTGATAATTTTGTATGGCCTGCGAACGATGTTATAAATATCCAAATGGCCCTTGGCTAAAGCAAGGTTCCCTCCTATGCCTTAGATAGTTTACTTAGCTCTGTTTGGCTTCTCCTTTCTTATACAATAGCTTCAAAACTATCCAGGCAGCAAGATGGAGGAGTTTTAGGGCTTTTCTTGCTGGATTTTGCTTATATTTTTATTTTCTCTGCTGCTGTCTAACCAGTGTCTGAAAATCATTGTTTAGTTTTTAGGTTGAGAAGGTATATCTGATCCCTATTATTCCATTATGGCTGAAAGCATAAATTCCTTTTCTTTCATTTATGATTTATAATTAACTGTTTTAAAAGATGACTGTTGGGCTGTCCTTGTTGATTTTTAAAATTTCATTAAGTAGTTAAACATTAATTTTAAGTTTTATATAGGTATTATTTTTAGAAATCAAAATGTATTTCTATTTGTGACTAGGTGGAGCAAACAGTAGATATAGAAATAAAATATAGTGAATTTAAGACTCCATTTAATCTTAGTTTTCAGTATGATTTTTTTAAATTAGAGGATATTAGTAAGATATAGAAGGATAAGAAATTATTCTTAATAACCTGTTTGTTTTTATCTATCCAAAGGTAAATATAACTGTTTGTAGGTATATTTTATATTTTTAGGATAATAATTACATGTTTACTTCTTAATTATATAAGCAAGGTAAATATTGCTTTGATCTTTTGTTGGGGTGTTTATGTGGAATATATTTTAAATATCTTTAGTTTATTAGATTAATGATACTAAATATTATTATTTTTCTTTCCTAGATTAGAAATCATTTCTCAATCCCACTTTCTGTTTATGAAGGGAATACTTTATTGGGAATGGCTTCACCTGGAAATGAATTTAACATACCATTAGCATCTTACCGGTGATTCTTTTTATCTACTTGTTTGCTCTACGTCTCTCATAGAGTTTTTAGTTTCTGATTTGGTAGGGATAGCTATCTTTAAATTATCAAACTTTCATCAAATCTTTCCTGTTACTATCTGACCCTATGTGACTTATATAAGTTTCAGGGCACTTAGGAGTGTTTTTAAAGGAAATATTATTTTATATAATTATTTTATACCTTATAAATTAGTTATGCTTTACCAGTAAATTAAATTATTACATGCTTGCAATATAGCCATTATAACCATAATCTTCTATGGGGTGGACAAAAGTAGGTTTACAGTTTTGAGAATGCAAAATACAGAGTTCATTCTTACATTATTACTTATTAATTATTGTATTACTTTTCATATGAACAACTATAAACCTACTTTTGCCCCACTTTGTATATTCACAACTTTAAAAAAATATCTAATTGTGTATAATTGGTGGTTTCTGGATTTACATATACTGTTATGAAGTGATTTTTACTTTTTAAAGGTTTCTAATAAACTTTTTTTGGAATTCCTTTAGAAAACAAAATATTGCACATTTATCTGTTGATTATTTTAGAATTTTAATCAGTTTTAAATATTTAAAGTAACTTGACTAAACTTGATGTAAAATCTTATATTAAGAAAGGATATATTAAAATTGTAACAGAATACTAATGATGGGCTAGTTTCGTAGTTATAGGTTTAATATCATAACAAACAAGTATTATTGTTCAGGATATTTAATTTGGAATTGAAAATTTAAAGCAAGGAAAAATTGAGATTTTGGAAAATAAATCCTTCCTCAGAATAAGCATCATGGTTGCCTAAGGTGCTATTCAGAACACATACTAGACATGGACACTTAGACCTATGCTACAGAAGGACAGAGACAAAATTACAAGCAGTGTTTAAATATCCCCTCCGTCTGTTCATCCTGACCCATGCCTAGGAGTTCAAGACTGGATCACTAATGTTTAGAAGACAATCTAGCAGTTTTAGACACATATTATCAAGTATTAGACCTGCTCACCCTAATAAACGTTCTATTGTCCTTCTGACCATAATGAGTATTATATTACTTAATTTGAACTTGCTGAGGGAAAAAAATTATATATTATTCAGAGAACAACAATAAAATAATTTATAGTACCTGAACATGTTCTAGAGAGGATTATAGGTAGATTACAAGACTTAAGATAACATGTAAGGTATGTTTAAAAATTTCTATGAAGAACCTCAAATTCATTTTGTTTTTGGATAATAAATATTAATGGCACTATGTTTTATTTTTAATAAATTAGTATTATATTTTGTGACTATTTGTAGAAAAATTAAGCCATTAGTTATCTTTATACTTTTTTGTTTAAAGCTAAATATTAATTTGTTACATGGAAGTTATTCAATATTTACTAGAATCATTAATAACTAACCAGCTTGGATTTCACATTAGGTACTCTCCTATTCCAATGCTTAGACATGGGTATACTTACATTTAAGATATGAGCTCTTAAATTAACAAATAGCTATCTTTAATTGTAGAATTTACAGATACTTATCCTTAAATTTAATTCATTTAACAGTTATTTATCACGTCTTTTTATTGTGTATACGACACTGCTGTAGGATAACAAGATGAATTGGCCTGGCTATTCCCCTTGGGTGATTGATATATTATGTAAATACAGAGGTAGAAAATGATGGGTTGTAGAGAGTTACAGAAAGACTTATTGTTTCAGAAAACTATGAAAAACAAAGAAGAGATTACCTAGATGAATTATAGGTAAAATATAATAATGTGGAGATTAGTGGAGAAGGACAATCTTTTTTAAAAATATATTTTATTGATTTTTTACAGAGAGGAAGGGAGAGGGATAGAGAGTTAGAAACATTGATGAGAGAGAAACATCGATCAGCTGCTTCCTGCACACCTCCTACTAGGGATGTACCTGCAACCAAGGTACCTGCCCTTGACCGGAACCAAACCTGGGACCTTTCAGTCTGCAGGACAGCGCTCTATCCGCTGAGCCAAACGTCAGGGTGAGAAGGACAATCTTAAGTGCAAGGAATTACATGAACAAAGATAAGGAGACATGAAAACAAAGGCTTTGTATAGGTCTATGAAGAATAGTTGGGATATGATTGGAGTGTAGTGTGCAAGTTGGAAGATTAAATTTGAAAGATAGTTTTAAGTTCACATTGAGGTAGTTGCTCCTTCATTTTCTTGCACCCATTTATATACATTTTATCTTCATCTGTAATGTAATCTGTTTCTTCCTTTCCCTCTAAGAACATTTGGTGTTCTTCCATTGTAAAACCATTCACTTCATCAGTTCTTCTCATCTAGAACCTCTTGCCACTGAACATCTTTCTCTCATGTTTTCTCTTCATTTATTTCTTAGACTTTTCTTTAAACTTTCATATTTCTCTACTTCAAGTGTTTTCTTCAGAACAAAGATTTTTGGGAAAATTGTCACTTCTGTAGAATACTCTGCAGCCACCCTAGAAAAAGTTATGTGTGTAGGGGAGAAGGAAGTGTCTAATATTATTTCAGAGTCCAGGGTGCCAGTAGTTGGAAGTTCCTGGAAAAGAACACAAAGAAGTGGATATGGAGGGCTCAGAATTTAGTCTAGCAAGTTTAGGGCACCATTAGACATCATTACAGAAATATGTGTAGATATTAAGAATTTTAGGACTGAAGCTTAACCCTTTGCAGTCCAATTTTATTTTTGGAATTCAAACAGTCTGGTCCAGATTAATTGACGGGATTGAATGTTGAACCGGTTTGCGGTGTGGACCTCAGCCTCGACGTTGGACCTGCTCCTAGCGCCTGGTCTGTCGAGTCAGCCTCGACGTTGGACCTGCTCCTAGCACCTGGTCTGTCGAGTCAGCCTTGATGTTGAACCAAAAAGGGTTAAGAAAATAATTAGGTCTAGAGATAGTACTGACAGTTGTTCATCTGTAAGGAACAATGTCACCATAATTGATTAGTTTTACAAGTACAAAAACATTTCTTAAGGATTTATACGTGGACACAGCTTAGGTTTAAAAAATTGTTAAACCTAAAATGTACCTTAAATGTAAACAAAGACAGTGATATTTAAATTTGTGAATTAATCATATGTGATGCCTATTGATTTTGTCACTATCTTCTTGTAACCACTTCTGCAACTATGCCCAACATTTTAATAAAATTAAGTATCTATTGATAGCTTTAACTGGTGATTTTTTCAATAGAAATAATTTTTTAGTTCATGAAATCATTCATGACATTTACTTCCTATTAGGACCACATATCCAGGAAAGACAACTTCTTTAAGTTAAATGTACAAGTCAAAGATAGTTATATATGTTTGCTTTACATATGTGACCTATATGATTATGTATTTTCTGTAAGAAACCAGTTATCTTGTAAACATACTTTTTACAATTTATTTTTTAATTACAGTTGACATATATTAGTTTCATGTATACAACATAGTGATTAGACACTTATATACCTTACAAAGTGATCACTCTAGTAAATTTAGAACCCATATGACACAATATATGGTTAATTGTAAACACACATTTAAGATAGTAAGTTTATAAGATAAATATTCTTTTAAAAGCTAAATAACTATTAATTTCCTGAAAGTTAAGATGAAGATATTTATCTATTGTCTATCTTACCTATTTCTAAGAAGGTGAAAATATAAAAATATATTAAAATAGTATGGAGGGAGGTGATTTCATTGTTCTAAAGCTATAATCATATAATTTAATATGTTTTCTTTTAAAGGATTTCAACACATCTTTTTTAATGTTTTATGCAGATCACTCCTTTTTCTGAAGCCAGAAGATGAGGACTATCAAATGTGTGAAGCAATTGACTTTGAAGAAATTATAAAAAATGAAGGCTCTTTTCTAAAGAGGCAATGTAGACCTATAAACCCGTCTAAGAAACCATTTATTATTAATATTGTCCCAGAAAAAGATAATTTGACATCTCTGTCAGTATATTCAGAAGATGGTTGGGACTTACCATACATAATGCATTTGTGGCCACCTATCCTACTCCGAAATCTTCTTCCTTACAAACTTGTTTATTATATAGAGGTATTCTGGAATTTTATTAAATATCTTTGTGTCTATGGTTTTGGTACTGGGGATAGGTAATACTATTTGGTAATACTCAAATGGAAAATAAATGTTTAATCATGCTGTGTAAGAATAGGATTTAAAAAATATTTTCCATTGATTCACCTTTGAAATTTGACTACTAAGTTGAATATAAATTACCTACACAAGTGTGATATGTCATTTAGAAAATAGAGATGATAGAAATTGCCTACACTCACATCACCTGAAGGTAGCTCTTCAGATTAAAACATTGTAGTTTTAGAATATATATTTTTCTATATTTTCTAAGCATGTACATTTCATATGTCATACATTTAAAATATGGATTCTAACTTTTGAAACAAGTATGATAATTAGTATTAAATAATATTTAAGTACTAGACTTAAGTGGAAAAATGCTGCTACATTATATTATTCTGATAATAGGTCTCTAAAAGGATTTTATGCCCTATAATGATGCTTTTTCTTTTAAATATTTTGTTTTAACAAATTATGTCTGATTTCATCAGGATTTTAATATTACATTTGCCATGCCTATCAAATATAAGAAATTTCTTCATTGTAATTTATTAATTATTGTTTTGGTCATAGTGTATTAATTATTATTGGGATTTACTATATGTATACACTTCTTTGATAATTTTTTGGGGGGGGTGAAGTTAACATCTATGGTTTAAGAATATCTGTTTTTCTTTATATTTGGCAGCTGTTCTAGTGGTTAAGAATTTGCACTTTGCTGTCAGGTAGATCAGAGATTTAATCCTAGCTCTATTACTTACTAACTTTAGGCAAGTTATATTGTCTTTCTGAATTATTATCCTAATTTATGAAAGGGGGATAGTAATAAATCTTGCATGATTGGGATATGGGGAAATCAAACTAGATGATATATATATAAAGGATTTAGCACAGTGCCTTGATTGCTATTCATTTACCTCTCTAACAGCACCACCACTACTATTCTGTTTTGTGGATATTAACATGCCAGGTGTCAATAACTTAAATTACTTTTACTTTAACTAATTTAAAATCTTAAGATGAAGAGATTCCTGTGTTATAACAACAGGAAGGAACCAAGTTAGAGATGCTAGACAATCTGGTGAATTATCCAGGCATACTATCTATCTATGTTCCATTCTCATAGGACTTTTGATGCTTTTAGGGATCACATTCTGTTTGCTAGCTCCCAATGGATATGACCAATTTTTAGAAAGACAGGTTAGCTGTGGTATGAAGAAGGGATTAAAGGAGACAAGAGCAGTTAGGAGACTTAAAGTGAGAGGACACAGTGGCAGGAACTAAGGTAATGAAAGTGGGGGTGAAGAGAAATGAATGTTTTTGAGAGATGCATAAGATATAATACTATAAACAACTAGAGGCCCGGTGCATGAATTCGTGCATGGGTGGGGTCCAGCTGGCCCACCCTGATGGGGCCGATCAGGCCAGGCCAGCTGGGAGGAGGAGCCATAGGCAGTTGGCATGCTGGTCCCGCCCCCGATTGGGGGGGGGCGGGGACAAAATCAGGGATGGGGCCAGCCAAGGGGAGGGGCTCCGAGAGGTTGGAAGGCCGACCCTGCTCCCTGGTTGAATTCTGGTCGAACTCCCAGTTGAGGGGACAATTTGCATATTACCCTTTTATTATCTACTAGAGGCCTGGTGCACAAAATTCATGCACAAATGGGGGGGAGTCCCTCTGCCCAGCCTGCACCCTCTCCAATCCGGGACTCCTCTCGCAGTCCGGAACCACTGGCTCCTAACTGCTCACCTACCTGCCTGCTTGATATCCCCTGCTGGCTTGATTGCCCCTAACTGCTCTCCCTTCCTGGCCCCCTAACTGCCTAACTGCTCTCAGCTGCTGGCCTGATCCCCCTAACTGCCTATCTGCTCTCCCCCCCTGGACTGATCCCCCTAACTGCCTGCTTGCTACCTTACCTTCTCCCTTCTTCCGCAGTGCTGGCCTTCTCCCTTCCCCCGTGGCGCCAACCTTCTCACCTCCTCCCTTCTCCCGTGACACCACCTTCTCCTTCTGCCTTCTCCCTTCTGCCTTCTGCGGTGCCTTCTCCCATGGCCTCTGCAAAAGGGACCATGGTGCTGGATCGGCCCTCACAGCTGCCATGGCTGCCGGTCCTCGGCCTTGCAGCCACTGTGGCTTTGTCTGGAAGGACCTCTGGAAGACCTCTGGTCTAATTAGCATACTACCCTTTTATTAGTATAGATAATAATAAAAGCATAATATGCTAATTAGATGGGACAGCTGAACGACTTTCCGGACAAAGCCTGGGCTGTGAGGCTTGAAGCAAGCTGCCGCGGCTGCGAGGGCCAAACCCCTTGCACAAATTTCATGCATTGGGCCTCTAATATAGGATAATTGGAAATGGGTGATGAAGGATTGTTAACAATCAAGAGTGGGACTTATTTTGGATTATCATCTCTTTTCTCATGCATTTTTCATAATTTTTTAGTTTTCAAAACTAAAATGACTAATGGATAAGATTTCATCACTTCTCATGCATTTTCCATCATTTTTTAGCTTTCAAAAACTAAAATTACTAATGGATAAGATTTTTAAAATGTTTTACTAGTTATATGCATTATAATGTTTACTAGTTCCATTAAAGTTTTACATTATATTACTTAGTTTTATCCTAACCATAGTCCTTTGAAGTTGATCATTTAGACCATTTTTGAAATATGATAACTCATATCTCGAATAATTTACCCACAGACTTGGAGGAAATGTGAAAGTTTACATAGTAGGCAGAGTTAGAACTTGAATATAAGTCTTCTAACTTGTTCAGACAGAACTATGTTTCAAAAGCAGTTCGTATAACATTTGAAATCCTTAAATAGAATTTTTGGCATATTTATCTGAGACATTAAAAAATTTACTATATTTACTATATTTTGTTTATTACAGGGGAATGAACATAGAGTTTTTACTCTAAATGAAGGTTCTTCTGCCCATATTTGTACCGTACAATTGGATAAAGCAATACTACATTTAAAATTACTTGACTATCTTAATCAAGATTGGAAAAGTGAATATCATATAAAACCTAATCAACAAGATATTAGTTTCATCAGTTTTACCTGTGTTACAGAAATAGAAAAGACTGATTTAGATATTGCTATCCATGTGACTTATAATCCTGGCCAGACAGTTGTGGCATTTCATAGCCCTTACTGGATGGTCAATAAAACTGGTCGAATGTTACAGTATAAAGCAGATGGAATTCATCGAAAGCATCCGCCTAATTATAAAATGCCAGTTCTCTTTTCTTTTCAGCCAAAGCACTTTTTTAATAACAATAAGGTATGTAAAGTTTTTTAACTTTTTTTTTTTTAGCTATTTATCACTCCTTTTTAGATTTTAGAATTTTGAAGAATAAAATAATATGAAACAGGTAGAAATAACATTTGTTAAATATTTGAGGTTATAAAGATTAGAATTTTGTGTTGGGAAATGTTTAGTGCATTAACAGTACAATATTTATGCTAAAAAGCAAAATGTATAAATTTAGGTTGGAATTTTTAAAGGTACTTATGTTGTAATATCTTTGAAATATTTTTTCCTAGGTTCAGCTTATGATAACTGATAGTGAATTATCAGATCAGTTTTCAATTGATACTGTTGGTAGTCATGGAGCTGTTAAATGTAAAGGCATGAACATGGAGTATCAAGTGAGTTCATTCTCTGCTCATCAAGAAATTTTTATTTAAACTGTGTCTATTGACTACTTAATTTTTAAGGATGTTATGATAATGTAATAAATAATATGTTTTTCCTTAGGTTGGTGTCATTATAGACCTCAGCAGTTTTAACATTACCAGAATTGTGACATTTACCCCTTTTTATATGATCGAAAACAAAAGCAAGTATCATATATCAGTGGCTGAAGAGGGGAGTGATAAATGGCTCTCTCTCGATTTGGAGCAGGTGGGTAGATAGATTTCAATAATATAGCTCTTAGGAATTTCATTTTTCCTGGAAGTTAGATAACTGAAATTACTATGTAATGTTTTATCTTTCCATTCCCCCCATTTTATTTGTTTCATAATCATTTATTGAGTATTTGTACCAAGCCCTAGATATTTAATTACTAAAATTCAGAACTTGCCATCGAGAAATACATTTCTCGGTAAGGGAGGTAAACATTTAGCAATTACTAACCAAATGGAGTCAAATAGAGCAGTAGAAGACTAGATAAGGTATTAATGCAGGAAAGAGAAGGAAATAATTTATTCTCTTCAGGAAGCTGTTAGGACTGCCTTTAAAGACTAGATTAAGCCAGTTATTTCAAGAAGGTGGTAGTGTCTTAGGAGTAAAATATTTCTTTTACTCCATCTTTAGTTGTTAAACCTCTACATAAGAGCTGTCTGAAGGACTGCCAGAGGGTGATAGAATATTTTACTTATGAAGAAATTTTATTCAAATATGTTAGGATTATAAGAGAAGTGTTTGCTATTTTTATTCATTATTCTATCTTGCTTTTAAGCCATCCTTCTTGAGTCATTTGGTTGAGCTACTTCCTTTAGAATTTGCTTTAGTGCTGGTTCTGTAGGAAAGTACCGTCAGTGGGTGTTTACCCATAAAGTTTTTATCATCATCTTTCTTTTATGATGCCTTTTCTTGATAATTCTATTTTTTCTCAGCATGTTGTATATTTTACTCCACTGTTTTTTGGCTTCCATTTTTGTTGAAAATTTGGCTGTGGTTCTGTCATTTCTTTGGAGGTCATCTTTCTTTTTTCCTTAGCTGCTTCAGTCTTCTCTTTGTGTTTGATATTTTGCAGTCATACTATTTGTCTACATGTGGGTTCCTTTTATATATCCTGCCTCATATGCCTTACTGCTAGATCTGTGGGGTAATGATTTTTCATACTTTCTATAAAATTTGCAACTATTGTCTCTTTAAGTATTCTCCTGTTCATCCATTTTCTCCTTCTGAGCCTTTAATCAGACATACCCTAGACTTTCATATTCTATTTTCTCTGTCTCTTAATATCTTTTTTTTCTATCTATATAACTTTCTGTGCTACAATCTGGATAAATTCTATGTATATTTTCCGTAATTTTTTACTTTTACTATGTCTAAACTGTTGTTTAAACCCTCACCTGAGTTTTTTATTTGTATTTCTCATTCCCATAAGCTCCACTTTTTTCAAGTCTGCCTGTTAATTCATTCTTTTAGCAAATACTTATTGTGTACTCCTATGTGCCTTGCGATAGTTACATTTGCTAATGAAACCACAAGTCCCAGTCTTTGTATAGTTTATATTTTAATGGAGTTGTAAGGAAACAGTAAATGAATAATACCATGATCAGTTAGTAAAATATATAATATGTTTAAAGGTGACGGGGGAATAGAAATAAGACAGGTAAAGGAGTATTAAGAGTTATAATGAATACCCTGGCCGGTGTGCTCAGTGGTTAGAAAATCACCCAATGGACCAAGGTTCTTGGGTTCAATTCCCAGTCAATGGCATGTACCTGGGTTGTAGGTTTGATCCCTACCCTACCTTGGGACAGGTATGAGAGGCAACCAATCTATGTGTCTCTCTCGCATTGATTATTTTCTCCCTCTCTCTTTTTCTATCTCCTTTACCCTCCCTCCCTTCCACTCTCTCTAAAAAAAAAAAAAAAAAAAATTAGTGGAAAAAAATATTCTCAGGTGAGGATTAAAAATAAAGTCACAGCGAAAAGGGGTGAGCTATAATTTTGCATAAGGTGGTCAAGGCTAGGACTTATTGAGGTCACATTTGAAAGACTTGGAGGAATTGTGAGAATTAGCAATTGTCAGGAGCTCAGCTGAGCTGGCGCTAAGCAGCCAGGTATTGGAGTAGCTGATTAAGATAACAAACCAAAATGAACATAGTCAAACCTTTAATCAGTCGCTTACTGAGATTGTAGAAGCAAGAAGCTAAACTGGAGAAAGCCCCAACTCCCCTGTTCCATTTTTCCTATGGAACAGCATTGGTCAGGCAGGGTCAGGTAGATCAGCAAGACACTAGGGTTGTGTCACAATCAGAGGAGCCCTGAACAAAAGGCTTTTACAGTTTTATGGATCTGGAAGATGGGGGTGAACAAGGGGAAAGGCTCGGAGTGGAAAAATCCTGAACACTGAGTCAGAATAGAGAATATGTGTCTTCAGGGTTCCCCTTCTCACCTTGATAAAGAGGTTTTGCATAGGTTCCTGAGGAAGGCCTATGCCAAGGGCACTACAAAAAAAGCCTCTGAATAAAGGTGCCTGGGGTAGGAATGCAGATATGTGTAAGAGCTTGGCTGGAGGTAGGGCTGAGTCCTTGACAATGCAATAAGCTGGCTGTGCACCTGGTCTGGTGTGGGAGGACAGCTTTTCCCTGTGAGGCCTGCCATAAAAAAAAATAAAAAAAAAATCACCTTTGTCATTAACTATATTCTGACCTGAAAATTACACGTAGCTTTTTAGCCAGGAGCTGGCCACTTCAGCAATGTGGGTATCTGGAAAAGAGCATTAGTGACAGAAGGATCAGCCAGGGTAGGTGCCCCAAGGTTGGAGAATATTTGGCATGTTTGAGGGAAAGCGAAGTGGCCAGTAGTACTGGAAGAAGGAAAGGTAGCAGAGGACAAGGTATAACAGTGATAAAGGGTAATCGTGCAGAACTTTCTGAGCCATTGCAAGGATTTATCTTTTGCTCTGAGTGAAATGGAGAACTGTTGGAGGGTTTTGAATAGTTAAACATAGTATGCTTTCAATAAATATTTGTTAAATAAATATAGTATTCTTGTAAATGTTTCGTGTGGGTTCTTGGCTTGTTGGATATAGAACTGTCTATGTATCTAATTGCAGAGATTAAAGTGGCAGCTTTGTTTTGCTTTATAGGTTTTCTAGGTATAACTTTTTCCATACTTTTATTTACAGCAGTTCTATGTCTCGATTTATGTGTCTATTGCCAGTAACATTATTGGGTCTTATCTTTTTAAAAACACATTCTATAGCCCATGTCTTTCGACAGTTAGTTTATATTTATATTAATTTTGATTACAACTGCATAACAATTTTTTTTTAAGAGAGATCTTGTCTTATTTTCAGTTTCCCCTTTCTTAAGATATCTTTTCTTTGCTAGTTTAAAAAGTCTTATATTTTAATTTTGGCTTATAGTGGCCAACCTTACCATAAGATTTATACTCATGATTATTACCTATATAGATTTGTTTAGCTTATCTATAGCTCTGTTTTCCCACTACAAAAGACAAGTACTTTCCTACTTTCTCTAGTCTCAAGAGGTGGAGCATACAATATTTTTAAAAGATATGCAGCATATCTTTTTAAGCATAAAAACATTTTTTAAGGCAAGGCTACCAGAAGGTAGCAGGCTAGGGAAGTTCAGAGAGCACATCAGTGCCTCATGGGAAGTAGACTTGGATTAGCATTGCTGCTCTTTTAATTCTTCCAGGTAAGTGTCTGCTAGGTTGCAGGAAATCCTGAGGGGCACCTTTTAAGCCTCTTACAGCCTTAACCATGTTCCATCTAGTTCTGTTAATCACCTTTTATGGTTGAATAAAACGGACTCTAACAGGTCAGTTCTGCTACATTTTCCCAGGTCATGTGATAATCAGATATCACACATGAACAGTCTCACTGAAATACGTGACGTCTCCTGTCTGGCTGGGGCTTACAGACAGTTTGCATCTCCATTCCTCTCCGTGTAGTTCTTTTTGTTCCCAGCTCCCGCTAATCTAGTCTTCTTTCTGGGTACACTGACTGTCTCCTATTCTTTCAGTTTGGTTTTCAAATCACCGATATCCAGGTAGTTTTTAATTTTTTGAGCCTGTTTCCTGTTCTGAACTTTGAATATATCTTTTACTTTTGTACTCTTGTTTGACTTCCCTGAGTCAACATTTGGGTGTACTTTACTGCTTAATTTCCAAGGGTTGCCCACAACTGACTATGATTTTCAGTAACTGATCACTTGCTTCCCTTGTGCTCTCTGCTCAGCTTGTTGATTTTTCAAACCCTTCTCTAGATCTGGACCACATTAAAATTTCTGTTTATCATAGCTTTTCAGCTTACTATCCGTTACTGCTTGTTTTCACACTGTCCACAAGTGGCAACCCATCTCTATGTAGGCAGTTTATAACTGTTTAGGTAAATAACCCAGTAACCAGAGCACTGTTGAAAGAGATTTATTTTCATTTTATTTTGTTTACTCTGATGGATTTATTAAAATGATAAAGGTCTTTATGGTACAATATATTGTAGGTTCTAAAAAAAATAAATATATGTAATATATGTTTTAGTGTATTCCCTTTTGGCCTGAGGATGCTTCAAATAAACTTCTTATTCAAGTTGAAAGAAGTAGAGGCCCTCCCCAAAAGATACATTTTAACAAGCAAGAAAATTGTATTTTATTACGTCTGGATAATGAGGTAATTAATTTTGTGTGTGTGTGTGTGTGTGTGATGAGTTAATGTTACCTACTAGTATTTAATTTTTTTGTATCAAATAATTTTCTCATGGTTTTTTTCCCTTTCACCAAAAATGAACAAAGATTTCTTTTTTGTGGGGGAAAAAAGTACTAAAGGGAAACAGTCATAAAACAATTTTGTTATACAGAGTTAGTAGAAGTGGCTAGAATATACATCTGGAATTTGACCCATCTATATATAATAATTGAGAGTATAGTTTCTCAGACATGCCATATAAAATAAAAATATGTTATGAAAAGTTTTATTATTAAGTGTTGTTAGTTAATATTCTTTGAAAAATGATCACATTAGAGAATATTTTCTCTTTTTTTATAGCTTGGCGGTATTATAGCAGAAGTTAATTTGGCTGAGCATTCTACAGTTATTAAATTTTCAGATTATCATGATGGAGCAGCTACATTCCTATTAATAAATCACACTAAGAATGACATTATTGAATATAAGCAAAGGTAAGAAGAGGATCACAAATACAGTATCCCCTGATTTGAGCAAAGTCTAGGTCAGGGGTGGGCAAACTTTTTGACTCGAGGGCCACAATGGGTTCTTAAACTGGACCGGAGGGCCGGAACAAAAGCATGGATGGAGTGTTTGTGTGAACTAATATAAATTCAAAGTAAACATCATTACATAAAAGGGTACAGTCTTTTTTTTCAATAGTTTTATTCATTTCAAACGGGCCGGATCCGGCCCGCAGGCCGTAGTTTGCCCACAGCTGGTCTAGGTGATGAAACACTGACTTTATGATGATTTCTTTTTTTAAATTAAATATATTTTTATTGATTTCAGAGAAGAAGAGAGAGATAGAAACATCAATTATGAGAGAGAAACATTCATCAGCTGCCTCCTGCACATCCCCTACTGGGGATCGAACCATGACCAAGAATCGAACCATGACCTTCTGGTTCATAGATTTATGCTCAACCACTGAGTCTCACCAGCTGGGCTATTCTCATTGTTTTCTTAGAAAACCACTTTTCCATTATATAAGGAAAAACTTTCAGTCTACTGTTAATCAGAAATATTACAAATCTCAATTAATTGACTTGGAATTACTGAACTATATTATTTTGGGTTCTTTATTCATTTTCTTACACTTAATTTAATGCCTATTTTTACTATTTGTGTCAGTTCTCTCAGTGAAATAGAAGACTCTCTCCCTCCTGGAAAAGCAGTATTTTATACATGGGCCGATCCAGTGGGCTCTAGAAAGCTGAAGTGGAGTTGTGGGAAAAGCCACGGTGAAGTAACACAAAAAGATGTATGTTTTACGCTGATTATCATGATGTCCTCAGCAGTATTTTTTTTGTTTTTTAAAAAGTATTCTCTTTGAGCCTTACTAGTTTTAAGGCATGTTTATGTCTGCACTACTAAAATAAACTGACAAAGATTTAAAAAATATTCAAACTTTAACTTAACCAAAAATGTTTAAAACTTGAAGTAGTCTTATTTTGCCTACATCATTATTTGCTTCCATCCTATATAATAAAAGGCTAATATGCAAATTGACCCTAACAGCAGAATGACCAGGAATGACCGGTCACTACGATGTGCACTGACCATCAGGAGGCAGATGCTCAACGCAGAAGCTACCCCCTGGTGGTCAGTGCGCTCCCACAGGAGGAGCTCTGCTCAGCCACAAGGCAGGCTGACAGCTACAAGCACAGCAGCAGTGGCGGGAGCCTATCCCACCTCCTCAGCAGTGCTAAGGATGTCCGACTGACGGCTTAGGCCCATTCCTTTTGGGAAGTGGGCCTAAGCCGTCAGTCAGACATCCTCTGAGGGCTCCTGGGCTGCCAGAGGGATGTCTGACTACCAGCTTAGGCCTGATCCCCCAAGGAGCAGGCCTAAGCTGGCAGGTGGGCATCCTCCGAGGGTTCCCGGACTGCAAGAAGACACAGGCCGGGCTGAGGGACACCCCCCCCCCTCCAGTGCACGGATTTTCATGCACTGGACCTCTAGTCCTATATAATAAATAGGTAATGTGCAAGTTGAACATCACTCCAACACACAAAGATGGCTGCCCCCATGTGGTCAAAGATGGCCGCCACAAGATGGCTGGCAGGGGAGGGCTGTTGTGGGCGATCAGGCCAACAGGGGAGAATAGTTGGGGGGGGACCCAGGCCTGCAGAGGAGGGCAGTTGGGAGGGACAAAGCCTGCAAGGGAGAGCATTTGGGGGGGGACCAAGCCTGCAAGGGAGTGCAGTTGGGGGTGTCCAGGCCGGCAGGGGAGGGCAGTTAGGGGCAATCGGGCTGGCAGGGAGGGCATTTAGGGGCAACCAGGCTGGCCAGGGAGGGAAGTTAGGGGTGACCGGGCCAGCAGGAAGGGCAGTTGGGGGTGACCAGGCCTGCAGGGGAAGACAGGGGTGACCAGGATGGCAGGGGAGGGTAGTTAGGGGCAACCAGGCTGGCAGGGGAGGACAGTTAGGGGTGACCAGGCTGGCAAGGATGTGCAGTTAGGGGTGACCGGGCCAGCAGGGGAGGGCAGTTAGGGGCAATCGGGCCGGCAGGGGAGCAGTTAGGTGTCAATCAGGCTGGCAGGGGAGTGATTAGGGGGTGATCAGGCTGGCAGGCAGAAGTGGTTAGGGGCAATCAGGGAGGCAGGCGAGCAGTTGGGAGCCAGCAGTCCTGGATTTTGAGAGGGATATCTGACTGCCCACCAGGATCAGGCCTAAACGGGCAGTCAGACACCCCTTGAGGGGTCCCAGATTGGAGAGGGTGCAGGCTGGGCTGAGGGACACACACACACACACACACACACACACACACACACACATTTCATGCACCGGGCCTCTAGTTATGGTATAAAGGTAAATTGTAATTAGAGAGGGGCTTTCAGCATTCACCTCATGAACAGATATACTTTTCATTGACAGTCATCTTAGGCCATTTTCACTTCTGTGAGGAACATCTAGGGATCTACTAACTAAAGAATTTATTTCTGGTAGCAAGCTATTATTGATATGGTTTTTTATAATGATAAAGTTGTACATAAACATTTTCCAATAATATTTTCAAAGGCTTTCAGAAATTGGGGTCTTTTTAGAAATTGTTTTTAAACAATTAAAAATTAAAATTTTTTTAGTCTTTTAAAATTCATCTTAATTTGACCCCTATTCCAACGTCTTATTTATTTGATCTGTTGGTTAGTAAATTTGCATATTTATGCCATAATGATAGTTGAATTTTATAAAGCTAAATCTGAAATCCACTATGAAATATTAGAAATACTGTATAAATATTTGAAAATAAATTAGCTTATTGCTATATATTTTATTTCAGAAAGAATTATAAGCAACATGTTTGTTCCTAGATACTGATTTTACAGTAACAACTCCAGTTTTTAATATCAGTGGGTTATAATAAATGTGTACTGTATATTAAAATTTCTTCTTAATCAGAATATTTACTTAACTAGAAATTCATGGGTAACTGTTAATTATTAGAATTTGCTGTATTTATCTTGTCATTGAACCTCAAGACCCTGATAACAGTGCAATGCTTATATATAAAGGCTTCCTGCAGAATTACTCACCTGTGCTGAATATCCATGTTTTGTAGAGCATGCAATTGAGATGTCAGATATGTTTTATCCTATTTACTTCAGCTCTGTAAGGAAAATGAATTTCTGACTTAAAAATAAATAATGCATTGGTTAGTCTTAGGATAAAGGAGAGAAAATAATGCTTTGTGTTATTGATAAGCCTACACAGGAAGACTTTAATTAGACTTTATTAGGATATTAATAAAAGAATAATTGATGTGTCTTCCTTGCTAATAACTTTATAGTAGTAATGGCAGAAGCAGATATCAAATTATTGTAATTATGTAAATTTCCATTGTTACACAAATATTAATTCATTTAGTTTGTTTGACCCTGTGAAGGAGGTGCCATTACTATTCTCATTTTTTAAATATTAGTTTAAATGTTGGTTGGTGCCATACTCTTAATTTTTTATTTTTTGGTGGTTTTATTTTAGGATATGATGACACCTATAAATTTGGGGAAAAAGACTATTTATTTAGTTTCATTCTTTGAAGGCTTACAACGCATTATTTTATTCACTGAAGATCCAAAGGTATTTAAAGTGACATATGAAAATGAGAAAGCAGAATTAGCAGAGCAAGAAATTGTGTTGGCATTACAAGATGTTGGAATTTCTCTTGTCAACAATTACACAAAGCAAGAAGTAGCCTATATTGGCATTACAAGGTTAGATGCATCATAATTTGGATAAATTTAAATCAGTTCTTTATCATCAAGAATGGTGATTGTAAAATCTGAAATAATTTAGTTTAACATCTTTGTTTTGATTAGCCATGATACTAAGATAATGTTAATTTTAAAATGCTTGTGAGATTTTTTTTGCCCTTGAGATAAAGATATATGATAAATCAAATTCATAAATCCCTTTTTATGTTGTTCATTCTCTCATTCTCTAAAAAGTTAGATTTATTCAACTTATCAAAAGTCTACTTTCTTAACATGCCATAATGTTATTCCACTACAATGCAGGGTATGTTGATGCTCCTTAAATAGAGGTTCAAGGAATAAAGACAATCACGTTCTAATTTCACCTTAACACTTTAAGAGCTAATAAGGTGATACTGTATTTATTATTCCCCAAATAAGTCACCACTAGTAAAACTTTGTTTTCCCTATGCCCGTAATACTCCTGTTTACAAGTACTTACAGTAAAATTAATTTATGTGTATTAGTAACTAATTTGAGGGTATTACTGGATTCCAGTCTGTATAACCAGGATCTTTTAATTTAAACTAATGTACAGATATGTGTGTGTGTGTGTGTATGTATGTATGTATATGTATATATATCATATATCTTTATATAAAAAATGTATAATGTATAAATGATATATAATCCAGATTTAAATTTTTTTTTATAAATGCATCTAGAAATGTCCCTAACTCTTCATTGACTGGAATATATTCTAAAAGGAATATTAAAAACTATTTTCATAGAAATATGTATTCCTAAAAAATGTTTATTATTTAAACAAAAATGTCAAATAGACAACCTGTTATGGGCTATGTCCTATGCTATGGTGTGAATGCAAGTGGGAGTAACACATGGTTCCTATCTTTTTTTAAATTAAGTGAATATAAATTTTAGAAGGAATAAACAAATAGAGTACTTAAATAAAATTAAATAACTTACGTACTAAAACAGAAAGAGTGAAGTAATTTTAGAATATGGGTAGATTTTTTGTTCTGTATTTAATTATTTTGGCAATTTTTCACTGAAATAGATTTGTTTCATTAATTCTCTCATTTTCCTAGATTGTTTCATACTCTGTCTCTTTTTAAACCCCCATTTCTTCTCTCAGCTCACTGCCTTGCATCCCATTTCACTGAGAAAATTGAAGCAATCAAAAAAGAACTTTCAAAGACCCACCCCCCAATATCAATTTCCTACTCACCAGCGTTTATTACCTATATACTATGCTGACATACTTACCCACAGTTATCATAGGTATATCATATGTGCTATTTAAACAAATTTTTCTGCTTTTGCATTATATTCTGTTCCCTTTTACTTTTTGAGACACTGATCTAGCAATTCTCTTTTTTCTTTCTCCTGTCCACAATTTCTGACTTTCTTTTGGATTGTTCTCATCAGTGTTATTTTTCTCAACTTAAATTTTATTTTCTTGATCCTACTTTCTCTGCTATCTACTGCCTATTTCTTTGCTTCCCTTTATAGCCAAACTGCCCCAAAGTGTTGTTCATGACAAAAGAGTTAAATATATTCACTACATTCAATTATTTTTTTACCCATTTTTTTCTTTAGTCACTTCCAATAGGCTTTGGCTCTCAGTGTACCGTGAAAATGGTGTTACCAAGAGCACCTTAGGGATGTGTGTATTGCCAGTTCCGAAGTACAATATCCAACCCCCTTGTTGCTTAAAAGTTCATAACATTTAACACAGATTCCTTCTTTGACAGACCTCCAGGATTTCTTACCTTGATTTTTCTTTTTCTCCCAACATTCTCAGTCTCATTTGTTGGTTCCTTGTCTTCTCCATTGGGTGCCCTGGAGCTCTCAAACCTAATCCTCGTCTCTGTTTCAGTTTATGATTTCAAATACCACATATAAGCCAAATTTTCTAGAGATACATCTTCAGCCAGATTTTTCTTCATGAACTCCAGGCATGTATATCCAGCTGCCTACATAAAATTTGTACTAAAATACCTAAGAGACTATCTATCTATATAAAACCCTAATATGCAAATAGACCGACCAGTCGCTATGATGCGCACTGACCACCAGGGGGCAGACGCTCAACACAGGAGCTGCCCTCTGGTGGTAAGTATGCTCCCACAGGGGGAGCGCCGCTCAGCCAGAAGCCGGGCACATGGCTGGTGAGGGCAGCGGCGGTGGTGGGAGCCTCTCCCACCTCTGTGGCAGTGCTAAGGGGCAGCAAGCCGAGCTGTAAGGAGCAGCGAGCAGGCAGGCCTAAGCCAGCAGGCGGACATCCCCAAAGGCTCCTGGACTGCGAGAGGGTGAAGGCCAGGCTGAGGGACCTTCCTCCCCTCCTCCCCACCCAGCGTATGAATTTTGTGCATCGGGTCTCTAGTACATTTATGTTTAAAACCCATTTCCTGATATCCTACCAAGTCTGCCTCCTCATTGAAGTTAATGACAAATACATCCTTCTAGTTACTCAGGCCGAAAGTGTTGGAATCATTTTGTTTCATCTCTTTACTCACACCCCACATCTAATCCATCTAGAGCAGTGGTTCTCAACCTTCCTAATGCCGCGACCCTTTAATAAAGTTCCTCATGTTGTGGTGACCCCCAACCATAAAATTATTTTCGTTACTACTTCATAACTGTAATTTTACTACTGTTATGAATCGTAATGTAAATATCTGATATGCAGGATGTATTTAGGCGACCCCTGTGAAAGGGTCGTTTGACCTCCAAAGAGGTCGCGACCCACAGGTTGAGAACCGCTGATCTAGAGGCTATGTGCTGGCTCTACCTTCAAAACATACATAGGATCTGACCACTTTTCACTACCTCAGTGTTATCACTCTAGGCAGATCCCTCATCATTTCTCTCCCAGCTTACTACATTAAACTCCTAATAAGTTTTTCTGCTTCTAGCCATCATTCCCTTTTTCTCTTACCCCTATCCCAGTAGTGTATTTCTAACAAAGCTTAAGTCAGATCATGTCATTGATCTTCTCATAATCTTTCAACTGTTATTCATCTCAGAGTAAAACTCCAAGTCTTTACAATATCCTACAAGGCTTTCCCATTATTTGGCCCCTGTCTTCATCTTCTACTCTTTTTTTTTTTTTAATCCTCACCTGAGGATATTTTTCCATTGACTTACGGAATGTGGAAGGTAGGAGGACAGATAAAGAGAGAGAAACATTGATGTGAGAGAGACACATGGATGGGTTTATTCCCGCATGCTCTGTCTACTGAACCAGACTGGCTAGGCTCGTCTTCTACTCTTAATGTGTTCCAAGTATGCCAGCCTCCTTGCTCTTCTTCATATACTACAAGCATGCTCACAGAGTCTTTGCTCTAACTGGTCCCTCTACTTGAAATGTTCGCCTGTTGTCTTCTGGATAAATTCCCTGATCTCTAAGTTCTTGAAATCTTACTTCCATGACACCCCTGTTGACTACTCACTTTTAACACTGCAACCCACAACTTTGCATATCCCAATACTCCATGTCCACCTTTCCTTGTCTACTTTTTCTTCTTTCAAAAGCATTTCACCTCCTAATATATTAAATATGCTAAGTTACTATATTTATGACGTTCTTTCTATCAGTCCTCAGCTAAAATGAAGCTAAAGAATGGCAGTAATGTTCACTGCTAGAATTCCTACTACCTAGAATGGTGCCTAAGTAGGAATTTAATGTGATTGGTTGAATTGAGGATATTGCAAAATTTCTACTCAAGATTTTGTAATTCATGTAATAAACCAGTTAAAATGAAAATGTATATAAATTAGTACCATGATTTTTGCTTTCATATGTAAGTTCTGATGTGGTTTGGGAGACAAAGCCCAAGAAGAAGGCAAGATGGAAGCCAATGAGTATAAAGCACACTGAGAAGTTAGAGAAAGAATTTAAGGAATATATTGAATCTTCACCTTCAGAAGATAAGGTTATTGAGTTGGACACTAATATTCCGGTAATATTTTTAAGTACTGATATGAAGTTTTAATTTTTATCTATTATAATTAATCACTAGTTAATACTTAAGTCTTATTTCCTTACAAAACAGTGAATGTTATCATACATACTTAATATAAATATTAAAAACTCAGACTTTCTCTTGTTTTACTAGTGGTCTATTCCTTGGTTAACAAGCCAGTAACTTTTTATTTTTTAATTATTTGTAATGTTATTTTATATTTCTCACTTGTTTTGGGTAAATTTTAGTAAATTTACATAAAAAGTGATACAGCCAAGCTCTAAGGAATATCTGAATGTTTTTGTGAATTGTATGGATATGGGCTATAAAGTTCTCATTCTAACCTAATTGAATATTTAGCCTATTATTTTAATTAGTATTTTTAAAATTTTGGTACACATTTCTAATTTTAATCAGTTATGAGTAAATAGAAATTCTATGTGTTTTGGGGGGATGCCATGTTTTTCAGGTTCGCTTTACACCTAGCGGCAATAACATGAAAATTCTGCAACCACATATAATAGCTATACGAAGAAATTATCTGCCAGCATTAAACGTGGAATATAACACATCTGCACATCAATCATCATTTAGAATTCAAATTTATAGAATACAGGTGAGTCTGAATAGATAGTCAAATTATATTATAAAATAAACTAATTTATTCTAATAGTCTATTTTAGCACTTCCATTTCAGTGTGGGACTAGACTTTTTGATTCCTTCTCCTTCTTAAATCTTGTTATTTTAGTCACGTTTAATAATTAACATATGAACATTCTAACCTGGGTTTTGTTTGTTTGTTTGTTTGTTTGTTTTTTAGATCCAAAACCAGATACATGGTGCTGTATTTCCATTTGTATTTTATCCTATTAAGCCTCCCAAGTCAGTCACCATGGATTCAGGTTTGTCTATATCTTTAGATTGCTATAAAAGTGGTTGTATTAACTGTTTGGTTTATTTTACTATAATAATATGAAATGAAACCATTTTACTCAGCTAACTTCAACAAAACTCTGATTGAATACTGAAGAAAAGATTAATTAGAAATATATATTTTAATGTTTAGAAATGCTACTTTTAAAAAATTACAATGTTTAAAACTCTGATTTAAAAGCCACTGAGACCTTTGAATAAATTGTGAGGAAGTTCAAATTCAGACTGTTTTCTAACCACAGGAACTGTGCTAATCCCCAGTTGAGAATGATTACAAGTCCTTTCTTCCATCCTCTCTTCCCTTCACCTTCTTTCTTTGCTGTTGCTCTTCCCCTCACTTTCTTTTCTCTTCCCACTACCCTGCTCCCTCCCTCCTTTTTCTTTCCACAGTTACCTTCATACCACTGACTAAACTATCTAAAGGAGTATTCATAATCTGCTTGGAAACTTACTGACCAGTATACATGCCCAAGCCCTTTCACCTAGAAGTCAAGGGCAAGATCCTGAAATCTGTGTTTCCACAAAGTTTCCCTGATGGTTCTAATGCTTGCTTCTAGTTTAAACTCACTAATTTAAAGGATTAGTAATCCTCAGAGGGAGTATAGATAATGTAGAAAAACAATCCCGGAGTCTGAAATTAAGACTATAATGGGTCATGCAAATATTAGTAATTTTAATTGATATTCACCATTCAGTAAATAATTTAGTTAGCCATTGTAATGTGTATTACATGGTAAGAAAATGCTGCTTATCTTTTTTTAAAGCATCATGGGATTAATCATATTTATTACCCTTTACAGCCCCCAAGCCCTTTACAGATGTCAGTATTGTTATGAGATCTGCAGGGCATTCCCAGATATCACGTATTAAGTAAGTGTCCTAATACATTCCTTGTGTATTTATTTAATGTTATTTTTATCTTTAAATTCTTTATTAAGGAATTACAAATGTGTCCTCATCCCCCCCATCCATTAACCCCCTTCCCCCCCCAGTAGTCCCCCCCCCCCCCCAACTCATGCTCTCATCCCCCTGTTGTCCATGTCCATTGGTTTGGCTTATATGCATGCATACAAGTCCTTTGGTTGATCTTTATTTAATGTTTTGATTTAAACTGTGCTCTTTAGAAAAAGTAAATTTTAAATAAGTCAAAGATTTAAATGTACAATATTAAATTATGAAGGTCATAGAAAACGTCTATTAATTATTTTATAATTGTGGAGAATCAGAAGGCTGTAAATGAAATACACCTAGGTATTAACAAAAGTTATTTCTAAATTATGGGCATTTTATTATTTTCCTTTTTATTTATTTGTTTTCTCAAGTTCTCTATAGTTACTGCATAGTGTTAGAAACAAGAGAGAAAATAGTATTTTCAAATTCAGTCACCACCCAGTCCAAGAAATCTAACATTTATAGAAACATTTACCTATGTATTATTCCCTTATTTCTTGTTTTCTCTGCCCTATTACCAAGACAAACATTATTCTCTTGCTTTTTTCTTTTTTAAATCCTTACCTGAAGATTTTTTTCATTGATTTTTCTTTCTTTCTTTTTTTTTTTTTTTTTTTTTGAGAGAAACATGGATGTGAGAGACAAACATCTATTGGTTGCCTCCTGCAAGTGCCCCAACGAGGGATCAGATCCACAACTTCAGTATGTGCCCTAACTGGGAATTGAACCCACCACCTTTCAATGTATGGGACAATGCTCCAACCAACTGAGCCACACTGGCCTGGGCTATTCCCTTGCTTTTCAAATTATAGTTTTATTATAATTTAAATAATGTCTATCTAATGTGTACCTAAACATTATGCTTCTTAGTTTCCCTTTTCTCCTCCTAATGAAAATGTTTTTTTTTCAAACCATACAATACTCCTGGGACTTGCTTTTTTTTATTAAGCTTTTTACTAAAATGTATTCATTTTGTGGTATGTAGCTAGAATTTATCTATAAACACTAATAAATAATGTTCGATGACTGTATATCACAGTTTACTTATAGATTTCCTCTCTATAGGCATTTTCCTACTTGACTTTGTTGCTATTATGAACAGTGTTATCATGACATTCCTCTAGAAAGTTCTAAGTTTTAACATTCTAATATTTAATACTTTTTTCTTTATCTAATTTTTTTAATACTGTTAATTGATGACCTTTCATATTTTCTACTTTGTAATATAGATACTTCAAAGTGTTGATCCAAGAAATGGATCTCAGGTTAGATCTTGGGTTTGTCTATGCATTAGCAGAACTTATGACAGAAGCTGAAGTAACTGAAAAAACGGAGGTAAGACTTAAAATAATAGCATTGACGGTAAGGATTAGGAAAAGGACTGAGAAAAATGTTAGCTATCTGATAAATTCTTTCTCCCCCCTGCCAAAGGAATTCTTTTTTTTTTTAATTTTTGTTTTATTGCTTAAAGTATTAACGAAGAGTATTACATATGTCTCCTTTTTTTTTTCTTCCCTTGACCTTCCCATGGCCTCCCCTACCCCCCAGTGTCTTGTGTACATTGGTTATGCTTATATACATGTATACAAGTCCTTCGGTTGATCTCTTACCTCCCCTCCCCCAAATCCTCCTGATAAATTCTTAAAGTGTTAAAATGGTTTTGTTTCATTTTAAAAATATTTTTATTATGCTGCTGTGGTGAGTACATTGGCAGAAATCATATTTTTAGATAATGGAAGACACAAATAGTCTTAAGCAAGACAAGTTAAAATAGTCTTTTAAACATGAGATAGCAAATAAGAGGAAAGATTTAAATCAATAGTAGGGAGAAGAGGATAATCAGTCATGTTCACATTACTTTTTTTCTTTTTTCAATTTTACTTTCCTTGGTTAGTTTTGTTTAGATTAATAATTTAGGATAACGATTTTCAACCGGTGCACTGTGGCACACTGGTGTGCTGCAAGAATTGTAAAAAAGTGCAATAATTGACTATTTTAAAAAAATAAATACATTATTTATTACAAAACAAAAACAAATGGATTAGATTAGTGGCCTTTTCGAGTAAAATCTGTAGTCGCATGAGGAAAAGCTTAGCGTCTTTTAATGGATTAGATGGAAACATAGAAGTTATGCTTATCAGTTTACGAGCGACAGACAGAACTTTCCTAACAAAAGAAATATTAGTTTCTCTCCTCAGGCATTATCTTCCTAATTATGAATGATGTTGGATCTGGATATTACAGGGGAGTGTTCTGCAGTGTGTGAGCTATTGGCTTAACTACTTCCTGAAGATAGGTCCCTTAAGTTTTTAATACTTTATGTTCCTTTATAGGTTGAACTTTTTCATAAAGATATAGAAGTTTTCCAAGAAGAATATAAAACAGTTTCATTAGTAGATTCATCACAAGTCAGTCTCTATGAGTATTTTCATATATCTCCTATCAAGGTAGGGGAAAATAAGTTATTTTTATTATCTGTGATAATATAGGTAATAGCAAATTTAATAACCCTTTAAAAATTTTATTCTAATAATAATTTTCACCATATGGAACTAATAGTGGAGCTACCCACAGCATGTGTTTATATGTTTATGTCTTGACCTAACAGATTTCCTTAGTGTTAAGCTATTTAATGACAGTTTTCTAAATTTTGTGTATGATGTATGTATAAGTTTTTCTTTTAACTGAGTTGTAATTGATACATTAAATTTATTTCAAGTGTTCAGTGTAATGATTTGGTATTGGTATAGACTGTGAAATGATCATCACAATATGTTACCATCTGTCCGTATACTGTATTATAATTGATTTATTTTTTGTGATGATAACTTTTAAGATTCCTCCTTTAGCAACTTTCAAGTTTGCAGTACAGTACTAACTATAGTGTATACATTTTAATTTATAAATTAATCTTAATTTAAGATTTGAAGATTGGATGGAACTAAATATAAGTTCTTAACACAAAGTTTTTATGAGTTACTTACAGAATACTTGACGAAAATTATTGTTTAGCTGAGTATACAGCATGTCTATCCATATAATACAAAAGTGCTTTTAACATCCTGCTACCTTAGTTCTTATAGTTGAAACATTCACTTGTGGAGATATTTATTTCAGCAACTTTAACTTCTAGATATTATTGTCACTAACAATGTATAAATGTTAATATTTTCTTAGCTTTACCAAAAGAATTGGATTGAGCTAAATATATCATCATACATTGCTGAATTTAAAATTTAAAAAGAACTGTATTAGATTTTAAATCTTTTAAACTTTTCACTTATTAAATTTGGCACAGTCTTGATATCTTTGAAATTTTATTTGTGGTGTAGTGACTTTAAAATAAAATGGAATATTAAAAATTAATATTGTCATTATGAAGGTACTGATTTAAATACTTATCTCTCTATCTCTCTAGTTGCATTTAAGTGTTTCACTGAGTTCGGGTAAAGAAGCAGCTAAAGACTCAGAACAGCATGAAGGATTCATTGCAATTAGTTCTTTAAATCTCTTGCTGAAGAGTATTGGCGCCACTCTTACAGATGTACAAGATGTAGTTTTTAAGTATGTTTAAATTCAAATCTACAAATTGATGAAAAGTCCATTTTATATTCACCAAAAATTTATAAGTGGAAAATCTGTAAAGTACACTGCAGATCTTAGGCATAAGATGGTTTTGTTGTTAAGTGTAACATAACTTAGGTAACATAAACCTGTTAATCCTTAACTATTGAAAAACAAATTAGTTGTTAAATAATTTCCTTAAGAAATAGAGACAGGAGTCATGCATGTTGGTGCACTCTTTAAGGCTTGTCTGGTCTAGAGAAGAATTCTAAGCAGCTGTGTGTGCCCAAAGGTGTAGTGCTTAAAAGATGTGGCTTTAAGGCGGATCAAGACTCTTCAAAGTATATGTGACTGGAAAAAGTGAATGTCATGACGGGAAATGAAGGGATCAGTTTAAATGTTACCATCAGGAACTTAACTTTGAGTAATTGTGGGAGCTATTAGATAGAGTATCTGACCAAAGAGAGTCTAAGTCTGAGTGGAGACTTCAGATAAGAATGCCCTTTTCAACTACCACCTAGAACTGTTACTAAAAATAATAAGAATCAGTGAGTCCAGTAAGAGATATCTCTGAGTCTGGGTAAAGTTAGGTAACAGTCAAATTAAAGAACAGATTTGAAGACATCATATCAGGAATAAAGTGAGAATTCTAATCTTGCTATCTTAACTGCTAGCATAGAGCTTTCCAATTAGTTGATTGGGTGTATGCTGGGAACAGGTTATAAGTAAACATGCCTTCATTCCTCAGCGGTAGGCTGTTCAGGCAGGCCCTGCAGCAATGAACCCTGGTCATTCTTGAGCAACCACTTACATTTATCTCAGTGTGTCAAACATTTTCTCTGTGGGCCATGATAGGTCTAAGTTGACAAATATAAGATCATGTCCATAGTCCAGAGGCTCTCTGATCCTCTAAATTATGTGGAAAATGTGTGTATGTTAGTAGCTTTTCTGAGGGTAAGATCCATAGCTTTCACCAGATTTTTAGAGCTTTTTTGACCAGAATGTGCAGAGATGTATGTAAAAGAGTAGGTTTTCTGGTTGGCATGGGAAAAGACTGAAAGGAAAGATTTGGAGAAAAATTCTAAAGAAAATGAAATCTTAACATTAAAGATTTTATTCCCTCTCTGCCTGTCTCCCTCTCTCCATGCACATACCTACACATTTACACATTTTTAATGTGTTTTCTTTTTCAGGCTTGCATTTTTTGAACTCAACTATCAGTTTCATACAACATCTGAACTGCAGTCTGAAGTAGTAAGACACTATTCAAAACAGGTTTGCCTGAGATTATTTTACAAAGGGGCAGAATGATATAGTGAAACTGTATGTGTCTGTACCTATATAATGTAGATTTGGCAAGGAAGTTAATAGCCATTTTCAAAAATTTAAGACATGTTTTTTTTATTTTCAGAATTGTAAAAAGAGGCTCTGGCCAAGTAGCTCAGTTTTCAGAGCTTCATCCCAATATGCCAAGGTTACAAGTTTGATCCCCTGTCAGGGCACATATGTGAATCTACCAGTGAATGCATAAATAAGTGGAACAACAAATTGATGTTTCTCTCTCTCTCTCTCTTTCTAAATTCAATAAGTAAAAATTAAAAAAAAAAAGAATGGCCATTTTAATTTCTGTCCTTCTAATTTTTAGCTATGTACCCAAATCTTTTCTGGAACAATGTAGACTACACATAAACCTTTAAATAAAATATTAAGTAATTCACCACACTTACTTAAAAAACTAGGTTCAAAGGAAACTATTAGTAACTGATGAACACAGGATATTTTTTTTAAATATATTTTTATTGATTTCAGAGAGGAAGGCAAGGGAGAGAGAGAGAGAGAAGCATCAATGATGAGAGAGAATCATTGATCAGCTGCCTCCTGCATGTCCCCCTACTGAGGATCGAGCCCAAAACTCAGGCATGTGCCCTTGACTGGAATCAAACCTGGGACCCTTCAGTGTGCAGGCCAACACTCTCTCCACTGAGCCAAACTGGTGAGGGCAAACACAGGATATTTTTAATGTAATTGAGTTACTAAGTCTTCTAGATATATTATTTTAGTGGATTTTTTTCCCCACATTTGAAAAGATTCCAGTATTTTTATATAACTTATAGGGCATCTGAGACAGCTGTTGGATAATGGACAGATCATTGAGCATGACTCAAGAGTTTGGGGTTTGGATTCCGGATTTGCCATTCAACCTCTGTTTGGCCCTAGGCATCATTTGACCTGTATATTTCTCCAGTCTATAAAATGATGGTAGTATTAACAACTTTCACACATAGTTGTAAAAGTACAAGTATTTTGAATATTCTAAAGTATTATGTAAATCTTACATTATTTCTAATACTGTAACACTGAATTGCTTTTTAAAAACTGATTAGTGATGAATAAGGTAATATATGGTTTAGGTATTGAAATTGATGATAAGGATATTAGCCTGAAAAATTGGATGTGTGTACTAAATTTAAGAAAAAAATACTAAGCCTGATAATCCAAATTGATTAATGTTTATGTTTTCTTTTTAGGCCATTAGGCAAATGTATGTACTCATTCTTGGACTTGAAGTTTTGGGAAATCCCTTTGGCTTGATTAGAGAATTTTCTGAAGGTGTAGAAGCATTTTTCTATGAACCTTACCAGGTAAAACAGTTGTTCTTGCATTGTGCAACATATCACACAGATACTGTTGAAAAAATAATGCATTCCAATTGTTAACTTGAGATGCAGATGTAAATAGATTTTGTGAGTCACAAAGGCACATTATTTTGCAGCAAACAGTGTTAACAACTTTTGAGAAATTTGGGAGGAAATTTTTACATTTTCCCTCAGATTTTAAACTTAAGACTTTAAACAAATATACTGAATTTTAAGTGTTCTGTTGTAAAATTAAAGGTGGGTAAACTTCACACTCTAGTAGAAGGAAGAGTATTATGGACAGGCATTTTTGCTATGCACAAGAATATGCACAGCTAGCACTGTGCAAAGCAATCTCAATCAATAGCAGAAATTAAGATTTTTCTATGTCCCTTAAAAATTTCTGCCAGAATGTTAAAAAATGTTGCTACTTTCACACTTAAAAGAGTAGATGATAATGAAAAAATAGCAAAACGTATTTATTTTGTACAATATAATTTAAAACATTAGATATATTAGGAATGAAAGTGTTTTTATTTATTTCATACAAAATTATCAAGGGTAGTGTGTGTTCACTTTCTTATCATACAACATACAGAACAAACATCTTTTGTACACTTTGATGAATAGCCATTTTCCTAAGTTTGGAGTAACTTGCAACACTTAATCCTTTTCACTTGCAATGTCATGAAATATCTGAGACTTCTGTTAATGTGAAGTTTTCTTCTGATGTCACTTTCTCAGGGACGACATTTTTTTTTTTTTTTTGTCACTACTATTTTCTTCATATCAATTAGTGCACTTTTAAAGGTAAACATAATCTTATTTGTTGTTATTTTTGACCCTTTAGGGAGCCATCCAGGGTCCTGAAGAGTTTGTGGAAGGAATGGCACTAGGATTGAAGGCATTAGTTGGGGGAGCTGTTGGTAAGAAACAGAATGCCTCGCGAATGTGATTATATATTTGCTTTTACTAAAGATATGTTAATTTCTCCTAGGTGGATTAGCGGGTGCTGCCTCCAAAATCACCAGTGCTATGGCTAAAGGGGTAGCAGCTATAACTATGGATGAAGACTACCAACAGAAGAGGAGAGAAGCCATGAACAAGCAACCGGCTGGTCTTAGAGAAGGCATCACTCGAGGAGGAAAAGGCTTAGTTTCTGTAAGACTTTCCCAGTGTTGTGAATGTTATAGAAAATATCTATTATTATTATTATTATTATTATTATTATTATTATTATTACTATTACTATTACTACTTGAGGCCTGGTGCACAAAATGCATGCACGGGTAGGGCCCCTAGGCCTGGCCGGCGATCAGTTGATTGGGACCTTCTGGCTGCCGGCTGGGGCCTACCTTTCCTGGCTGTGAGCTGCCGGCCAGGGTCTTCCTTTGTTCCTCAACTGCCCCCTTATAGTCAGTGCACGTCATAGCGAGTGATCGAACTCTCGGTCTCCTGGTTGAACTCCCGAGGGGACATTTTGCATATTAGCCTTTTATACACATACTAGAGGCCTGGTGCACAAAATTCGTGCACTTGGGGGGGGGTCCCTCAGCCCGGCCTGCACCCTCTCGCAGTCCAGGAGCCCTCCGGGGATGTCCAGCTGACAGCCCCTGGTGCTGCCACAGAGGTGGGAGAGGCTCCTGCCACCGCTGCTGCGCTAGGCTTCTGGCTGTGTGATGCTCCCCCTGTGGGAGTGCACTGACCACCTAGGGACTGCTCCTGCATTGAGCATCTGCCCCCTGGTGGTCAGTGCTGGTCGTAGCAACCCGTCGTTCCACCGTTGCTCTATTTGCATATTAGCCTTTTATTATGTAGGATATAGATAGATAGATAGATAGATAGATAGATAGATAGATAGATAGGTAGGTAGATATAGATAATTATTTTAAAGATTTGTGGGGTTTTTTAAGTTGATTTCAGAGAGGAATGGAGAGAGGGAAGGAGAGATAGAGAAACATCAGTGATGAGAGAGAATCATTGATTGGCTGCCTTACTGGGGATTGAGCCCACAACCTGGGCATGTGCCCTGACTGGGAATCAAACCATGACCCCCTGGTTCATGGGTCAACACTCAACCACTGAGCCATGCCGGCTGGGCAGAAATATATTTTAAAGCCATATTCTTTAAATAAGGAAATAGATATATAACTGACACTCCTTTAAGTATTATTTGCATGTTGGAGGAGTAGTGTGTTGTGACCTATATAAAATATGTCAGTAATCTCCAAAAGCACTCTGTTTAAATAAAATATTTAGGAAATACATTAATTCTTATGTATGTAGAAAGCACAACTCTGTATTTTTACTTTTTTGTAAACCAGATTCGGTTCGTCAAGGCATTGTGTGAAAGTATTACAAATTTTCAATTGTGCTTTCCTTTTAGGGTTTTGTAAGTGGCATAACGGGAATTGTTACAAAGCCAATCAAAGGCAAGTATAATAGTTTCTTTAGGTAATATATATTACCAAGTGTTTCACAAGTTGATTCAATTTTCACTCTTAATCTAATTGCCTAAAGCTTTGTCTTTTTTATTTCTAGGAGCTCAAAAAGAAGGAGCAGCTGGTTTCTTTAAAGGTGTTGGGAAAGGTTTAGTTGGAGCAGTGGCAAGGCCAACTGGCGGCATCATAGACATGGCTAGCAGTACATTTCAGGGAATAAAAAGGTAAACTTTCTTTGATGTAGGGTATGAGTGAAATGCTTAAACCATGAGAAATGAAATAAGTCTGCTATATGGCTTGAGGTACTCAGTTATGAAACCTGAAATATGGCAAATTGCATATGATCTTCCTAATTACTTTTGGTATATTTTTTAACTTGTTGCCATTGCATCACTTCAACTTGATAGAATATTTTTGTATTTGTCATCCATTCCCAGCAGCCTTGGCAACAAAGGTTTGACAAGCAAGCTTTTTCATTATCTTTATCAGAATACATTACAACAATGTAATGCAACATGTCAGTTATAAAATTAGCAAATATTACATTGTTGCCTTTTAGGGGGAACAATGAATGGCTTTTTCTATTCTGGGTTCAAATTCATTTGTGTTCACCTTTCTTTATAATATTATTTTGTTAAAGGTTATTACAACTGTTTCCTTTATGTCTCTTCATTGGTACAAATCTTAAAATATGTCCTCTCTTCCTCAAAATTAAATGTAACTTAAGACTGAAATTTAGTATTTGCATTATTGTTACCTCTATTCTAAAAATTTGCACACGTATGTATCACAATTGATTAAATTCATGCTGAGACCTAATTTATTTTTTTCCTTTTTAATTTTTATTTTTTATTGTTCTCTATTTTATTCCTTTTAATGAGACCTAATTTAGAAAGTTAGATGGCTAGATATTTTTCTAATCTATTTCCTTTTGTATTTTCTTTTGCTTACTGCAGTACAGAGATAAGTATTAAGTATTGTCATTGTATGAGTTTTTCCTCTTAAGTCAGTATTTCATACTCCTTTACCACAATTGTGGATGTTCAGCTATATTCCCTTTCAGCAAAATAAAACATTTTTATAAAAATAAGACTAAAAACTAATAAAGGATATAATTGTGAAGAAGGATGTTGAAAGCAGAAAGGGGAAGTGGGTTACAGGAACCAGATGTAAGAATATAAATTGGTGGATAAATCTAATTGAACTGTATAAAAACAACATTGGAATCAGAATATTTAAAATTATAAGATACAATTTGAGAAGGAACTGACTGGCTTTAAGGTATACATTATTTCTCTGAATAGGATTACTATGTAATATTAGATAAAATAGACCTTAAAGCCAAAAAAAGCATTATTATGGATAAGGTAATTAGCTAATGACAAAAAGAACAGTTAACCAATAAGATAACAATTTTGAACTTGCACTCAACTCACAATAGACTCACTCTTTAGAAAGTAAGAATTGACAAAACTACAAACATTTTCCAAATCTTCCATAACATTTCTCTGAATAATTAATATATTAGGAAAACAAAATTAAAGTAAAATGATTGAACAGTTAACAAGCTTGATCTAATACACACATATGAATATTTATTGATTGAACACATTTTAGAGAGCATCTTATATGTCTAGACACTGTTTTAATCACTCAGGGAGCCAGAAGTGAACACAATTGGCAAAGTCCCGGTCCTCATACAGCTTATATTCCATTGGGAAAATAATAGATAGACATGAGTACACTGATAAACATATGGTATACTAAATGGTGAAAAATTCTATGAAGGAAAATAAATCAGAGTAAAGAAGTCCAAAGTAGTGGGGAGGAAGGTGGCTAATATATGATGTTCAGGGAAGCTTCATTGGCAAGATTAAATTTGAGGAGAGACATGAAGGAAGCAAGGTAGTGAACCATGTGGGAAGAATGTTAAAGGCAGTAGGAATAGTAGGTAATAAAAAACCCTCATGCAGGCCCTAGCCGGTTTCTCAGTGGTTAGAGCTTCAGGCCATGGACTGAAGAGTCCTGGGTTCAGTTCCAGGTCAAGGGCATGTACCTCAGTTACGGCACTATCCTAGACTCGGGTCAGGATGCGTGTGGGAGACAACCAATCGTCTCTCTCACATCAATGTTTCTCTCTCTCTTTCTCTCTCTGCCTCCATCCCTCCTTTCCACTCTAAAAATCAATGGAAAAATATCTTCCGGTGAGGATTAAAAATGCCCATAAAAACAAAAAACAAACAAACAAAAGCCCTGATGCAATAGTATTTTTGGCCTCTTTAAGGAACAGCTAGACAGTACACCTAGAGTAGAGTGAGCAAAGGAGAAGGTTGGAAAGGTTCTACAGTACCTTTCCAACACACGCACACACACACACACACCCCACACACACCATATCGCCCCATTCATCTTATATGAGAGCCTTGATTTAAAATCAGGGATTTATAAGTGGAATTATTCCCCCCTCCCCTTAGAACACTCTTCCCTCTTTTGTCAGCATGGTCACTTTCTTTATTCAGAAGTTGTCTTCCCAATGGGGCCTTCCATTGCCATCCTAAAATTTCAATTTATTCCCTGTCCCCACCACAGATATTTCATATCTCTCTTTCCTTCTTTATTTTTTTTCTCTTCAGCTCTTATCACTGTTTAACACAAGCATATTTTCCCTTGTTTATTTGTCTCTCCTCCTAGTATGCAAATTCTATGAGTGCAGTGGCTCTTGTTTCCACAGCATTTCAAATATTGCTTGACATGTGGTAATCTTTTTTTTTTTTTTTTTTTTTTTAATTGAGATCATTGTAAAGTCACATGCACTTGCAGGAAATAATGCAAAGAGACTCTTCTTACACTGTACTAGTATTATGTTTCCTATGGCTGTTGTAACTATCACAAACTTGATAACCTAAACCAGGGATGGGAATGCCTGGCCAGAGGGCTATAGAAGGCCCTCAAAATCATTAGGTTTGGCCCTGCCAATCATTTGGTCTGGCAGGACTCAAAATTCAATAAATCTAGGAGCTTTTTTCATAGCAACATAAATTTATATTAAGTAAGTTATATTAAGTGAATGATGTTATAAGTATGCAAATGGCTGTTGGCAGAAAAATAGGTTCCCCACTCCTGGCTTAGCTTTCTTGATAGTATTTTTTATTAAGTCTAATTTATCTGTATCTGTATTTTTGTTGGTTGCTTATGCTTTTGGTGTCATATATAAAAAAGCATTACCTAATCCAAGGGCATGAAGATTTACACCTCTATTTTTTCCTAGCTGAGTAATAGTTTTATCTTCTAAATTCAGGTCTTTGGTCCATTTCAATTAATTTTTGTGTACGAAGAGAGGTTGAATTCAATTTTTTTTCTTTTGCATGTGTATATATAGTCCCAGCATCATTTGTGAAAAAGACTTTGTTTTCCCCATTGACTGATCTTAGTACCATTTTCCAAAATCAATTTCTGCAAAAAAGATAGCTGGGACTTCAATAGGGATTGTATTGGATGTGTAGATTAATGCTATGTTAACAACATTAAGTCTCCCAATCTATGAAAATGGATGTCTTTCCATTTATTTAGGTCTTTAATTTCTTTCAATAATGTCTCAGAGTTTTCAGTATGCATGTTCTTAATTTTATTCCTAAGTTTTATTATTTCAGGTACTATTATGTGTGTTTTTTTAATATGTTTTTAATGATTTTGAGGTTTTATCAAAGGCAATTAGGCAAGAAAAAGAAACAAGACATCCAGAACTGAAAGAAAGAAGTAAAACTACCTTTATATTCTAATGATATGATCTTACATATAGAAAACCGCTAATAAATCCACAAAATGACTATTAGGGATAACAAATAAGTTTGGTAAGGTTGCATAATACAAGGTCAATATACAAAAAGCAGATGTATTTTTATACACTAGCAATATACAACCTAAAATTGAAATTAAAACATAATAGCACTTGCCCAGCTGGTGTTGCTCAGTGGTTGAGCATCAAACCCATAAACCAGGAGGTCACGGTTCAATTGCGTGTCAGGGCACATGCCCAGGTCGCAGGTTAGATTCCCAGTAGGTGTCATATGGGAGGCAGCCAACAGATGATTCTCTCTCATCATTGATGTTTCTTTTTCTTGCCTAATTGCCTTTGCTAAAACCTCAATTACAGTGTTGAAAAGGAGTTCCAAGAGCAGACATTTGTCTTGCTCCTAATTTTAGGGGGAAAGATTTTATTGATTTTATTCTTTCACCATTAACTCTGATGTAAGCTATGGATTTTTTGTAATGTCTTTTGTCAGATGGAGGAAGTTCCCTTTTATTCTGAATTTGTTGAGTATTTTATGAAATGATGTTGGATTTTATAAAATGCTTTTTCTGTTTCAATTAAGTTGATATTGTTTGCTTTTCCCTTTGAGTTATTAATATGGTATATTACATTAATTGATTTTAAGTTGAGCCAACATTGCATATCTGGGATAAATTCCACTTAGTCATGATGTATAACCCTTTTAATGTGCTATTGGGTTTAGTTTGCAATTTTTTTTTTTTTTTAGTTTGCTAATGTTTTTTGATGATTTTTGCATATATATAATCAGAGGCCTGGTGCATGAATCTGTGCATGGGTGGGGTCCGACCAGCCCTCCCCAATCGGGGCTGACCGAACTGGGCCAACAGGGAGGGAGGGGAAGCGATGCAAGGGAGGCCAATTGGAGGGGGGATGGATGGGGGGAAGGGCCACAGGCGGTTGGGGGGGGGGATTGGGCCCCAATCAGGCGGTTGGCCGCCACAGTGCGAATCATAGCAACCAGTTGTTCCAGCGTTCCACTCGCTTGGCTTTTATATAAATACTAGAGGCCCGGTGCACAAAAATTTGTGCACTCGGGGGGTGGGTCCCTCAGCCCGGCCTGTGCCCTCTCACAGTCTGGGACCCCTCAGGGGATGACCACCTGCTGACTTGGGCCTGCTCCCCGGGGGATTGGGCCTAAGATGGCAATCAGACATCCCTCTGGCAGCCCGGCAGCCCTCAGGGGATGTCCACTTGCCAGCGGGGAGCAGACCTAAGCTGCAGTCGGACATCCTTAGCGCTGCTGAGGAGGCAGGAGAGGCTCCCACCACCACCGCTGTACTGGCAGCCATCAGCCTGGCTTGTGGCTGAGCAGAGCTCCTCCATGTGGGAGCTCACTGACCACCAGAGGGCAGCTCCTGCATTGAGCGTATGCCCCCTGGTGGTCAGTGTGTGTCATAGTGACCAGTCATTCCCAGTCTTTCTGCTGTTAGAGTCAGTTTGCATATTACCCTTTTACTATATAGGATAGAGGCCTGGTGCATGGGTGGGGGCCAGCTGGTTTGCCTTGAAGGGTGTCCCAGATCAGGGTGGGGGTCCCGCTTGGGTGCCTGGCCGGCCTGAGTGAGGGGCTGGTGGCTGTTTGCAGCTGGTCACGTCCCCTTCAGGGTGGGGGTCCCCACTGGGGTGCCTGGCCAGTCTGGGAGAGGGGCTGAGGGCCGTTTTCAGGCTAGCAGGCAACTGAAGCTCCCAGCCTCTACTTTTTTTTTTTTTTTTTTTTAAATTCTGGGATTTATTTACCTTCTATAATTGAAACATTGTTGCTGTTACTGGCGCTCTCAGCTCTGAGGCCACGGCCAGCTGAAAGCAGGTATCTGGGGTTTGTTTAGCTTCTATAATTGAAACATTGTTGCTTCTGGAGCTCAGAGCCGGGCCGTGGCAGGCGGGGAATCTTGGCTTCCTCCATCACTGTAGCAAGCAAGCCTCATGTTCGCTTCAGCTGCGTGGCTGCCGGCCACCATCTTTGTTGGCAGTTAATTTGCATATCGCCCTGATTAGCCAATGGGAAGCATAGCGGAGGTATGGCTAATTACCCTTTTTGTCTTTTATTAGATAGGATAGATATAAGAGACATTGGTCTGTAGTTTTTTTGTGATGTCTTTGTCTGGTTTTGGTATGAGAGTAAAACTGTCCTCATAGAATGATTTAGGAAGTGTTTTCTTCATTTCTTGGGAAGAGTTTGTGGAGGATTTGTGTTCATTTTTCTTTAAACATTTGATGAAATTTTTAAAGAAGCCATGTGGATTTGACTTTTATTGTTTGATTACTAATTCAATATCTTTTTTTCATATAGATTTAATCAGCTTGTCTATTTCTTCAGTCACTTTAAGTCTCTCTTCTTTTCTTTGTCAGTCCAGCTAATGCTTTGTCATTTTTGTTGACTTTATCAAAGAACCAATTTTTGGCTTCATTGATTCCCTCCACTATTTTTCTATTTCATTTACTCTAATATTTATTATTTCCTTTCCTCTTGCTAGCCTCAGGTTTAGTTTGCTTTTCTTTTTCTAGTATCTCAAGTATTAAATTAGATTATCCATGTTGGAGCCTTTTTTAAATGTTCACTTTCACAGCGATAAATTTTCCTCTGAGCACTGCCTTTACTGCATCGCATTAAGTTTTGGTTTGTTTTAATTCATCTGAAAGTAGTTACTTTCCTTTGTGATTTTTTTTTCTTCAGCCTTTAGTTATTTAGGCTTCTGTTGTTTAATTTCCACAAGTTTGTGAATTTTCCAAATTTTCTTCTCTTATAGATTTCTAATTTTATTCTGTGTGGTCAGTTAACATATTTTGTATGTTTTGGTACTTTTATATTTACTGAGACATGTTTTATGGCCTGATGTATAGTCAGTCCTGGAGGATGTTTCATGTGCACTTAAGAAGTATATGTAATTTGCTGTTATTGGATTGAGTGTTCTACAAATGTCTGTTAGGCCAAGAGGGTTATAGTATTTGTACAAGTCTTCTATTTCCTTGATGGTCTTCTATTTGGTATCTACTATTGAAAATTGGATATTAAAATAAGTGTTATTGTGAATTGTTTTTTCTCTTTTCAGTTCTGTCAGTTTTTGCTTTGTGTATTTAGGGGCTCTTTTGTTAAGAACTTATATGTTTGTAGCTTTTGTATCCTTTTGATGTATTGACCCTTTCTTCATAAAATATCCTTCTTTGTGTCTAAATCTTAGTATAACCATTCCAGCTCTCTTTTTGTTACTGTTTATGTACTATATCTTTTTACATCCTTTTACTTTCAATTTATTTGTGTCCTTAACTCTAAAGAAATTCTCTTATGAACAGTGTGTGTGTGTGTGTGTGTGTGTGTGTGTGTGTGTATTTGGATTATACTTTTATCCATTCTGCCAATCTCTGCTTTTAATTGGAGATACTATCCATATATATATATGTGTGTGTCTATACATGTAGACACATTATGTGGTAAGGTATGTTTATATAATAAATTAATTTTTTATGAATGTGAATATTTGCTGAATGAATGAACAATTCATGGACTATTCTCAAGTAGGTACATACAGTCAAATTGTTAAAGAAAATATTACAGTATCAAATTCAGCAAGCACATATGTGTTTCAAATAACACATATCAAGCCCAAGAAGAAAAATTCTTACAGAACAAAAATGTTGCTAATATCTGTAATTCATAGAGAACTCTTATGAGCTTTCCTTTTTCTTTTAGGAATGAGAAAGGATGCCTGAAATCCTCTCTTATATTTAGCATTGTACTGGAGGAACTAGGTAGTATCATAGGAAAAGAAAAAGAATTTAAAGGTCTTAAAATGGAAAAGAAATAGCAATACTCATCATTTGCTGATTGATCTACAAAGAAAGTCCAAAAGATGCTATAAGCAAACTTATTCATAGTACTACATTTTTCTAGAGAACTTGCATTATTAGTGTCATAAAGATAAATTTTAAAAGAGAAGTATCATAGTCTTATTTTGTCCAAAAGAAGATTCTTTTTAGTAATTCCATTTTAAAGATGATGAATTTTTGGAAAAAGAAAAAAAAATTTTAATCCCCACCTGAGGATATTTTCCCATTATTTTTTGAGAGAGTGGAAGAGAGGTGGGGGAGAAGGGAGGAGAAACACATCCATTGGTTGCCTCTTCCAAGTGCCCCAACTGGGGCCAAGGATGCAGGCCCATGTCTGTGTCCTTGATTAGGAATCGAATCCACAATGTTTTGGTGTTGTGACCACTGAGCACACCAGCCAAGGACAATTTTTGAATATTTTTAAAAATCAAGTTATATTTTTTTCCTCTAGGGCTACAGAGACTTCTGATGAAGTGGAGAGTCTGCGGCCCCCTCGGTTCTTTAATGAAGATGGAGTTATCAGACCTTACAGGTTGAGGGATGGTACTGGAAATCAGATGTTGCAGGTGGGTGAAGAAATATCTTACAAGTTAAGATTAATTTAGCTTTATTGAAAGTAGCTTTAAACATATGTTAGATTATTTGAGCTTCTATGTTTTGCTTAATTCCATTTTTAAGTTCCTTATTTTACCTAGGTTTTATTGTACATTTATTTACTATAAGATTTTTTTTCTTTTTTACAGGCATCAAAAAGTTTGATATGAAAACAGTTAATGCATGACTTTGCAACTGAAAGCCAACAGTAGATTTTAGTCTTAAAATTTACAAACTACGTACAGCTGTTTCAGTGTTTTGAAAACAAAGAAAAGCTTTTGTATTGGTAACTTTTGTATAGGATTTTTAGTGAATCTGATCTTTTTATAGGGTATTCTAATTCTGTGCTGGATTTGCTAGATTGAAAACCATTGTGTCTATATACCCTCATAGTTGGTGCTACTTTTTAGCCAATGAAACCCTTTCTGTTTAGGGTACTTCCTTCTCTTTATCAAACCAACAGGTGCTTTTATACTGAATATAATTCTCATGTCCAACTAAGAATGGGTAGGGAAAAAATCAGGACCATTGCTATTCGAATTCTTAGGTTCTTGTGCTTTTCTTTTATAGATGCTCAAGTGGCCAAAACCCTCTTTTTGCTTTCTGCTTGTGTCATCCTTTTAAAATCTTTTGGAATTTGATAAGCAGTTCATAAGAAAGCCAATATTTTTTAGTAAAGGAAAGTAGCTTTTGGAACATAGGCAGTTTGGAGGTAGAATATTTTATCTGTTAGATAATTTTCTTGCTAGTAAGTTGAACTTCTTAAAAATCTGGATTATAGTGTAGGTAATATATACCATAAAATTATACCAATTTAAAGTAGTTTGTGTGGGTTAGATGTGGAATACTAAAATAAATTATTTTTGAAAACAAAGAGTCATTATGTTGTATAGACTTGCAAATATTCAAGGTAATAATGAAATGTGGGAATATGTCTCTTCCTTTATAAAGCCTTGAAATTTTAAATATTGCCAAGTTTAAGTGATTAGGGTAAGATTTAAAACTTCAATATTTTTCTCACTACATGCAGAGTATGTAATTTTTGCATAAAATGTGCTTTCATCTAATGTAGTAAAACATAACCATTGAATTAATGTGTGATATTTAGTAAAGTGATTTTACATTGTGTTTAAAATGTTTTTAAAGCATCAAAATAATACCATATTGGGATGGAACTGGCAATCGAGTGAGAGACTGTGCTCTCAGGGGCATTTTATACGGTCTCTGCAGTGTCAGCCTTCTTTGGAAGAAATGTTGGATGGAAATCTAGCAAGTTAGAAATGTTACAGAACAAACCTCTGGTTCATACATTTGAAACATATATTTCTACTCAGTACCTACCTTCTCTTTCTAGAACACAATTAACAGGTTACTAACATTTTAGTAGACTGAATGGTTATCAAATCATCTTTAAAAAACTAAAAATATTTGAGACACTATTTTAATAAACTTAATAGGAAATAAAGATGAATGGTAAGGAGTTTAGAAATGCATTGTCATTATTAGAAAACAGATTATAATACATAAGAAAGCCATGAGATACCAAACGTTTCTTGTGATTGATAACTTGATTTCACTGACAAGTAAATTTATTCTATGCCTTCCTTGTTTATATAAAGCTTTAAACCTTGGGATTTAAAGGTCATTACTTTTGACTATATTTTTTAATATATATATTATTTTTAGTAGGCCAGTCTTACCATTAATTGCCAAAAGAGCTATTTAAAGGTCTAAAAGTTCACAATCCTTGTCTGCTATTACTTGTTTTTCAACAAGAACAGTAAACACAGTATAACTGGAATACCTATAGGAATTCACCAGATGCCTTAGGATGTTTGCAGTTAGCATTATTCTCTTAATAGGTGTAAGAACTGGGTTATTGCTTTGATGGTAATAGTGCTTCTTTGAATAAAAACTCTACTGTATGATTAGCTAACACTTTAAAATATATGAATACTGTGGTAAAGAACTGGATGTCATAGAAACAGGATTTAAAATCTCAGCAGCTTAGATTTAATCTATTTAACTGGTGCATGTAGAAAAATAATACTATCAAATATTTCTCCTCTTATTTTCTAATTTTCTAAAAATAGTGCTCTGTATTCACAAATTCTATATGCCCCTGTATAATAATTAAATATAAAAAAACCACTTTCGTTATGTACCTATCTGGAAAGTAGTACATTTTCATAGTGCTTCCTAGTAGTAAGTTGAAGAGAAAAATAGAATAATTATATTAGAGAAATAGAATAATTCCAATGTATCCCCAGACTACCTTATTGGTATCACCAAACGATTTTAAACATAGCAACCAGTAGAGTTTAGTCTTAGTCTATTAAGATATGGAATATTATATCCATAATTATTGCCCTATTCAGAGCTGGTGTCTGCTTCAAAATTATTTTGACTCCTTGAACATTTCATAAGTTTGCATGTCTTCAAGGAATTTGTCATACTTAGCTAACCATTGTGCTTCTTTTTTTCCTTTACCATGCTTACAGAAAATTCAGGTCTACAGGGAATGGATTATGACTCACAGTAGCAGTAGAGATGATGATGATGATGATGATGATGTAAATTAGTCAGATCTCAAATGTTAAAATTAATATGTTAATCTTATTTGAAATGTTTCAGTAACATTTGATGTTTTGTATGACTGCTAGCATAATACCCATATGCTCATTCTTAGCAAGTTAAAATATTTTTTCTTTTCAAATGTTTTTCTCTACACAGTTTCAAAAGGCAAAATAATAGCATTATTTAAGCACAGAAAAATGTATTATACATCCAAACTAGGGCATACTATATATTTTGTTTGTATATATTTTGTAGTTTTGTAATATAGTTTGTCTTTAAGGTTTAGTTAGACTTAAAGTTTTTGTTAATGTTAGCTAGTTTTATTTTAAATTTCTGTTTGTTAGCAAAATGCTATTTTTAATGTTCTTTCTATATGTTTTGGTTTGTTATGTAATGCCATTGTGAAAAAAAAAAGGAAGAAAGAAAAGGAAGAAAGAAAAAGGAAGAAAGAAAAACCTAATAGCTAGTCAAAATTCATATTTATTTAGCATTTTAAAAGTATTTTTGTCAAAATTTTAAAATAATAAACATATAACTTGAAGCAATATGAATTTGTTGTTCTATTCCAAAATCATATAGTTGGGACTGCTATTATAAGGAACATTTATGATTTATCACGGAAGTGATAATTTATAGTCTGAGAATGAAAAAAGTGTTCTTTAGTTTACATTTTATTTCATTTTGTATATATAATATATAGTGAAACAATGAGCAAAGTTGGTTTTATAGTCATTACATTTACTTATCAACTTACATATCCATATGCTATTCCCCTATTATAGAATGATAAAATTAGTTCAGGACATAGAAGTATTTTTATAGTAAGCATAATTTTTCTTGATAATATTGGGAAAATGTTATCTATGTCTCTGTGAGCAAATGTTTTATGTTTTGTGTACTGAGGGATGGTTGTTTTTTTCCCTTTTTTTTTTGTAATTTCAACTTGGTGAAAGTGTCTTGTCCTGTTTCCCTAGTATATCAGATGTATTATTATTTTTTAAATCCTCCAGAAACCAAATGACTATTATTCGTATAATGTTTAATCCCTAATGACTTCAGTGCTTTTAGTTCAACAAAGGAACATTTATCTTGATTCATGCTAAGCACTTTGGTCATAATGGACTTGCATTAGATTGTAGTAAATACTTACCATAATTGTTCAACTTTGGGCTTGATTCAGCCCATGATGCCTGAATGTCTTCTAATTCTTAAGTTTATCAGGATTTTATTTCTGTAAATCACTGTTTTCTATTTCTTAGAAAGTTTTTATAAAAATTTAAGATTTCCAGTATTGAGCTTATAGAAAAGGAAGCTCTTTTGAAATTACTACCTGCCTAGCTTTCATTCAAATTAAATAGAAACCAAGATCATGTGTACTAGGACTAAGAAATATGTGAATAACAAAGAAATTAATTATTGTTTTCATCAGAGTAATTTTCTTGCCATTTTTTGGAATAAGTGAATGTGAAAACAGTGTCCATTAAAATAGTCACTGCTGGTATCAGAGACCATTTGTATTTGTCATACACCCACTACTCTATCACCGTTGGCCAAAATAGAAGCCTGCTGGTTCTACTAGAAGCTGTGAAGAATGCAGCCTAGTGTTATGTATTGTGTATGCCTGAGGAATATCTTCTTACATTCCAACTTGGCTAGGTATAAGGGTTTTTTATAGGAGAAATGCTAAACTACGTGTTAAATTGAGTTTCTCGTGGTGGGTCTGTCACACTTAATTCTGTGGTACAGGTTTCCTAAAGATCCTTGGAATTTATCTGGAAAAAGTTCTGTATATTTCAGCAGTGACATACCATTTTAATGAAAAGAAAATTGGAAGTAGGATTATATTTATTTAAAATGTCTTAAACAATAAAAAAGATCAAAACAATATTCTAGCCACTAGTAAACTTTGTTCTTGTGGTCTTAAGGACTCATCATTCTTCAGTTTTAGTTCTTAGAAGTGAAATATGTTCTTTGATAGTATAATTGCCCTTGTTCTTTGTGTTTTCCTGTTACAGAGAAATAATCTTTTTAAGTTGACCACAGGTATTATTTTTTTTAAAAGTAATTATACATAGTTTCTTAAAAATATTATACATAATTATTAAAGTATTATCTTCTCTATGGTGTACTTTATATCCCTGTGACTGTTTTGTAACTGCAATCTGTACTTGTCCTTTCACCTTTTTCATCCAGCCCCCCCCCACCCCCCCCCCCCCGCAACCCGCAACCTCCATCCCCTCTGGCAACACCATTCTGTTCTCTATGAGCCTGTTTCTATTTTGTTCTTTAGATTCCACATATAAGTGAAGTCATATGATATTTGCCTTTCTCTGGCTGACTTATTTCACTTAGCATAATGCTCTCTAGGTTCCTTTTATTAGGGAAATGTTTAAGACCAAGGATAACTTGATTGTTTTACATCAGGGCTGGGGAACCTTTTTTCTGCCAAATATCCATTTGGATATTTATAACATAATTTGTGGGTCATACAAGATTATTAGCTAAAAAATCAGCCTACTATATTTGGTCAAACATTTACTTATTAACTCCTAATGCCTTTGGCAGGGCAGACCAAATGATTTAGCAGGCCTTATACTAAAAGCCGAATGTTCTCCAACCTGGTTTTACAGCAATATGTTCCTTTTTTTTTTTTTTTTTAACATGTTTTTGTCGATTACAGAGAGACATCGATAGGTTGCCTACTGTAGCTCCCTAACCAGGGTCAAATCTGCAACCTGGGCATGTGCCCTGACTGGGAATCAAAACTGGCCACCTTTTGGTGCATGGGATGTTACTTGGCCAATTGAGCCGTACTGGCCAGGGCTACACCACTGTGTTCTTGATGGAGTTTTAGGACCTGGAAAAAATGTATTTTACTCCTTATCAAATATATAAAAAATGAGTTTTTTGTTTTACACCAGTGATTTTGTAATGGAGAAATAGGACCTAGACAAAAAAAAGTCTTCTTATTCCTAATCTAATGTACAGAAAAGAGTTCAAGTTTGAGACTTTAATGAGATGAACAGGTCTTTTGTTTGTTTGTTAATGGTTCTATAAATAATTAGAAACTTAAAGTGGAAGAATCCATCTAATAAGAAAGTCTACTGAGAAAGCTATGTTTGGGAGAGTCTGTAATTCCATTTCTTTTCATGTCCTTCGACTTTATTTATATCCGGAATTTCAATGTTATCATGGCTTACCTGTAGGAAAAGAGAAGGGTTCTCTCTTTTCTAAGCTAATAATTGCCCATTCTTTATTTTGCTTGTGTCTACCTGACAATTGAGTAACATTGAAAACTGGCGGGAAGAAGAATTTACCTGAAATTGTGGATACCTGTCACCATGGATAAGTTTTTAAAACAAGCCTGTAAATAAAATTAATTAGTGCTCACATTGCATATAGATAAAAGAAATCTAAATCCAGAACAATATTGCCAACTTTCAATATTCCTTATAGAAAAGGAAGTCAGAATAAATATCAATGTGTTTCTATATTTAAAACTAGAGGCCCGCTGCACGAAGAGATTTGTTCAATAGGCCTTCCTTCACCTGGTTGCTGGCACCAGTTTTCCTCCAGCACCTGGGACCCAGGCCTTTGGTCCGGCCGCAGTGAGGCCACTGCAGTGGAGAAGCCAAGCCTCTTTAGTCTTTAGTCTTTAGTCTTCAGTCTTCACTCTGACTGGAGCCTTCATTCTTCACTCTGCGCCTGCATATTCAAATTAACTGCCATCTTTGTTGGGTTAATTTGCATAGTCACTCTGGCTGGTGGTTGTAGCAGAGTGACACCAATTTTCATGTTTCTCTTTTATTAGTGTAGATAACCAGGATTTTTGCAAACTTTTTGAAATAGTTCCAAGCTCCTATCATCAATGCAGTGTTGAGTGATTTTAAAGTCATGTTATTAAAATTTACAGATGGAACCATTGTTGATCTGTGACTAGGATATCAATGTTCAGCATGATATATTTGCTATTGTATTTCTATCCAAACGTCATATACACTTAAGACATAAGATGACTGCTATAGTAGCTACTATACTGGTTTGTCAGATTTAAACCCTGTGGTCAAATTTTGCATTATTCTTTTCTGTATTGATGGGAGGAAGACTAGAAACAACCATCTCAAATGTTATTTGAGTACCTTTTACGACTGCTCCTTCAGGCCTTTGTTTTTTATTTTATATATTTACTTGCAAATTTATAATTTATAGGCCCAAAATATTAAAGATCCTATGGTGTCTAAAGATATACAGATTATTCATTTAGATCACAAAATACTTATGATGGGTATATAAAAAGAATGTCCATTTTATTTTTTATTATAGTTTACATGCAACATTATTTTGTATTAGTTTCAGGTGTATAGTATAGTGGTTAGATAATCATATACTTTACAAAGTATTCCCCTCAATTTCCAGTACCCACGTGGCATCATACATAGTTATTACAATATTATTGACTATATTCTCTATGCTGTACTTTACATCCCTGTGACTAATTTGTAACTGCAATTTGTACTTGTCCCTTCACCTTTTTCACTCAGCTCCCAACCACCATCCCCTCTCGCAACCACTGTTCTTTTCTCTTTATGAGTCTCTTTCTATTTTGTTTATTTTGTTCTTTAGATTCCACATATAAGTGAAATCATGGTAATTGCCTTTCTCTGACTGACTTGTTTCACTTAGCATAATGCTCTCTAGGTTCATCCACACTGTTGCAAATGGCAAGATTTCTTTCCTTTTTATAGCTGAGTAACAGTTCATTATATATATGTACCACAACTTTTTTATCCACTTGTCTATTGATGGATTTGGATTGCTTCCATGTCTTAACTATTGTAAAAAACACTGTGATGAACATAGGAATGCATATGTAAAAGAATGTCAGTTTTATTTATTATTCTATCTCTGT